ATTTTAAGGAAAAAGCTTTGTGCTCCTGCTGATTAATGTTAGCATTTATATTATTTACTGCCTCCACTTTTTATGGCATGATGAAATCCATGCACACTGTGATGTACATGACAAGCTGCTTACATTTTTTAAAACTCTGTCATGGTCAGCTATTGGCAGCAAGGTCATATTAGTTTAGAACTCTGAACCATGGGAAAGCTTTCAGATTTCAATCTTTTCAGATTGTGCTATAAAATTATTATTGTTAATGCAATAACTTGTGGAATGGAAATGAATTTCTCTGCGGAGGCCCCCTGAGAGAAGCAGCCTGGGAAGTTGCTGGGTTACTGCAGTGGATGAGCGCACGTATATCACAGGCAGTGTGAAATGCTTCAGCCTGTATGGTTCTATTCCTGGAGCATCAAAACTAGGAATAAGGGGTGCTGTGGAATGACTCCTGCAGAACTCTGTACTCTGTGCAGAGGTACTGTACTCTGTGCTGTGCCATGATGAGTGTAACAAAGAAGACTAAATACATTGCTAGTTGATGAGAAGTTCCATAAGGAGATCATACTGTTTGTTTAGATTTCAACATGTAATAATGGGATGTTTTAGCTGTGGTTACATAATCACAGTGCAGCTAGGATATACTGTAGCTAGAATATGATGGGTGGTCTAATGAATTGGAAATTCCAGATTTTCACCAGAAATAACACTCCTCTAGATCAGCTGTAGACATGCACAGTAAATATTTTACTTTCCTCATCTCGATATCTCCAGTTGTGTATCTAGTAACCATGCTTTAAGGTAGAGTAGGGTGCACGTTGCAGCAGGGTAAAATGATCAGACAAGGCGGTCGACTTTAGGTCTGTTTTCTGTATCCCCACTCCAATTGTGACAGAAAACATGACCAGAGAAATAACAGCAGTCTGTTTTTGCAATTAAAAAGGAGAATGTATTCTGAGTCGCCTGAATAAACCATGGGTATTACTTTTTGTAACCAAGGCAACTAAACAAAGCATGCATAATATCTGGAATTATAATAGCAAATCTAATCTCCATCACTGTTTCCCTGTCTGCATGTAAATGTCAAAATTAGTCCCTGTTCCAAGTCATTCAGTTCCTTCATAATAAAACTCCACCTCTAGCCCTCTGCTCAATCAGGAACCTCTGTATGCATTATTTATTACAGAATGAGGGAAAACAAGCACTTGGGAGAATAACTGACATTGCTTTAACAAAAGGTGTAATTTCAAAAAGGCTCAATCAAAAAGTAATTCTCCTGAAAGATTCAAGTGCTGTAATCCCTTCATTACCATAAACCACTACCGTTGAGCTCAAGGTCTGCATAAAGCAAAAAATCGAAAGAACAAAATGATTCATCAGCGTACAAAAAATACTATATTATAGTACCTCTCCTGGTTGACACCACTTTCTACGGGAGCATAGTCATCATTTACAACATGCAAAAGCCATGCAGACGGATAATCACTATGCGTGAATGAAAGAGATTACATATCAAAGTTTTCTAATCATTTCCTGCTTTACAGAAAAACTCAGACTGTAAGGATTTGTCCTCTCACATCCTCAAAGGCCAATGACCAATGTGTTTGGGAGGTACTGTATGATGGAGTCCTTGTTTTTGGGATCTGGCGACATAAATTCTTTATCCAGTTGTGGAGCCATTACAGCTATTCTGTTAAACTTGGTAACTAGTAACAGTTCTGAAGCACCATTTGCTTTCTATATGTTCACTTATGCAACATTAAAAAAGAAGCCGTAAAGTTAAAGAAAAGATTTAAAAAAAAACTGTTAAAAAAGGGGGCTTATGGAAATAAAGAATACCAGAAATAGACCAAGGTGGATAGTTAATTACTACAATGAATAATCATTAACCCCCAAATTGTAACATATCTGCCAAGAATATACCCGAACAGTAAGTATAATTAGAGACACGTGAGATCTCTGGCACAGCTTTTGCGAAAGAGTATTAAATCAGGCAAATTGGGTTAAACAAATATCAGTAAAAATAACACACACTAAGAATACACTACTGTACATACAAGCATACAGTACATGTTACTCTACTGTATATACAGACAAAACATTTTGGAGGCCTGCATCCTGCTGAATAATAAAAAAAACAACTTCAAGTATTCAAATCACTTACACTAGCCAACAAAAGAGATAAACCTACCTTCCAAACTAAACAGCATATGACCTACAATGAAATCTCTCTCTGAAATCATAAAATCAGTTTCCTAAAAACAACAGAATGGAAAGCTCTCTTAAAAGGTTTAAATACTTAATTTGAATTGGAATTTGAAGTCTAATCAGAACTGTGTCTTTCTGTCTGTCCTGTCTTCCTTCTGTCTTCCCCTTATTCTCCCCTTTCTTATTATCCTGTGTTCCTGGGCTGTTTATAACTCTTAGTGATTTACCAAGAACTTAATAATCCAAGGTAAAACAGATTATTTAATTGATCAGTGTGAGAACTCCAAATGGTACTCATTCTACAAATAGAAGCCACCTTTAAAGGCGCTATATAAAATAAAGTTTATTATTATTATTATTATTATTATTATTATTATTATTATTATTACTGCAAGCTAGATGTTGACCACAAAAAAAATCAGACATTTTTTACATTTCAAGGGCCTGGTTTCATTTACACTTCTTTTGTAAACAGAATAGGGAGCCTCTCTCCATTTATTTTCTCAAAAGTGTATTTTGCAATAAAATGGAGAGTATATATCATAGTTAATTACAGGTTAATGCTAAAAAACATTGCTAAACGTATTGTAATGGTATGTTTTTAATTTTTTTTAATTCACTGTACAAAAGCAGTCACTTTCATTAATTTCATTTATTTGAATTGCTTGGTGTCCTTTGTTTTGTATTTTTAAGAAGCTTTTCATTAGCCCATATAATGTGCTTATCATTTTCATAATAAGAATCTTGGAAGGTTTTAGGATATCTAGCATTGTTAAGGTGATAAATTTTCAGGAGCATACTGTATATAGCTATATAAACAATATAGCTTAAAGTTGCAGACTATGCAAAAAGGCCAGGAGTAAATTTCTGCTCCCTTTTTATACTCTGATCAGAAAAAAATAATTTTGCTATACTTGGAGTGGTATTGTAATGTGTTTAGAAAACAAAGCCATTCACCAGAAACCTGGTTAAAATCACAATAAAAGCTCTGCAACGTATAAATAATTATTTTTACAACAGAGTTTCTGTACAGATTCCTGTGCTCCAAGTGTGTAGGAAGAAAGTAAAGAATGAACTGTAAGAAAGCAGTTATCCAAAATAATTTAAAATAAATCTAAACTGCACAGTAAAACCAAAATATAGACAGTACATTGATCAAGAATCAACATGTAAGATTTACAATACTGTTTAAACAAATGTTGTTAAAACACGAAACTTTATCTGATTTCTGATTTGTTTTGCCTCCTTTCAGCTGTTTAACACACAGAGACACGTACAAAAAAACATATTAACAATGTAAACATTACATTATGACTCCTACAGGAATCCATGAAGTTTACCACTTTAGCTTTACTTTCCCACAGTCATCCTAAGCCCCCATAATTGCACATAACCACTAATTACACTTGCCCATAAACCAATACTCCTTAATTGTAAGCTCATATATTGAGTAGTTTTATTGAATGTGGGATAAAGCAATTCCTCATTTTGTTACATCTGCATTGAAGGACTCTGAACGTCTGTTTGAGGCATCAGTTGGTATTCTTTATGTAGAACAAGTCTCGGCCCGGGCTCGAGTGGCTGCCCAACTATCTTATAACTCATCCCCAAGAGTCTGCAAACCTTGACTTTCTGTTTCACAGAAAGACTCTTATACCAGACAATGATGCCATGCTGCATGACACTTTGTATCAAAGCACTGAACAACAAGGACAGAATCTGACTATAAATTCCAAAAACCTAGAACCTGCTAAGACAAAATAAGTTCACTGTTATACTTTATTAGAAATACAGTAAAGTTAACATGGTCCTTTCAAGACAGTTTAGCATCTGTGTATATTCTGAGATATTTATAGGATATGGCTTGCTTAATGGGCTCATAAATTATGACAGGGGAAGGATATTCATCCTGTTCAAGATCAGGATACTTTTTCTGCTTCTCTAGTATCTAAAGGTATTCTGCAACCATTCAACCAAACTGTCAGCTTAGTATGATATCAGTTAGATGTCCCACTTTCTGGGCCTAAGAAAAGAGTAAAAATAAATAGAAGCAGTTTTTGCACACTTATATTGTGTATATCTTGTGCAGTTGGTTTGGATAGAAGAATAATAAATGATTCATAAAAATCTGTTATTAGCAGGAATTCTAGATGTAAACAAAATGCATGTGTTAGTCTGACAAGCAGATGCATAACAGCTTTTCTGTACTAGGTAGATGTAATAATATGATTTCACTGTCGATAATAACACTTTTGGGCATATTATTCCTTGAAACAATGATGAAATAAAGTTACATATTACATATTAGGTAATAACCAGTTGATGGGAGGTTGATGCATTAACACTTAACAGCCAGTTGATGCATTAACACTTAACTGAATGGAGGCCGAGTGTGAGAATGGGTTATAAGACTATATTTTGGAGGTGACCATATATTTTTTATTTATACTAGCAGAAACATGGAGGCAAATCACAATAATTCAATGTGAGAGCTCTTTGAGAAATGTTTCACTGTGAAAAGGTAAAAGTACTTCAGGAAAATTACAGTATATCCTTACTGAGTTTGAAAATCATTTAAGTGACCTTTAGTTATTCAAAACTGCATTCGCTCTTTTATCCTTTCAATCCATCTCCATTTAGACTGCCAGACCTGTTTTTTTATTCTTGATTTGGATATAACCTTGACCTTCATTTGTTAATGGTTATCAATAAAGAAATTATCCTTCATGTTTTTTTAAGTTTAGCTTCTTTGTGCATAAATGGATTTTCTATTCCACTCATGGTAAACCTTTGTTTTTTTTCCTCAGCTGATAGTGGAAAAGACATCTGACTACCCTTCCACTGAGTATTCTCTGGTGGAGGATGTTGCTCTCCACTTCACGTGTTTGATGGACAGGCTCAATGAGCAGCGGCTGTTTCAACCAGATCTCTGTGATGTAGACATTGTCCTGGTTCGGCAGAAGAACACCTTTCCTGCTCACAAGGGAGTCCTTGCAGCCTACAGCCAGTTTTTTCACTCACTCTTTACACAAAACAAGCAGCTGCAAAGAGTGGAGCTCTCCCTGGAGGCTCTCACTTCTCAAGGTCTCCAGCAGATACTCAACTTCATCTATACTTCCAAACTGCTGGTGAACGCCTGCAATGTGCAGGATGTGCTGAATGCTGCCGCAGTCTTTCAGATGAGTAATATCGCCAGTTCCTGTCAGGAGCTCATCAGCAGTCACTCTTTGAACCTAAACATCGCAGGCGATATGTCCAAACAGGATAACCGTAGCAATACTGTTCCATCCCAGTTTTATCGGGAGATCAAGCAGGAAGTTGATCCAACTCACACAAAGATCTATGCTCGAGAGGGTAACAATCCGTATTCAGTTCGGGTTGAGGACAACACAATCAAGCAGCACCGTGCTAATCTTCAGACAAAGCAGTATTTTAAGAACGAGGAAAGTGCTGGACGGGGAGTGTGCAAGATTGAGGGAGATGTGGAGGAATCAGAGGACTCGGACGGCCATGCCTCCTTCAACCGGGAGCAGATCATTGTGGAGGTCAACCTCAACAACCAAACATTGAATGTTTCCAAAGGAATGGAGGGGAAGCCTTCCTCTACTGAGGCTACAGCAGTGTTTGGGAGGTGCCATGGTGAAGAACAGGAAACTGATGAGGAGGAGGAAGAAGAGGAAGAGGACGAAGACGATAATGAGGAAGACGAGGATGCAGATGTTGGAGAAGATGATGAAGAAGATCAAAGTGAAGAAGATGACGTGGGGGATACTAGCGAGGAGAACGACGATGAAGAAGAAGAAAACAATGACATTCCGGAAGTGAAGAAGGAAAAAGCAGAAAGGCTCCAAAGGAGGACCAAAGTTTCTGAAGAGGCAGAGGCCACGGTGTCCACCGGACAAACTCACAGCACTTCAAAGAGGATAGAGAAACGGAGAGGGCGTAAGAGTAAGAAGGACCAAGAAAGCATGGGTCAAAAGGTGAAACTAGAGGAGAAGCAGAACTTTCCCTGCAAGAAGTGCCCTCGTGTTTTCAATAATCGCTGGTACTTGGAAAAACACATGAATGTAACACACAACAGGATGCAGATCTGTGACAAATGTGGAAAGAGATTTCTTCTGGAAAGTGAGCTCTTGCTGCACCATCAAACAGACTGTGAGAAGAACATTCAGGTAGGCTTTCACCCCTTATTTTTCATGTGTAGCAACAACATAATGCAAAACAATTTCTAAATATATATATATTGAATCACTGCTTATTCTGATGACAATAATACATTTCCTAAACATAGTTTAAACATAGATAGGCAGACTATTAACAAGACACTATATACTGTAAATATTGTTACAAAAATCTTACCATAATAACAAGATCAGTTTCCAGTCACCTGACAGCATGTTGGATGCTGGTTGACATGTTTACTTGCCTGTTTAGTGTTCAAGTTAGGAATAACCCAGAATCAAAATAGATCCAATTGTCATTTGCACTCATTAAATCGATAACAGACAAAGGCAGATCTGAGGATCTGTAAAATAAGTTAAAAGCCAAAATCTTAGATGTAGAACCTTTTATGGGTCTTTACTGTTTTTTACCATGTGGTTCAGATTGTGGTGCTGATGAGGCTTTAGTTTTGTGTGAAATTAGGGAACAGATGGGACCTTTACAAGCTGGTCTACAAATTCGTTGAGTAGGTACTGTAAATGAGTACTGCAAGAACTAGCACCAGTGAGCCAATGAGGGAAAGAGGTGTAATAAAGGGAAATCGGCTTTATTACATATAGCTGAGAGTAAAATTAACATCAGGCACACAGCTTGAAAAAAAAGGTTTAGTTTGGAAGGCTGAATATATACTCAATGAGGAGGAAATTTTGAAAGGCCAACCAGGCAAAACACACGTGGAAGCAAATGGCCCAAGAAGGAAAGTCCTTAGATGTCTGTATCTAAATGTCAGGAACATTAAGAACTAGACTGGACTAAGCAACAAAAATGTCAGCAAGCGACTATGACAAAGGAGTTACAGAAACATGGCTGACAGAAACTACAGATGTTGGAAATGAAAAATGTAAACTACTGTAGTATATAGGTCCCTTAATCTTTCTAGATCAAATTTAAGAATATACTGTATATTTAAGAAACATAGTGATAAGAGTGTGTTATATATCAAACAAAGCAGTCATAATGATGCCTTATTATATTTTATAATCAAATCTGCATGTAGCAAGGATGAGATCTTGCTGAAGGGGAATTCAATTTCCCTTGCTTGGATTGGGATAGGCCACCTGGATGGAGAAATATGTTTGAAATTATTGATATGGTGAATGCTTTATAATTCACCTTGTCAGAGTGCCAGCAAAGCATTTGCTTTACATTAATTTTTTCAAGCAGCCAACATAATGGTAAACTGAAAATGTTGTTTGCTTTGATTGGTAGAGAATAAATGGTTAAACCTAATGAAACATGAGGCAGGGTCAAAAGCAAATTTACCAAATGATTGTTTAATATATTAATAGTGAAAAGCATTTTAAAAATGATTTTTATATTTTTATATGATGGGGAGGGGACAGGGCAGATCAGATAGACTACAAGTAAATAAATGCATTCCAGTACCACGGCAGAATGAAAAGAATGCCTTTTAATGCTGACAGTACACCTGTGTTATTCTTTTAAGGTAAATACATATTTTGTTCTTGTATTTACCTATTTTTCCAGTTTCAGAACTGTGTTCTTATCCAGCTTTTGGTATGATGAAAGAATATGCCCTTCATTTGCTCTTAAATGCTCCCAAATGCGTTCTGCAGGGATTTTATCATGGCCTTGTAGGCCTCGCACTAATAGTTTAATAGTAATAATTTTCCCTTACATGTTGTTGTCTGCCTGTTGTTACTTTTGCTGTGGGGCAAGTGCCATCAGTTTACTAAATCTACCAGGGCTGGATTGTTTAAAAAACGTGGGGTTTTTGGGAACAATGGCCAGCACATTAATCCCATAATTACCAGTTTACCAGCAATTGCCAGTTTCAAAATGTCGGTATTTATTAGATTCTTCATCCATCAAACCTTCATAACGTGAAAAGAACAATAAAGAGTTAAACATAAAATAACTCGTATCTGAGTCTAATTTATAAACTTTTCCAGGGAGTCTAACTATACATGGATGGCTGCTCTGTTTACCAGTTAAAATTGTTTCCACAACAATCGTGTCCACAACAATCTTTTCATAATTTAGATAAGACTCATAGTCAAAAAATTCCAAAGGATCAGTTCGCCAAGATGGGTCTTCATACAGGCCAAAGTAATCAATTTGTTGAAACAGATAGCATGGAGCAGAACTTTTAATATAAATGATGCTGCAAAATATTCTACATATACTATACACAAATAAGACTAATAGATATCACTAACACAGTGCACATATAACTATGAATTCCGGTTAAGCAAAAAGACAGCACTAGGAAAGAAGCTGTTCAGATACTAGGTGGATCCAGTTTAAATATCACGGAAGCATCTTCCTGAGGGAAGCTAATGAAACAGGTGGTAATCTGGGATCAGCAATCTTTCCTGCCTGCCTCTTTGCTTTGGAGTTGTAGAAATCATTGAATGGAAGGCAGGTGACACCCAATGACCCTCTCCACAGTGCAAACCTCACACTGCAGTTTGCCTTTGGAGTGGGTAGACACGTTTCGAAACCAAACAGTGATAGAGGCCGTCAGAATGCTCTCAATAATGGCTCTGTAAAACTGTATCAGAATTGGTTGAGAGACACCAAAGTTTTTCACTTTCTGGAAAAACTGCATTCTCTTCTGTGCTTTCTTTGTGATACTGCTGGTACTCATGCTCCATTTAAGGGTATTAGAGATTATAATTCCCCAAAACTTAAAGGATTCCACCACAGTCACAGTCACATCATTCATTACCAGGAAGAGAGGTTTTGGATAGTGTTTTTGTAAATCAACAACCATTTCCACTGTTTTAAGGGTATTAAACTTTAGGTGGTTGTTCCATCCATCCAACCATCTATTTTTATTCCGCTTTTCCTGGTGAGGGTTGCGGTTGCAGCAGGCAGAGTAGATCAGCTCAGACTTTTCTGTCCCCAGCAACAGATTCCAGCTCCTCCTGGAATCCACATTACCCACAGCTCATGACCATAGGTGAGGACAGGGATGTACATCGACCGGTGAACCGAGAGCTTTGTCTTCAAACTCAGCTCCCGCTTCACCACCACAGACCGGTACAGTGCTCGTAGAACAGCTGACACTTCCCCGATCCACTTGTCAATCTCACGCTCCCCTCTTCCATTACTCGTGAACAAGATCCCGAGATACCTGAACTCCTTCACTAAGGACAGCCGCCCCCCTGGGACAGAACCTAGACCTAGGTGGTTGTTATCACACCTTAATGCATCATCACCTTGATGAGACCTACAAGGCTGATGTCAATCGCAAATTAAATAGTTTGATGGAAGAGTCATTGGAGGTAATCCAGTGGACCACCATACCAAAACATGGCAACCCCTACTATGTCACAGACATCACACCATGTTTGGCTATTCTCTACAAACAAGAATTTGTTGCCTGACTTTCTCCACACTGATGCACATCAGCTGGGGCTGAACTTCTGAACAGTCACCTCAGACCTTCACATAATTGTTTCACATTTCAGTTGCACAAGATTTCAATCTTACCTTTGCTTGACTCAACAAGTGATCTTTCCTATGTACATGCCTTTGGTAGCTCATCCTGTGTAGGAGCCTGCTTTGTGTGCTGTTTCTGCAGCAATCTGACGATCTATGACAAGGGTCTTTGTGAATTGCAGTATCTGTACCCATTTGTCACGTGGCATTACACTTTGATGGGTGTCGACTTTTTGTCATTAAACTGGATGGTAAAGATATAAATGCATCCATTTGACAGGCCAAGACTTTGTGCAATGACTCTCCACTCTTGCCACATTTAAAGTAAATATTACACTACTTCTGATTAAGGGCAAACACAGCTTTTACAATGGATATGAAGAGCTCCTACAGCTCATCATGTCCATTGTATCTTTTACAGATGAGATTATATACTGTAGGCAGTAAGGAGGTTCAATTATTTTCACAGGTGCTTTTTATATTTTGCATAGGCACCTCAAGAAGATTTGAGAGAAAAAAGAAATAAGCCGATGGGGCTAAAACTAATGCCAATGCTTTTTTTTTCATTGATACATTAGCAAAAGATCAGTGATGGATAAAGTGTCTTAGACATGCAAATGGATCTATTGTACAAAATAGGGAATGTTGAATGTTCTCAAGGTATTTTTTCCAAAGGTGTTCATAATAAAAGAGGAAACAAAGGTTCAGACAGTATGACAGTGGATGAGGTGGTAATCTCAGAACTCAGAGAATATGTATATACTGTACAGAAATATATAAGGGAATAGAAGATGTTTTCTAACCTGCACATGTGGAAATGAAGAACATTATACATACAGTATGACAATACAATATATACTGTATACAGTAAGATATTTCAGTAGACTTTTGAGTCAGCTCAGTTTAGGGGTTGTGCTTACTGACTGAAAACGCAAATCTAATAGTATTTTTGTTCATAAAATAGTTTAAAAACCAAATTAGGGAAAAATAAGTAAAATTAGAAGAGCGACTGTAGCATCTGTATTCTAGGAGATTTTTAGCTTGCATATAGAAAAGAGTAGATACTGCCCATAACTTACCTATTTGATTTAAGCAAGAAAGTACAATAGTGAGTTAACTTAAAAGTATAGGATGTAATGTGTCTTGGCCAGTTGCCGCTGGAGAGGATGTTTTTACAATGCTTCCAAAATACTTTGTGCACATGTTTAAGGAGACAGTTAAAATTCAGGAAAGAGAGGGTATTTCTTACATTTTAAGACAATTATAGTATTTTTTTTATCAAACTGAACCTCCCAAGAGAAACTCTACTCTCGGCTTTGTCCTATTTTTTTTTTACTTTAGTTCTTTTCTTTCTCTTGTTTTTCTTCTGTGTAAGCCTCTTGAGTGAAATGAGATCATTAGTGAGGTTCGACAGGAATTGGTTTTAGGACTGCAGCATTTCCTGATCTACATCATTGATTCTATTGGTTTTAGCATTTATTAAAGCAAGTGCCAATAACTGATTGTCCTTGGAGAGCTTCAAAAGACAAGAAAAAAAGTTGCTTTGGACTTTTAGATTATGTTGTTTACAAAAAAGAAAACACAAAACATTTGTTGGGGGTTGAGCACTAGCATTAGAATGCAGAAAATTCTTATACAAAATAAAATCCACATTTCAGTCATGGAGGGCAGAAATGTAACTGACCAGCCATTAAGAACAAAATTATGAAAATTAGAGTCATACAGGGATCCATATTCTTGACTACACTGCAGTCCGAAGCTCTGTATCTTGAAGTGTGAATAATTTATTCTATTTTCACATTAACAGCTTTGATGCTGTGAAGAGAAAAATAAATTGTCAGCATTCATTGGACTGCATATACAGTACCTCCCTCATGTTTGATATACAGTAAATGTAAAATCTTTGAATATCTCCTTGTTTCCTAGCTTAATGCCACTACATGCACTGATTCACATCACTCTCACTTTCTTTATACAGCATTCCATCATATCTCATCTTAACAAGGTACAGTTTTATTTAGCTTCAATGTACCCCTTCATTTTAAGCCTAGCTGTTATGCACTATTTCTAGGTTTACACCCCTTTCACAAGCTTACCATCAAATGGTGGGAAACTTTGGAACTTTAACATTTTATCTAAGCTGAAATTTGCCTTAAATCTGGAGTCATGGCTCTGTAACAGCAATAATTTAAGAATGCAAATTAAGAATGTTGATCTCTGGCTCTATACTCTTGGCCATGATCTGAAAGGCTGACCTTGGAGACAGCAGTGTTGGACTCGTGCTGCCAGGTTAACAGGACACATCAGGACCTGAAGAGAGAAAAGTGGAGTGCATTTTCTCACCGTGGAAGAGCAGGGTCTAGATAACACAGAGCCATCAGAACATCCTGCAGATGAATGGGCAGCCAAAGGTGTGTAAAAGAGGAAAGGTATAGCAAACTGTCCAGAAGAGGACAGAGTGATTACTGCAGTGTGTATAGAAGAGTGGAGCTAGGGTATGTCACACTCTCCACATACATATTTTTTCTGTTAATTTAAGAGAAAATATGTATGTGAAGAGTGTGACATAAGAAAAGAAACTAGGGAAGATCAATAAGAGGAAGAAGTCTGCTCAGTCCTTAATTTAAGGGTACCAGATTGAGAGCAGGAATCCTGAAAGGGATTCAAACGTAGTAGTATTGCTAACAAAGGTAACTAGGAAGACAAAAAATGTCTAGCTGCCTGACAAAGCTAGAATTGGGCATGAGGTGACAAGGGGCTCAGGTCTAGATGTTTCACAATCTGTGTACTCCTTGAAAATCTGTCACAATAGTCTTGAAACAGACATAATATTTGAATTTATTTTAATCTTTTTACATGCAGTACTTGTAAAAATAGCTTTAATGTCAAAATGTTTTGTAAGGAAATGAACAAAAAAGCAAGAGTGAATGTCAGTGTTTGAAAAGTCATGGGAAAAAATGTCCAAATTGTAGCTGGTCACCATTACACAAAACAAGATTTATGTTTCTAATACAATGAAAAGCAGTTATTTGCCTAAAATGGAATCTTGACTTTAATATTTAGTTTACATCTGGAGTGAGCCATATCTGGAACAGCTTCTGATTTGTGGTCTTTGGAAGAACTGTAACACTTTTCAAATTCCATGTTGGTAAATGTTTCAATAACAAATGTACTAAGAACTCAACAGATAAGTCAAGGTTACTAATGTATGACAGAAGTTTGGAATGCAAGTGTCAGAGAGCCAAAGGCAGACATAAGAGATTATTTTTTTAGGAAACTGACATTGTCATGATAACATTCTGAAATGTTACATAAAAGACCACTGGTACAGTTATCCAACTCGATAATTTTAAAAATGAAAACTGAAATCCTGAAGGAGCTTACATTGAAGTAGTTCTATTTTATACATTATGTGTCATTATTTTATATGTGAATATTGAAGCTCTGCTGTGTCGCCAGTTAAAAAAACTGCACTTCACATTTAAAAACATAGTTTGCACTCTGCCAAAAAAGTTTTCAAATCAAGACTATATGAGCATATTGCTCATTTAGGCACTAGTGGCTTAATGATTCAAGAATTCAAGACATTTCTTAAAGAATCCCAACGTGGCAGCCTGTACTACAGCCACAGTATTTGGAACTGTACTTATTTCTGTATCAACTGAAAATCTAAAAATTGGTATACTGTATACTACAAAATGTTGTTGAATGTATGAAGGACTGATATGTCTCTGAGCGCAGATTGATTTAGAATTGAGATTAATTGTTGATGGATTTACCAACAGTGGACAAAATGACACCAATGTAAAATTGCTTAATTGGGTGTTGACTCATAACATGTAGACAGTGTGGCTAGTATGTACTATGAGTCAACCAGCATCTGGAATTCTTCAGGAGGGATGTGGCACCATTCCTCCACAAGAATGTCAATCAGCTCACAACTGGTTGATGGAGCTGGAAAACACTGTTTCAGGCACAGTTCCAAAATATCCCATGAACTGTGTTCAGACTGGGTGACTTAAAAGGTTATGACGTGTGGATAACATCAGTGTTTTTCTCATCAAACCACTGGGCAACCACAGGTCCTCTGTGGGTGGAGGTATTGTCTTCCTGAAAACAAATCTGCTGGCAGGAAAGAAGTACTGCTACGTGGGGTGAAGGTCTGACTTTAATTTTAAATTGAACACAAACTAAGCCGTAATTAAAATATGTGCCATAAAATTACAAAACCAGTAGAACCCTTCACTGTTGGAACCAAGCATGCAAGTTTGTAGAGTTCTGTGGGTCGTTGCCACATGAGCACTCTTGTGTTTGTTGAGAATATGGTAATACGATTCATCTGACCATATCACATTCCCCTCGCTGCTTGCGAGTCCATTGCCTGTGCTCTTTGAACCACTGGGTTTGTAAGTGTATATTTCTGGGTGTTGTGAGCAATTTGTGCATCGGGTCAGGTTGCAGTGGTGGGCTCTGTGGAGCATTACTCTCTGTGGAGTTTCATTCTGACATCACCTTAGACATCATTGCCCTGGAAACATCACTAGGTTAAGGTCAATGAAGCTCCTGCCAAACATATCCCAAAAATCACCTCTCTCTCAAAATTACTGAGGTCTCCCCTTGCAGCTATATTAGATTTGTTAAAAACCTGTCCAGCATTTTTGTACATGGCTCTTACCATGCTGGAATGTTTGCTTAATTTTCACATGAGCCACACCTGTGTGGAATACAGTGTCCCTCATTTGTCAAGCAGTTTCCATTTTTGTCCACAACCTGTGCACATAGCAACTACTTAGTGGCCATACAGTATGTACAACAAAGCTCAATAGTATTTTTTCCTATATTTTAAAAATCATTTTGGAAGGATAAATGTATAGATCATCCTATATGACATTAATGATGTGCATTGATCTAATTTTATGGTACAGTATTTTACTAAGATGTTTTGAATGTCTGGTTTAAAGGTCTCACTGGCCTTTAGAAACAGAATACAACTTGAATGCAATTTTTTAGGGGTTATAGAGGCACTTGATCAATTCATATTTTGTTTACAAGTGATGAGAAACCTTTTTGTGTGCATGTTACAGCTTCTTGTTCTTTGGATTTTTAACTTTCTTTCAGTGTGTTACCTGTGGGAAAGGTTTTAAGAAACTATGGTCCCTCCATGAACATAATAAAATTGTGCATGGATATGCAGAAAAGAAATTCTCCTGTGAAATTTGTGAAAAGAAGTTCTACACCATGGCTCACGTCAGAAAGCACATGGTTGGTAAGTATGTAAATCTGGCAGTATGTAACTGCAATGTGAAGGTCATGTATTTACTTCATGCATGGAGTCTTATAATCTGTCAGTCATACTTTGGTATAGAGAAGTTTATAGAGTAGATATAATCATGCTTCTTGCTTAGAATACCAACCGTTCATGCTCTGGCTTAAACTGGCATTCACAGAAAGATAAGATATATGTAGATTTTGCAAGATTTGGATAATCCCCCGTAATGGAAGTTAGAAAATTGTCTTGCAGCACAAAATTCAAAAACGTAGGGTTGATATTTATTTCCTCTGTTTTTCTCCGGGAAGAGTATATTAGTCATCATAACTAGTTAACCAGCCTTTATTTAAAACATTTATGTGACTGAAGAAGTACTGTATGCCAGCATCTGCCTTAATTTTTCACATAATAAACAACATTTGCTTGCTAAAAAAGTAATACTGTAAAATATATGAAGTAGAAAAGATTAAATAAGATTTGATTTTATGAGTTCAGTGCACCAATAGTCTTGGGCAAATCTGCAGATTTGTTCCATATCATTGCTTCTGAGTTTCTTATTCCATTGAATGCACAATGCTTGAAATTCTACAGTATGTGTTCTGCTTTTGTATTCCTGAATATTTTGTCATATTTTAAAGTCAGCATTCATGTGGTTTAGAACTATGGAAATGTTTCCATGAAAGCGTTTTCAGAACAACCATCCCAAGGCGTGTTAAATCTCTCATTCTGGTGTCAAACCAACCCCCTGCAGAAGAGAGGAGTCTGAGATTTTAGTGAATATTTTGTAAGTGCTCACTGGAAGGGGCTGATTCCCATAATGTGCTATGAGGTTCTGGCACTTTAGAGGGGATGTTTCTGAACATTCCTACACTTACATGTCCTTCATTCCCTTTAGTTCATATGCTTCTGTTAATGAACTGCCATCTTACTTCAGAATCACAAATGTTCAGTTGGATAGAAGTCTGGAGGTTGAGATAGCAGTCAACAAGAGAATTGCTTTTGTGTGCAGGACTTTTAACCATTCCTTTGTTGATTTGGGTGTATGCTTTGGATTTTTGCCATGCTGAAATGCCCATTTTTGGCCCACTTAAGCAACCTGGCAAACAAAGAAGACACTCCTCTTGGCTGGAATGAAATACCGCAAAATGGGGTGAAGGTTTTCATTCAGTGTCATTACTGTCATTACTTAGTGATTAGCATTGGCCTGCCATTCTAAGGAATGAGCCTACCCAAACCTATCCAAGGGATTTTGTTACCCTGTACTGTTGGAACCAGTTCTTAAGCTTGGCACCACATGTGCACTTGTTTATTTGTTATAATCCCAGTGAAGGATGATTCATTTGACTGGGTCACATTTCTTCTTTCTTCTTCTTGCCAGGTGTGACGAGCGGTTTGTGCATGTTATCCCACTTTGTTGAGTTCTCGATGGACAATTTTTTTTTAGCAAACTGAGTGTCAACTGATTTGACATTTGCAGTCAATTCATCTGTAGTTGCTCAACTGTTTTTCCGTTTATTTCTAATTAATGAAAGGATATGATGATTCTGGAGCATGCGCTTCTGCCCTCTGATACCTTTTACTGATGATGTTTTCCCCCAGAGTTCAATACTGACATCATCTTTCATCATCTAAGACACTTTTGCTTGTGAAACATATTTCATTATACTTGGAGTCCCTCATTAACCAAAGTGTTTCCTTTTTCATCTACCAGCTGTAATTTCTGACAGCTGTGCTTCACAGCATCTTCCAATTGATAAGGGAGTCCCACAAGGTTCTCCCTCTTCAATGTTGTCTCTTACATTTCAAAACGTGGTTCAAAACATGAACAGCAGGTAAGATTAGAAGCTCAGTAGTTACTATACACTGTCCCTCAAAAGTATTGGGATCACAAAGTCAAAGCTTTTTTTATTTAGACTCAAGAAATACATACCTGTCATTGTCTGACTCTGAATGATAAGTGCAATATGTTATGTTTTATTTTTGGTTGAAAAATTAATCACATTAGCGCAAAAACATACTTTATGTTCAACAGGGCGATGTCGAGTGACCCCACTGACCTCACTAAATCCTTAGTGTAATCATTTGCACATCATACTTTGCTGCATTCACTTTCCAATACTTAAGGAGGTAACTGTATATTAACATTATTGCTCCGCCAATAAGGAACTCTATCCACCTTTATGCCTGAGACACCGTTTTATACTCATATACTGCATTCACTTTGTCATCAGTGATTTGCACCTTTAATTAAATTAAATTATGAAGTGCGACTTCTGCTTAACTCTGATAAATTAGACTTATTTTGTTCAATAAAAATGTCTGACTTTTCCTCATCATAATAGTTTTACCTTTAAGTGACAGTTCCACACAAAACCTTCTTATGTATACATATTTAATATCTGGTTCATTACTTAATTTACTTTCAGAACTCAACATTAATAACTTTGCAAGCTAAAATCAAGACGTGATTTCCTCTATTGCAATCATTTTTGCTTTACACTTTCTTCTTGGTTACACTGGTTCAAATGCCCATACTCCCTATTTTGGACAATGTTGATGTTGTTTACAGAATGGTGTCTAGAGCTGTTCATTGGGAAACTATATTAGGCCATTCTGCCCTAAAATTTCTCACTGTTACTGTCTCAGTATAAACTCTCATCATTGTGACCTTTGTTCTCTGATTTATTGGACATCTCTGCATACTAGACAAATGCTTCACTGGTTTATATTCCTTTCCAGATCTTAAATTAGGAAAACCTCTTCTTATCTTCATAATTCATTGCAGTTCTCTGTGGTATTCTACATTTTAAGATCTAGTACTTTCATCGAACTGAGCCCCATGAGAGCAACTCCTGACTTTGGAAGCAAGTCATTTCAATTTGCTGCTGCCAGTGCTAAAACTTTCCATCTTCATATCTTGTAAATGCCTTTTCATTTGTATGAATTAAATCATCTCTGCCTGGCATTCCACTTTTTAACATTGTCTTGTCCCTCAGTTAAAGTTTGATTTAAATAGCTCCAGTTATTGAACTTCTTTTCTTTCTTTAACTGCTTTGTTATCTGTGCAACAACGGTGTAAGCCTCTTGACCAGGTCACCGTTCTAAATGAGACTTATCAGGTGAAATAAAGGACTGTTGTAGGTCTTTCAAATTTCAATGGTTTCCAGTCCCTTTTGCATCAGCCTGGTTAGTTTCGTTATCAGGTTTCCTGTCCTCTCTTAGTGGGTAGAGGTCTGTATTCAATAGAAATTTCAAATACTAGAACTACAGTAGGTGCTTAGTTCTGTAGCAAACACTGTAGAAATGGGACAAATGAAGGTGACAGAAATAGGTTAAAAAAATAAATGGTCCTGCTGCTGACACCTTTAATATCCAGAGAAAAACAGAGATCACCTGTTTATGATTTAAAATTCCAACTGGTGTTTGACAATCTGGGATAAGCTTCCTTGAAGGCTAAGCACTGTCCTACCATGTTTTATAATTAATACCCCTAGAGATTTCCATTGCAGTTTCTCTTCTGTATTTGTATTTCCCTCTTCACATAATTGGTGAAACACCATTTTTGAATTTTTTCAGTCCTTTAAAATTTACCACATGCAAAATGAATCAGTGTGATAAGTGGTATGATTTCAGCAAAGGAAATGGTGCTTAAAAAGAGGAGCTCTTCTAAGATGGTTCTCTAGACCCACAACTGTAATCAGTAGTGGCGATAGGGCTGCTGGAGAAGAATTAGCAAAACTGACCTTGAAAATGAAAAGGTTAAAGTAGATATCCCTCCTGGATTATTCCACAGGGTTTTTCTTGCACAGGACTGCACTTGAATTTCAATCCTTAATTCTGAACTGTGGGCTTTGGAAAGGTCACAGGTTTCAAAGAACTTAGCAGTTTGTGCTTGGCCAAAGTACCAGAACAGCACAGACATAATTATTTGGCAGGTCCTACGGGACAGGCTTTTCCCAGGAAGTTTGACCGGGGAAGCTGAGGCAGCTTGACAGATATTTGGCATACACATTCAGAAACACACAGAGGCCTGCTTGAAACTGCACAGGGAATTTTTAGTTTAGATAACCTACATAGTAATTTGATGCCTAGTGAAGCTTGCAGGCAACACCTGACTGCTTTTTATTCTTACTATATCACATAATGGGCCTAGTTATTAAAGTTTGATAAACTTAAAATCTTTATCCAGATAACTTCTAAAGAACTATGTAGGTACAGAACCCTTTTTAGTCACAATTATAATATACCAATCTATTATACTTCATTTGTTTTTGAAGTACAGGGTGATTTTACATCAATGAAACTATGTCAGTTCATTTTTTTCTTCTTGGGAATTGTGAGCTACTGTATGTTCTTAGGAAAGGCATTAAAATACATTGATAAGTTTTTCTGTGTTACAAAGATACAGTTTATTACTGTTAATTCTAGTGCAGAGAGAAAAGTCGATCTTATAAGATGTAATGTGTAAATTATGCTGAAATGTAATAAGAACTGTGTTGAATCATGGTATTTTCCCTTTTTTAAAATAAAAGTTTATTTAAAATGAAGTGCAAGGCCATTTTGCACTACATCAGCTATTTTTACTTTGAATTGGTGCAGGATTTATTGCTAAGCTAAAACTGTATTCTGATGAAGTCTTCTTTGTTACTCTGTCAATTAAGACACTAATTTTAAGTATGAAAACGGGATAAGCTTATATTTTCTTAACTGCCTAAATTGTAACCTGATAGTATATATCTGAGGATGACTAGAGTAAAGATGTTTACACCACTCATAGCCAAAACTTTTATTTTTCAGAACAGTTGCCGTTTGAAACTATTAATATCATTAAATGTCAGAAAAATGTAAAACAACTATCAGCCTAACACTAAATTCTTAAAAGACATATGTTAAACATATATCAGCATGACTGGCATGGTGGCTAATTCTATTGTACTGTATGTCACTTCAGTGGAGTTGAGGTGTTCTCCCTATCTTTTTGTTTTCTCTGGTTTCCTCCCACTTTCCATAGACATATAACTTAATCTTTCTAAATTCTCCTTGTGTGCCTTGTCAGTCCCACCTTTAGTCCAATGCTCCTGTGTTGCCATGACCTTTTCTGGGAATAAATTGGCTTTCTGATAATGGATGGTTGGAAATGTAAACAGTCTCTCAAGCCATAGCCAGAGTGAATGTAATCTTAATGAAGTGTGGTCCTATTATAATGAAGCACTTACAGCACATTTTAAATGTTGAATTTCCAACTGACGTTGACTTCCACCTCTATAATTCCTGATCAGTCTTTAGCATTTCTGAAATAACTGTGCAACCAACATTTGTCCTGCTGCTGTTACTTTGCTGATCTTGCTGACCTCCAGCTATGTGTTGTTGTCCTTTTGCATTTTCAGCTCACACGAAGGATATGCCATTCACATGTGAGACTTGTGGGAAATCCTTCAAACGCAGCATGTCCCTCAAGGTGCATTCTCTCCAGCACTCAGGGGAAAAGCCTTTTAAATGTGAGGTAAGACCGGCAATAAGTTCAGACTGGGCTGCTCGGGAGTTCATGTGAAAGACATGTCTTTGTCTTTCTCTGTCCAATTGGAGAACAGATGTTTAATACCAACAATACTCCAGGTCATCAGTGCTTAAGCAATACTGTATATTCATATCCAGACCAAGCTCACTCCACATTTGGACCTCTATTCCTCTTCATTGCAGGACTACAACCAGATTCTTAATTTCTGTATTCCTGCTACTTATCAATTAAATAATGAAGGAGACGGGAGATCAACATTGTGAAAATGAATGGATTAGAGGTTCCACAGGTTTAATTGCCCTGCACTAGACTATTTGAAGGTTTGGACTATCTCAAATGCTGTTTTTCTATTAATAAGATATGTAAAAGAAGACACAAATATCAATTCAGTTCAGTGAAAAATCAAAATCAAAACAGTTTTACTAAATTACTAAAGTATTACTTTACTTTAGTATTTAAGTATTTACTTTAGTATTTTACTAAATACTAAAGTGCCATTGCATTTTATACCCTTTGATCAAGATGTAGAAGCAATTTTGTTTCCAAATTGTAGTATGCTTAGTGGAAATCCAAGAGCAAAAGCAAGGTTGCCAAGGAGAGGAGGCCGTTTAGCCTTCCATCTAGCTTCTCATTAAATAATTGATCCAAAAATCTGTAGATTCACTTGTTTCATCACAAAGAAGCCTTGGAGGACACTTGAAAATCCTCAATAAAGGCACTGACAAAAACTGTAGAATCAGCAGTGAAACATAAACCAGAGGACACAGATGGAAATTCAGCGGATTGTATTTAAAACCTTTGAGTTTATAACCTGTCTTGCAGAAAGTTCCTTTAAGTCTTGGAAGGTACGTGCTTGCTTTTCTTTTAACTCACTCTGAGCATTTTTTTTATAATTAAGTGACCGAATCTGTACACTAAATTAGGTCATGATCCTTAAGTGCTTAGTATAATTTAAAACATGACTATAATACTGAATACCAAATCAAAGTTAAGTGTATTTAAAGATCTAAGAATTTTTCGTTTTAACACTTGTAGGATTTGTGGAATCAGTATCTTGGAATTAACACTGTAAACGTTCAATTTCATAATTGAAACTCCAAATTTTTTAAAAAAATTGAACATGATAAAAGTTTCATCGCTTGTTGTTGTTTAATCAGTTGTTTACAATTTTGAAGTCTAGTTGATGTTAAATATCTCCCCTAACATGAACTGGCTGATTTGTTGTGGCTTTTGTTAATTGCTAAGAAGTCTTTAAAGTAGTCCATATGATTTATATTAAACTAAACAGAGATTCCTATAAAAGGTGATAGTATTTAGGGTTTCCACTAGAAGCGTATTAAACATTTTAATGTACATTTTATTTTGAGAGACTGTTCTTCAAAAAATGAATGTTCCTTTCTGTAAGCAATGTGTGCTGTTTTGTATTGTACACACAGACTGGCAACCATCCAAGAATCCTGTAGGGTTAAACATGAAATTTCCTCTATCTTCTTGTTGACTTTTTCCGTCTCCCTGTTTTCTTCAACAACCGACATGGGGGATCACAATGTGCATTAACACATTAAAAATAAAAGCATAACATCAATTTAACAGTAAACAGCCCAGCATAGGCTTTTTTATATTTTCCCATTACCACTATCAGTGGTGGTAAAACATACCTGCACAGGGCCAGTGTTTATACAGCATTTTCCTTTTACAGTTTTTTTAAATTGAATAATTAATCTTACTTGAATAAACTGAGCAAAATAAGTCAAATTTCCATTCATAAGCACTTCTTGAAAATGACCTACTGTACAACTCCTTATTTTGCAGCCTGTCAATGTCTCAGTGAGCATTTCTGACTTTCTGACTTCAAACTCGAATGGCCTCAAATCTAAAGGGCTGTAAAACATCTACTTTGGATTCATGGTTGTCAGTTTAAAGCCACTGCTAAATTCTGAGCAAAATAACTAAACTCTAAACATCAACTTATTTCCATGCAATGAGGCTGGTGGCCTACCTCCACTGACATTATAAATCCTCACTTGGGTTTCTTGTCAGCTGAGGCGTTTTACAGGTAATGTCTGACTTTCAACACGGAACGTTTTAAATTTGTATTTGCCTGTGCGAATTGCCCACAATGGCTTACAGTAACACAAAGCTCACTTTCCAAGAATAAATAATGGCCATCAGTTTAGATAATGTTAGGAATTAGTGCTTTTGGAAGGCAGCCTTTTGGACTGGCTCACTCCTGGCAACCTATATTGTGGCAGGCACCTGCAGGACTCTGTGTCACATACAGTATTTCAAGTGTCAGGACAAATTAAGGGGATCTAACTACAACTGACAGGGCTGTTGTGGCTTTTATTATAATAAATGTTCGTGGTTTTCTTGTCATTTTTATTAATTTCCCCTGATTATAACCCTTCCGTGAGTGTTTGAGAGAGTGTGGCTGCCTCTAGGCCTGGACCTCTGTACAGCTGGCAGCCTTTCAGTGATTACAGTATGTGAATAAGTGTAAGAAGTGCTACCTGTTGCTCTCACTGCTTTTCTTTGCAATCAACGGGGCCTTACTGCTCCTTGTGAGTGTCTGCCGTTACTTTTTCAGCTACATTTCAGTTTACTCCCGAACCCACTTACAGTATAAGCTCTGTGTTGGTGTCCAAGTGAGTGAGATACATGGGAATAAAACTGTGGAGTTGCCTTCAAAACAAAGCAATGCAGGGACCTCCTAAGCCAAATCAAAGAACCACCTGTAAGGAATTAGTTGGTGGCAAGTACCATGAAAGACTTAGTTTTGGAGACACCGGACCAAAGAACTGTGCCTGTTACGACCCCAAGTGTCTAGGGGTATAGGGGTGTAACATTTAGGATAATTCTTTTGGAAGCAGGTGGGTTTTGGTTAGGGACTAGGAAGCGTGATACGGGTAAGGAACTAGAGTGGTGCCAAAGAAAAGAAAATAACAAACAAAATGGAGCTGGCTAGGACAGTGAGGGAAAGCTAATCTGACTAAAAAAGAAAACCCGAAACACACGGTCTTCGGTGTCTTCAACACCCTAGGTAATCTGCACTGACTACTCAAAACCATACAAGACAAATAGCACTCACCCGTACTAAACTAGTGTACTAATACAAAATCAACTAAGTGTGTAAATTGTACCCAACAACCTTAACTAACCTTATATACAAAAGTTCACACAAAAACAGTGAACCAGGAATACAAATAAGGGAAAACAAGAGTAATCAAGAGGAGCAGGGTACAAAAGAACACAAAAGTTGAACATGTAACACTGGGGCAAGGTAATGACAAAACAAGGATGAACACACAAACAAATGAAAGTACAAAGAAACTAACAAAAAAACAACAAACCAACAAACGAAGCCAAAGCAATAACCAGAAGCTAAGCAAAAACCAAAACCAAACAGGACGGAAGTCAAACGAAAGGCCTTTTCTTCCTGAAGGCCTCCATGTTATATAGTGAATAAAATGAGTTCTGATTGGCTGAGGGCAGATTGATGATGACATCATATTGAAACAGTGGTGTGATGGTTGGCCAATGGGGAAGGGAGAACAATCAAGGGTCAGCAGTGTGGAACATAGGAAAAACACACACAGAACACACACTGGGACGTAACAGAGCCACATCCCTTGGTAATGTCTGCGCTGGCAGACCACCCTTCCCTGGAAAAATTCCATGCTGCCTATTGCAATAGGAAAAAGCTTGCTAGGAATGTGCTACTTGCTGATGCCACATGCCTTGAAAGATGATACAATGAGGGAGGCAGCTCTTCTATGTAGCCCGCCCCTGCCTACACAGCTGGACCCCACCACGTCTTTGTATATGATAGAACGTACAACTGAAACCATGTAGAGGCAGCTGCAGCACCACCTGAGAGATGTGGGAGTGAAACGTGAGGCTTTTTCACTAGCCTGCTGCAGAGCCAGGGTCTATCATTTTCTTATATGGAAGAGGAAACTTGTCGAGAACCTCCTGCACACCCAGGGAACCGCTGTTTCAGCAAGCTTGATTCTTTTGCCTTGGAATGTGACTGGCATCAACTAGACTGACCTCTGACCCTACCTCTATTGACAAGTCTAAAGCAGGCTTCTGGTCCTGCAGGGCTGGGGCAGGTATTTCCCGCCAAGGGAGGGAGGGAGGGCTCAAACCAGGATTATGGGACTGTGGAGTGGGAGGTGTATAAGGTCATGTTCTAAACTTCTGTCACTCTGGATATCACTGGATACCACGCAGCAAGCCCTCTGGTTGAAGAACTTGTCAGAAGGGCCATTGCGATTGCAGTCTAATGGACTTCTATTATGGACTGACAGAACTGTTATTGTGTTGTAGTGGTCTAAAACATTTGTGGTCTCAGTTATCATTATTCCTGCTTGTTCCCTCCCTGTTTGGAAAGCTGCCATGAGTGTGGGAGTAAGTGTCTTCTGGACATGGACTGTAACTTTGGTGAAGCTGGCAGCAAGCAAGTGAACATTCTGTATGTCAGTGAGAGCCAGGTGTGCTGCCTACTCCTGGCTTCTCTGCAATAAAAGGTAAATTACTCTGCTGTGTTGGCAAATTAAATCATTGCTACTTCTTAAGAACATAGAACAAAATCTGTGTTCTCTCAAAAAAAAACACAGCACTTACAAGTGATGCAGTACTGTTTCTGTCTGTGATGTGAACACCAAAGGAAAAATGATGCTGGCCATCTTTTTATTTTTTTTAAGTAATTATTTTTACATTTTGCAGGGATTCGGTAACAGTGTGGATTATGCTATATTGTAATGCAATTTTTTTCCTTTTCTGTAGAACTGCAGTGAGCGTTTTCAATACAAGTACCAGCTGCGCTCACACATGAGTATACATATAGGACACAAGCAGTTCATGTGCCAATGGTGTGGGAAAGACTTCAACATGAAGCAGTACTTTGATGAACACATGAAAACACACACTGGTAAGAGCACTTTTTTTTCATTTCTGAAAATGAAAATGTAATTGTGTGCTGTTACTGCTGTTACGTAATTATAAATTATTCTTCTGGGTTGCAAATTATAATATTCCCCTTTTACATAAAAAATGATTATTTTTTTTGTATAAGTTAGTATTAGTATAAAGTATGTAGCCCAGGTGCACATTGAGTTTGGAATATAGTTCTCTTTTGGTACAAGGTCATAAATGACTATCTACTTTAATATCTCTCAGAGGAAGATTTTAATCCATTTAGAATCTAATCTGTTTATTTTAGAAAACAGCTTGAAAATCTGTTTAGCCAAAAGTCTCTGCACTGTTTAATATGTTGTGACTGTGACTGCTAATGTTTCCTTTGAATATTTCCTCATTTAGTCAATTGAGAATGGTATTAAGAATTAATTTTATACAAACAAGCTACAGTTTTGTTTTTGGCAGCTTTGTATCTCTAGTTTGTCCATTTTATTGTGCCCATGTCAGACGGGTTAAAAATTTAAGATTACATTGAAGGCTGCAAAGGAAAGGTTGCAACACGACTTGCTTAATGGTTATTTTTTAGAGAGTTGCTATTGTTTCTGCAGGAGAGAAGCCGTATATCTGTGAGATCTGTGGGAAGAGTTTCACCAGTCGGCCCAACATGAAACGCCACCGGCGCACCCACACTGGCGAGAAACCTTACCCCTGTGACGTGTGTGGCCAGCGTTTCCGCTTCTCCAACATGCTCAAGGCTCACAAGGAGAAGTGTTTTCGGGTCAACAATCCCATGACTTCTGATGCCAACCCACTCGGCCTCAACCCCTCTTCACCGGGCAGCAACTCAGATGTGCTCGCCAACCAAGCAAACGCAGCAGGAGCCATAGTTAGCCCACCCCATGCTATGTCCCTCCCTCTTCCCTTGCTCCATTCCATGGGAACACTCCCACCACCTCCTCACCTACCCCCTCCACCGCCATTGTTTCCTGCTGGGAGGATAAACTCCAGCAACAATTAAGAGCAGTTAATCCTTTTTTTTTCTCAAACCCACAGATCAGACAGTCCAAATTGCCTACAGTACCTGTAGTGGGTTCTTAGTCATTACCTCAGTTGGGATAAACTCCATATCACAGTGTGTCAACTGTAGGGAACTTACAATTTGCATTAAAACTCATAACCATTGATATTAATATTTTATTCTTTGCAACTTATATTTCAGAGGCAAACTATCAGTATTAGGCATTAAACTGTGTATCTATAAAGAGATGCATAATTAAATAATGCATAATTTACTCATACAGCCAGGTGTATGAGAGTTTAAGTCTTTTTACCAAATCCCACAAACTGTATCCTACAGTAACAACCCAGTGGAAATGTCAGTACTTGGGTTTTTTTTTTTCATGCACACAGTTATCTTTCTCTTCCATTGCCACTTGTTGCTTTTCAGCTCCATGAACTGCCAATCCATGCCATAGATATGTACAGCTCTTCTTTAAGATTTGCACCGCTCTCCAAATTACCAAGCTCATGCTAAATCTTTATAAGGAAATTGGTATGAAATGTGTATCTGTCATACACTCCAAAAAGTGAAAATCGTGTGGTGCCACCTCAAGAGGCTCAGGACATACTGAATGGAAGTAATGCCTGCTGAAGATGTTATTTTTATCCCTGTACGTTCTTGACAGATGCCTTTTGTCTACACATTGGAAGGTGTAGCCTCTTTATATATGAGTGTTTGGAGGGTGTAACAGATAACTGTATTGCTATTTTCTTTCTTCGATTTTTGAAGCTCCTCAAAGACTTCAGAGGATGTACACAGATTCTTGGCAGGACGTAGAAGTGTTATTATGAATTGCTTCATGGATACTCAAAATGATGCTGTTTTAAAAGACAAAAAGATGCAGACAAAGGAGTTGGACTTCTGTGCTTCATCACTGAAATCTTAGGGGCTTCATAGGATGGCTATGTAGTGAAACATGCATTGGTGATGAAGAGTTAACACCCACAATAGAAAGCTAACAATGTTACAGTATTCCATTAAGTTTCATAGTCAGGTTAACAGGTACTGTAGCCAGTCCAACAATTTTTATTAGATGCTCCAACAATAACCAAATGCTGATATTTTTTAGAATAAAGTTTTGTTGCATTGCAATAACCAAATCCTGTGAGTTCTCCGTAAGGGCAGTGTTGCATTAGATTTTTCTGTACTGCAGCTTTCTTCCATGATATTTATTATGTACTGTTCTCAGACCTTTAATCATGCATCTTTATTTTAGTGCACCAATTCTTGTATTATGTTAGGCATTAAATGCCATTTTTAAAAGGTTTTGTAAAAGCTAGGATTAAGAACATTGTGCAGTGCACAGTGAAATATACGAAGGTATGTTGTTCTATGTAGCATAAGGATGTACAGTGTAAGCACTCTACGAAACGAATAAGTGTGTGGCCTTTTGGTCATAAAATGTTACTATCTATTAACCAAACACTTTTATTCCCAAGGCTAAAGGTTGGTACAATGCAGGGTATAACGCCTTGATGCCAAGCCAAACTAATTTTGCTTATGTTAAGCAATTTGTTTTCCTCTATTTGTGACGTAACTTGGCACTTTTCTATTGGTTTCACTTTAGCCCTCCTAGTGCCTCAAAGAAGCTTTCAACAGCAGATTTCATGGATATATTAAAAGCTTCTCTTTGAATCTGTAGCTGACTTTCCAATGCTTTTGGTTTCATTAATGTGATACTGTGTAACAGTGATGGACTACTCAGTTTTGTTTGGTCTAAGTTTGCAATTTATTAATGGAACTAATTATTTCTTTAGATAGTAAAGACTGATGGTTTTGAAAGATCTTTAACCATTAATCCTATAAAATATGTTTTGTTTGTTGATATTGCACACTGGTTTTGGACTCTGCCAGGAAATTTTATAATTATATCTTCCGCAATGAAAAAGGTCATTTCAAGAGATAGCTGTATTACCTGTATTTCCTCCTGTGTTACGTTAATTTTCGAATTCAAAATATCATTTGTATAAAATGATTGGTTGGTCCAGTTTTGCAGTTTTTCTAATTTTTGTAAAGAAAGGTAAAACAAAATCAGATACCCACCCCCTTACGCTAGGAGGGTTAAAAGTCATAGTTAAAAGTCATTGATAAAAGTCCGTGACTTTTGAATCCATGATTTTTCTTTTACAAATTTAACTTATTTTCCTGACGTCAATCTTTAGTGAAGTTTCCATGATGCAAAACAAATGGTTCTGCATTGTGACTTTTATTTTGATATGATTTATAAACCAGATCCTGTCATCAGTAGGAATTACTGGAGTGAAGAGTTGAAGCTCTAATACTAAAATGTAGATGTAAACCTTTCTGAACTGAATGGTTTTGAAATGTGATGACAAATAGGCAAGTAGCTTTGTTTAAATCCCAATATAAATCAGATGTATTTTTTGATAATTCAACACTATAATGTAATGGGAATGTTTAGAAAATGTATGGATAGCATTAACAAATTACAGTCTTTAGAAAAATGCCCCTTAATTACTGTTAAGTGAAAACATATTATTGTATCATTTTACAGATCACTTAGCAACCGTCTTAATAAGATCTACCCTGTAGAAGGGAACGTAAGCAGTCTGGTATCATTTCAGTTGTCCAACTGGCTTAAAAAGCTACTGTAAAGGCCTGCACAATGGGGAGAAATGCCCCAGAAATAAGTGCAATTTTCTTTTGAGACACATGCACTTTCATTAAAAACTTTATAATAAGGCTTAAAGAAAAGCTATTGAAAAGTAGTTTCTTTATTCCCAATCTTTTAAAATAATTCTTAAGTTTTAAACCCAGGTTAGACCTGGTTGTCCTGTTTCATAGTAGGCAATTATGAAAAAAGCAATGCTTCCTTATGAATATTACTATAACAAGGTGAAGCAAAAGCCTTTGTGTACTGGGCCTTTGGTACAGTATATAAGTGTGCACTTATGACTGTAATATTCATAATTCTTTAGTGAACATCTGTTTTCCCCTTGTTTACTTACACATAAAACAAAGTTGTAGGAGGGAATGCTCATTTTATTGTGTATTGGTACTGAAAATTTTGTACGAGTTTAAATAGTAAGCTGTTTTCTTAGTTAAAATGTTCTCATGCACCTTATGCTGTAGTAATAATGATAATGGGAAAGTGTGTGAAGTTTAAGTGTGATGAAAACTGCAGAGGCAAGCTAGCAGTCATCTGCTCACAGGTTGATACCAAATTATTTTCAAAAGGTACTTTTTAAAAAATGTTTTTTTTTTAATTCTGATAGCTGCTTTTGTACATGGTTCAGAAGATAATGCCTGTATCTGAGCACTGTGGCAGTGTTCTGGGGAATTTCTGCCTTTGATTCTTTTGAATCCCCTTTTGATGGAGAAAGGAACAAGTTGTGCTTGAGTCTTGATCACAGCTGGTATCTGAGGCTGTCAGTATGTTGGGGTGTGATGATTGGACTCTACAACACACCAGTCCTATGGGAGTGGCCGCACTTTACTCTGTAGAGCAACATCACCCTCTTCTGTTCCATAAGCAGAGCTAATCTAGTTCTCAAGTGTCAAAGGGATGCTTAATCTTTTTTGCAATTTTATGTTTTGTGTGAACAAATGTAAAACAGTGGTGTGGAACCAGGGTTAGTTTCCTATTTAAAAGGAAAAACAAGCAGAAAACAGACAAACTTCAGAAAAAAGCAAATGCCCTGTGCTTTATGCATACTGGTTTCAGTCAATGGCCAGGGTTTCTAATCTGTACTTTTTCTTGGCTGGAGGTAATGTCATATTTATACCTTGTGTAAAGTGGAGTATATAATAAGCTTCTAGAACCTTGATTATCTCAGATTGGTACATTATAAATATGGACCAGAGCCTTTTTTTTTTCTTAATAATCAGTAGGGAGCCTTAAGCATGGTGCTTGAGCAAGTGAACACCTCATGTTTGTATGGAAGGATAAAATGTCTAACTCCTGTAACACTTTATGTAGTTGAACAGAAAGGTGAGAAATTCACTTGCCGATAAACATTAGGTATTGACATCATAAGACATTTTTGCAAAATTTTGTTTTCTCAGATACAGCTTCACTTCCGTCCTTATGCTGAATGGCTGGTCTAAAGTAAAACATCCACTACTTCTGTGAATTCAGTGGTTTTGGCCATGAATGTCAACTAAGCAAGTTAGGATGGATAAAGCGATGAGGTGTTTAACAGTTTGTTGTCCAGAAATTCTTTTAAAGAGGAAATTCCATCTTAGATTTCCGGAGCACCTTCTGAAAGGACATTGTCAAAAAACACATTATTGGAAAAAGAACAGAAGATAATATGTATAATGTCTAGATCTTGGAACTTCAAATCTCAGTCAGTGTTACATTTTCTTGTTGTTGCTGTTGGGTTTTATTTAATTGTTTTAGAACATTTATTCAGTTTTAATATACTGTAAAAACCAAAGTACAGTTTCACATTGGAGATGTTGGGCCACAGATAAATGTCAACAAGTGAAGCCACTGGAAGCCTCTCCATGTAACTCAATAAAAATGGGTGCTAGCGTAATTGTGTTGTGACAACATGTACTGTTATCTAAACTGTATTTCTGGGAGTATAGAGAGGCACTGTAATGAGAGTGAAGAATATTATGGGTAACCCTTAAATTATTAATATAAATTCATGTAAAAAAAGTCATGTAGCATTCAATTCTTATAGATGTAATCAAAAATCAAATATTTTAAACAGATATCAAATATAGAAAATATTAACACAAATATAGATCAAAAAAGTATTTCTGCATAAAACCTGAGATACTGCCAAAAGAAAAATACCTTATGGTGTTATCAAGTATGATCTCCCAGAGCATCGATACAGTCCTGTAAATACCGATGAACAGCTCTGATCAGGGTCTGGATCGTCTGCTGTGTGATTGCATGCCACTCTTCCAGTACAGTTGCAGCCAGCTGGCGAAGGGTAGCCAGTGGTTGAATGCTGCTGATGGGACTGGCGAGCTGTTCCCACAGATGTTCTGTTGGATTCGGATAAGGAAAAATTCCTGGCCTCACCATTGCTTTTTAAGTCATGTAATTCTAATTCGAGCATTGTGTAGTCTTGAATTGTCCTGCTGGAAAATCAATATTTCCACACTGGTAAAATAGCAACAGGAAAACTTGGATCTAAGGTTTTGTCGAGGTTTCGTTGTGCAGTTACAGGTTTGCTTCAGTCTGCGCCAAAAGTACTTAGTGTTAAGGAGTTTTGTTTCCATCACACTTCCTCTGCCCCACCGATAACATTCACAACAATGTCTCCATCATATCAGAAGTGTTCACTCATGCCCCAGGTATCCAAGCCTAATTTGTTTCTGAAAATCTGTTTCGGAAGTTGGGAGATTGTAAATTGAAAATAAAAATTCCATCATTTCTTAAGGGGAAAATTTCACCCCATTCCAAACCAAAGACAAGTTCACTCAAAAACTACCTTAAACATAATATATCATACAGACCATTATAGCAAGCTTAGTGGACAACACAGTTCTACTCAAATAAGCCAACTATAGATGTAAAATAATTATTGAGACATATTTACGTTTCATTCCTTCATAATTGATCGGATTAGCAAAAATCCATGTACTATTGTTCTTATACCGGGGTATGAGTGTATTTATTAGTGAATAAAACACTTCATAACTCACTGCCTCTCTCACAGTTGCTTTTACTGGTGGAAAATAGTGATTTCAACTCTGAGCCTTTACTGTTACCCCAGAATTTCAAGGAGACCACATTATTATTTTATCCAGTAATTCCTTGCAGTCTATAGCCACTACAGTCTAACAACGATTACAGCGACAAGACAGTCGTTGAAGGTAAAGTGGTGATCCTTTACCTTCCAAGACATAGCCTGTCTCCAGGAATATAATTCCTGATTTCTGTGAACTTGTTTGTTGATTATTCAAGCAAAACTTCTCATTCTCTGGGCAAATAGCCCACTTACATCATGCAGTAGCAAATGGGTCATCTTCGTTACAAAAGTGGGGTAGAGTTATATCATTCAAAGTTTTCCTAGCAATTGTATTGTTAATAATTTACATTTGCAGTCTGCAACGGTATATAATGTTTATCTTCTAATTGTGTAACCTAAATCAGGCATATAAACAAAAATGATATTCTAAGATTACTAACAACAGTGACTTGTTTTAAGTTAAATTTTTCATATTCTTGTCGCAACAAGAGAAAGACAGAATGTTTCATCTAAGAAGTGTTCATCTAAGAAGAGTTTAATTCCTCTTCTAAACTGACTGTCTTAACATAAGCTTAAACCAGACTTAGGTTTATTAAATGGTTTTGGTTTCTGTCTGTCCCCAAGTGCACTTTAGTATATATTAAATGACCTCAAGCTTTTATTTTTAAAACTAGTATTTCAGCAAAAGGTGTAATGGAATGGCTGTATTGCTTTAGATAGAGCCAAGAATTCAGACATGAGGTGAAGAGACATTCAAGAATATTCAGTGGAAGATATTAGTCAAAAAATGCCAGATTTTTTTATTTTTCATTTTTGCATTTTTCATTATATGTTACATGTGCATTCTGCAATTAGCAAAAGTAGTCCTGTTCACTTTTTGTCTTAAGAATAATGACTAGCAATTACATCCGTTATTGACAAGATATAGCTCTGATTTAGTGTAGCAGGAGCAGCAGAACACTGATCATTTTGATTGGATATGTTTATAGATATATATGTAGATATATCCACATGTAGCTCATATGTAGATAATCTCTACTTCAACAAGCAGTACAGATGCCATTAAATTCCTACAAATCTGTAACATATTAAGATGTTAGTATACATATATAATTTTTCTTAAAATGAGGAGTTAAAGATGCACTTGACATTTGCTTCCTGTGCACTCTAAGGTGTTTTTTAAACTAAAGGCTAATTTTTGTTTTTTCTGCCTTAGAAGCTCCTGGTTCCTTGTGCATCTGTCACAGTCATAAATCACTAAAAAGGGGTGTGGGCAAACATTAAGCTGCTAGAAAATTTTATTTGGCATTTGTAATTTAAAAGTTTTTAATGTACTTTTTTAATTTGAAAATTAATTTAATTTGAAACCAAATTAGTTAAATCTCATTTATTTAAAAAATAGTTTGTTTCTTATTTCCCAAGAAAGATTACCTTTGAGGACTGGCAGCTTTGAAATAAGATGTGACCCTTTTCTCTGGTTTTAAATTGGAATTAAAAGTAAAGTCTAGAGACATTTGTGGGTATGTGCAAGTATATTTGCTTGTGCAAAAATAAAGAAATATCATTTTGTTTTGCTCAAGAGAAATACAGTATTTTGTGCCTAAATCTGTTAGGAGTTTACATGGGATGTTGTTAGCATTGACTTGTGATGTTTCTTTTTTCCAATGATGTTTGGATTTTTACTTTGTTTTATTTGCTGCTAGTTGGGAATTTCACCCTGTGTGAGTGACTTCTGTGGCCTTTGAACCCAGACCAAAAGGATTTTTTTTTTGCTTTAACAACCAGTTTGAGGAAGAGAGTCTTTAACATTGTGTTTCTGCCCCAGAATTAAGCTACCATGTACATAAAAGGGTTCTGACATTCATTTTTATAGACAAATAATGCATAAATGATAAGCTAGATGACAAAACGTTGAACTGGATGAATCCACTCACTACACTGTTTTTTGTTTTAACTTGCAGTCATGTGACTGCCAGGCCTGTGAATTCCAAAGGAAAATAATCTGTAAGTCTAACAGTTGTCTTGAGATGAGGCTAGCATTTTAAAAGTTAAATATATCTTACATCTTTCATAATGAGAAGGATCAGGTTTACTCAATATTGTTGTTGTTTTATGGTCATGTAGACTACAGCACTACTGACTTTTAATAAACTTTAAGCCAGTATTTTTTTAGACAGAGGGGTTTCAATAATAACTTCAATTCCTGCCCTCACTCTCCCTAAATTACATAGCAAGTCATATATATATGTCAGTCCTCTGTATGCCGATTCTATATTTTACTATGTAAACACAATGTCTTAGCTAACTCCCGTGTACATAGACTACATGTAGACCGTAGCTGTTGTGGTTATATAAACGGAAAATAAAAACAATACAAGGACGATTGTCTAGAGGTGCTAATACTATTAGTCTATATTCTATGTCATTTATTGTATTGCCTAGTGTATAGTGTCTGTAACACAGGAAAGAGCGAAAAGATTTCTTTCAATATTAAACAATATAGATATATATTATTCCAAACTGTGGTTTTGTGTGATTATTTCCTTTCTTTTCCTTTTCTGTTGATGAACATAGAGAAAAATAAGTTATTTAATATTTCACGGACATACTTTTGTAGAGGAATAATAGAATGCTTCTGTGCTGGAAGGTATTTTTTTTCTCATTGCGCACATTGCCAAAAAATTAATTATTAATTTGGGACCATATAACTGATTCTTGACCGGAATAAGAGGGGCTTAAATCCCCTGTAAACATATGTAGAACTTATTTCACTACATCCTGTCACACATTTCATGAAGCTTCTAGGTAAGTAAATCTGTATAAGAAGTATAAGTTGTGAAGTATGTGCTTGGTCCAGAGCTTGATCAGCTCACCAAGCACTTTCTGAACAGATCTTTGTGAGCCAGAACCAGCCGTTTCTTTTTCACGTGAATTGTTTTTCTCCAGATGTCTTTTCCTCTCTCAGCTTTCAGTGTACTTGACTGTTATGATAGTGTTTTGGAGCACATCAGCTTCACATTCAGATCAGTGTACAGTAATGACTTTACAGTCTGAAACAGGAAGCTAAGAGGAGAGTGAGTGGAGTGTGCAGGTCAGGATGATAGTGCTGTCATAAAACCTCTTAGACAACAAACCCCCACATTTCATTTGACAAATTCCTTTGTATATTTAAAAATACCAAATATTATAAAACCTAATAATGTATAGATAATATAATAATTAGAAAAACTGTTTAGCTAGATCAAGCTGCAATAAATTCTTACCTTTGCCATTCTTTTTTAACTGAAAAAAAATGTGTAGAAGCAGATCATGCTGTTTTTCTGATGAAATTTAGCATACTGCATAATATTATTTTGGCTGCTTGTGGTCTTTGAGTATGTAGTCTCAATGTTTTTGAGGGATTTTTTTGCATTTTAAAACTTTTCACGTTTTAAGCAATCAATCAAATTTCAAATAACCTCCACTCTCTCAGTTAAGATTTTACGGGCCTTTTTTGACAAAATTGCTCTGGGCACGAAGTGTCAAAAGTACCACTCCTACCAGTAACTGTGGAATGTTTAGTTGGCAGTGGTTTGATTGCTGTTTAATAGAATTTTTCATTAATCCACCTGGATGACGCAACAGCAGCTCACCACACATCAGCTATCAGTGGGGAGGAGAGCAGAGTAATGTAGCCAATTCATAGATGGGGATTATTAGGAGGCCATGATTGGTAAGGGCCAATGGGAAATTTGGCCAGGACACCGGGGTTACACCCCTACTCTTTTCGAGAAACGCCCTGGGATTTTTAATGACCACAGAGAGTCAGGACCTCGGTTTTACGTCTCATCCGAAGGACGGCGCCTGTTTACAGTATAGTGTCCCCATCACTATACTGGGGAATTGGGACCCACATGGACCGCAGGGTGAGTACCCCCTGCTGGCCCCACTAACACCTCTTCCAGCAGCAACCTTAGTTTTTCCCATGAGGTCTCCCATCTAAGTACTGACCAGGCTCACACCTGCTTAGCTTCAGTGGGTTACCAGTTGTGAGTTGCAGGGTGATAAGGCTGCTGTATAAATACTGTATTGAGTCCAGTTTTAATGTACAAAATAGTTACTGCTTTTCAGAGACTGTTTTCAAAATGTCAAAGTTAGAACGTTGGTCACACTTAAAGAGTGTTCATTTATTAATTATCCATTCATTTTCAGTCTGCTTTTCCCGGTGAGGGTTGTGGCAGTTTTAATTAGAATGTCTTGAAATTTACAGCAATCTCTGCAATCAGCACAAGACCTTTCGTGTTGAGGAGGATCTGAAGTTCTTAAAGGTCTTAAAAACCACCAGCAAGGTCAAAATCACAGTATCTAAAACACAAAAGGATTGGCAAGGAATTAATCACAAAAAATAGATGGTGGCAAAAGTATTTCAACATTAGCTTTCATTTGTTACATGTTTTATGTAGCAAGATTATCATTCTTTACTTAATCTTCCACTTGCGAGAACCCAAGTACTCCAAATCTCTCTGGGTAAGTCACACTGGACACTTTAAGCATTCACTCAGTCAGCTGTTTAATTCCCTTAGAAGAACAACTATCACAGTCTTGTAATGTCAATAAATGCTTATGACTGCAAAGTATTTTTCCTTTCAAGGGAAAGGAAGTGAATTAAGCTATGAATTTTTGGTTCGAAGAGATAAAAGAATACAGTCTGCTAACTTTATCATTTTTAAAATACACAGAAGACATCTATAGAGTTGCAGAAAAAAGTATTCAATTATATAGAATATGCCGAGTATCACTCGTATACACTAATGTTTTTAGAAAAATACGATTAAATGTTTTTTGGAGTTGTTTTTGATTAATTCGTTATTTATGTTTAGCATAGGACACTTAAGTACTGAATCACCCACACAGACCCCCACTGTGTTGTAGCACATACTGTACTGTATTCTGACAAAGGATGCAGGTCTGATATTTATAACACTTAAATGAGAAAGAGTTTTGTTGAGCACCGATGATGAGATGATTTAACCTGAAGAGTGTCAAGCCCAGTGAGAATGAAGAAAGAATGTGTCCACTTCACTTCACATTAAGAGAACAAAGCTTTTGTCCCATTAATACTGTATGTACTCTATGGTGGTGCAGAACCTCAGGTGAACTTGTTAGAAGTGGAGCTCGTCCTCTAATGATGAATTGAGTGTAGAACGGCTAGATGGATGTCAGGCAGATTTCAGATGTTCAGAACTGTATGCTATTTTCTGCATGCAACATACTAATCGATGGGGAACTACGGAGGTCAAGGCAGTACAGAACTCCACTTGTAGTGAATGATGGCTGTGTAACTATGGCACTACATAGTTCCCAGAGCCTCAATCCCTGCCCTTCTTATGGTCTCATCCTGACAATACAACGTTCCATCAAAGTAACACACATCCTCCAGCTTCTCCTGTAATTATGGCTTTTTTGCAGGATAAACAGTATACTGTATGTCCTGCTTGTCAGACTTGAGCCCCATTTTACATTTTTTGGATGGTCTAGGACAACATGTGAGTTGTAGTGCTCAGAGATCAGTGAAAAGCCTCATGCTTGTCCCGGGGCAAATTGGACAGAATAGCATTTGCAAAACTGGTACAAAGCAAGCATCACAGATGTACAGCTTGTATTGATTCCAACTGTGGCCACACACTACATTCACAGTAGACCTCTTATGGATCGATCCAGGTGAAGACACGTCAGCTAGCATAATGTGTTTAACTGTGACATATGTAAAACAGCATAAGATTCCAATAAGATGTCAGTGTGCCACTTATGAAAAAATGCTGTCCTGTTCCTGATCACTTTGTGAATTTGTTGTAGTTAGTGTGGATTCTTTTGATGCGCTGTATGCATTTTTAACTCGTACACCCTGTCTACTTCCTGTGGAAAAGTAAATGTATAAATATACTGTATAATATAAATGTAGATTCAATGTTACTCAATGGGGTTACATTTCAGAAGTCCACAGAACCAAATGCTAGGAAGGAGATATTTACCTCCATCAAAGAGAAAGCTACTGGTCTTCATGTAATTCCATGATTTAAGAAGTGTCTCAGCAATACAGGTTAACTTTAATGGTTTTAGGGTTAACTATGTATAACAGGTTAACTTCTTCACACCTGAAGAAGGCTCCACGGCCAAAATGTGTTTATTTTCTTCTCTTTTCAGCATGGAATAAATCTTTACTTGTTCCTTTTGCAGCCTGCTCATGCTGACGCGGCCACCTGCTTGAATAACTTTAATGATATTTGATGTTTTCTGAATGAATAAAGGAAGAACATTGCTAATATTGAAAGAGAAATTGCAAATGAGAAGAAGCCATTCCACCGATTAAACCTTGTTAGGACAATCTGGCCTCAGACAGTCATTTCTTGAAAGCAACCAAGGAGTTAATTTAATAACATTGGATAATGTTTTCCTGAACTGTATGTGTGAAGAAAAGTTTTACTCCTGAATGTATTTTCTTTTCCCACATGTCCCTGGGTTCTTGTTCATTTGTCATAAACTAACTTTTATCCATTATGCGTATCTGCTGAGCTCAATACAGGGAGTGGTGAGCCATAGACCTAACCAACAGCTGATAAAATGGAGGACTCCCTAGATAGGATGCCAGTCCTTTGCTGAGCACACACATTGCCACTTATACGTGCATACAGGGGACTATTCTTGGAAGTTAAGCACAGACAAACGGGATGTCTTTCGGCAGTGGGTGGACACTGAAGGTCCTGCCAAAATCCCACACTGTCATGGGGAAAACTTTGATGCTTCACACACAAGGGGCCCCAGACTGGAATAAAACCTTGATCCCAATTGCAGATAGGTAATTACAGTACTAAAAATCTTTAGAGAATAATGTGATGTAAAATAAGTCTGTTTTTAATAGCTACTCTATATATAAAATAGGATTTTCTTTCTTATTCAATGCATTCTTGTCACGGTACAGCCCTTTCCTGTCACTTTTTTGAGTGATTCAGTTTTGAAAATATGAAGCACTTTAGCAAGTATCTAATAGCACTTTAAGTTAATGAAGTTGTTAGTTAGTGTTTATTGAAAATGTAAAGCATGCTTCAAACATGTTTTGTCCAGTTTTCAGTGCTTTTGTTCAAACAACTTGAACATAAAGAGTGATTCCATGTGTCCTAGTGCCCTCTGCTGCCTAGAAGGAGATACTGCACTGCTTGATGAGAGCTCTTTATTTGGAGATTTGGGATCTTTTAGTAAGGATTTTAGAAACGTTCACTGTATTGGGTTATCAAGAAAAATAAAATTTCAAGGCTTTTCTGGGTATGTGATATTACTAAGGGATAAATTTAAATAGAAGTCTCTGCATCTGACAGTTAAAACTCACGCTGGGTCCTGGAGTAAGTACTGTGTAAAGAGAGCACATGCACTGTCACCTGCAACAGATCTAAAACTTAATGTTTACTGTATCCCAAAACCGTGTAATTGAATTGAAAACACACTGGCATTATATTTCATTTTTATTAAGAATACATATTAAGTTCAATGGCGGCTGTTGATCACGCTATGTGTGAACTGTTTTCAACAATCTTTGAAACAAGCAGGTAACAGGGGTGAAATCTTTTTAAATTCATACTTTGTTGGTCCCCCTCTAGAGGCAGTACTTGCGGTCAGATTACATTACACACCCCTAATCCCCTTATAAGCTTAAAAAAACAGTAGCTGAAAGAAGCTCTTCCAAATACTGCTCTTGAGCTCTTCTGAGTACACTGAGTCATGCATAGTTATGCCAAGCATTGTGATTAAAGGCTGTCTGCTAGCTATTTGACATTAATAAAACCTGGATACATTGGAAGCCCTGGCATCAGTGCCATCACATGGGAATCCTCCCCCAATCATGGTTTGATCTTGACAATAATGGCATTGAAGAGCAATAGATGATAACTAGTTTAAGACCCTGCTGTGCAGAAGACACTTGACTTATCAATACACCTTAACCAGTTTTACATCATACACATTTTATACAAAGGTCTGAAACAAGTTTCATGTACTGTAGCTATACACACGTGGATATTATTAACACTCAAATGCTATCAATAAATCAATTTGCAATGAACAACCTACTGTATAATATCACAAATATTTTCCCCACTCATCTTTGTTTTTTCATATTAACACTTATGATATACGATTTTAACTTTTATGAATTTTATAGGGCAGTGGTTAGCATTGCTGCCTTGCAGCTCTGAGGCCCTGGGTTCAATTCCTGGAGTGCTATTGTATCTGCGTGGAGTCTGTATGTTTTCTCTCTGAATGTGTTGTTTCCTGCAGCTGCTCTGGTCTCCTTCCACACTCCAAAGACATACTGGTAGGTTAACTGGCTTAAGAGAAAATTGGCCCTGGTGTGCATGTGTATGTGTCTTTATATCTGTTTGTGGCCTGTATTAGGCATCAGCTCCCCCTGACCCTCTTTAGAATGAAAAGGTTAGAAAATGGATGTACTGTATGGCTGAATTTTATGGAATGTGTAAGGATCTCTTGGAAAAGGCTTCTAAATCTTGTTGGCTTGTGATTTCCTGCTTTATAACAGCAAACTTATGTTGCTTCTAAAGAGAAACCTCTTTTAAATACAAAATCAATTTGTTTTTAAGTGGTAAAATAATACAGTAACTATCTCAACCACAAATGCTTATTTTGAGGATTCCTTAAAACCGTAGAAGCTGTGGTAGCTCAGACAGCAAGGGTGTCCAGCTCTTGATCAGAAGGTTTTAGGTTCAATCCCAGGTAAGGGCAAGTGATATCACTTGCTTCCAGGCAGCTCCCAGGTTCACTCAGCCTGCTTTCTAAATGAGTACCAGGGGTTAACCTCCAGTGTCGGATGGTCAAGAAAAATGGTGGCCCTTGCCCCCCATTCCCCATGGGCCTTTATGGCCTTATCTTACCTATCTTCAAAACAGTATGTCCTTGAAGTGAAGTGGTCAATGGTCAGTACTCTGACTAGCCAATAAAGTGGAGCTTCTTCCTTGGGTTGGGTGCAATAGAATACTGATCTCAATCCAGCCTAGTTATTGATTAGAGAACCCTGACTGCAGCGATCACACCTTTGTGCAATTAATCTTCCATTCATTCACATTTACAATGCATATAGAAGCATCCTTTGTCCTATGCAATGCTATTACACCGTATGCCTGTTACATTTTGGTGAGTCGAAGAGTGTTCAGACGCACAGCAAGTACCGTAGCACCAGAAACATAGCGGATCTCTCGGAGAATGCCAGTCCACTGCTTCGAGTCCTCCTCATACCTGTGAAAGCACAGCAGAGGTAAAGGAGCTCATTTTTTAAATTAAATTAATAGGATAGTTTCTCAAATGTTTTGTGATTTGATTTTTGATGTCATCACTGTTTAAACGCTATCATGGGTTTCCCTATACATTTAAATTGTCAAACAGACACATTTAAATAACGAGTGAATGAGAAGTGAATTTCACGTCAATTCTTACCAGTACTACATGCAATGTTACTTTTCATGTCATCGTGACCATCATTGTACTTACTTCCATATATCATTCATTTCAGTGGGTACCAGCTCTCCTGAGTCATTGGGCATCATGCCAAAGCCGCCAGTAGCGTAGATTGAGCCAGCCAGACTGGTGAGACTCAGGGAACTACGCTCCTGTGGGAATTCATTAAAGTCTTCCCACCTGCAAGGCAGAGACAGCTCCATGAAAAGACGCTCCTGATATAACCAGGATGTCCTAGGCCAACATCAGTTGTTTCATTGGACTAAAGTAAATTTGCTCATCTGCTTGACATTGTCCTAACATCGTTGGCCAGAATATCAAGGTAATATACAGTAGAACATTATCTATATATACAAACATAGATCTGGCTTAGAATTGTGATACTGGGAGCCTTTCAGTTCTTTTGAAGCTGTGTAGATTGGGCCTTGATATAAACACTCTCTTATGGTAACAGACTTATTCACAAAAACTTTCAGTGTGTAAAATCTGGGGTGATCTGGGAGGTCCCACAGAGCTGCAATATAGCCGGACCCACTTCATCATTATTAATCAACCAAGTTATCCTATTCAATAATAACATAAACTGCTCCCATGTTCACATAAGTTTTACTTTAAATAGGATCAATTTGGGGCATGTCACTGTTTATAAACTAAGCATTTGGCTGGATTCAAAACTCATATGGATAAATTACAAGCTAAATTCCTCTTAATTGCAAAAGATTTTGCACAACACTCAAAGTGTATATTCAAATATCTTCTCCTTTTAGATTTCAATAATATTATTTAGAGAATGTTCTAACATTCTTTAAATTTGGGCCAATAAGGGCACAGCATAGTATAATAGTACTGATAGAACAGTTATAATCAAAGAACATAACCCAAAAGCTGAATTAAAATATGAAGTGCTTCTCAAATAATATAAAATCAATGTTTTATGCACATAAGGGGTTGTACATTTTAGTCATGCACAGCGTAGCATTGATGTTCATCTTACCTGTTACTTGTAATGTCATACACCTCCACAGAGTTGGTGAGTCCAGCGTCTGTCACGCCTGCAGCCACGTAAATCTTGTTGTTATGTACAGTGGCACCAAACAGAGATCGGCCAGTCTTCAAGGGAGCCAGCTCCTTCCATTCAAACTTTGTGGGATTATAAACACACATCCTTTTGATGCATTTTCTAGTGGACAGAGGAAAAAAAAAACACTTAACCTGTGTGGTGCCCTTTAAATGGTAAGATCACATTTTTTAAAAAGAACCAATACATTTGAATGTATTTTCATAAATCTGTTTAATATTCATTTATGACATCTCATAGTCTCTTATCTGCATGACAATAAGAAGAAAATACGTATTAACATTTAAATATACATGGATCCAAAATGTTGTACATGAAATGTGTTATATGAATATTATTAGAACATGGTATTTTCTATTCACAGTTCACAGAGTAAAAGAACTATAATATTTATTAACAGCTTTAAACCTCTTGGTTAATACATCTAATTAATTTCCTTAAACCACAGTTTTGGGTGGTTTAGTACGCCCAAGTGAAGACTTTGCTTTTATACAATATTATATAGTAATCATTTCCTGAAGGTGGCTTTCAGCTGGAGAGGAGAGCCAAAGGTCAGTTCAGTAATATTGTCCAAGTGCAGCATGCGTGAAACTGACCATTGAATCATCTTCCTGCTGTGAAGTATTGATTTTGTTTTCTTTATATGTTAGACATGGCTGTAATTTAATTTTGCATGTCTGTCACTGATCTTCACTCTTTGTTAAAGTACAGTACCAAAGCACTCCAAAATGATGTCGGATTTGTACTTTTTTTTTTGCTGTATGTGGCAGCCATATGGGCCCGAGATGGTTGTGTGGGGTTGTATGGTTGTTCAAGATGGTGCAAGGTGGCATGACATTTGACATATAACACAGGGGGAAGTGGAGTGCAGGATTGTTGTTGATATAAGTGCTCTTGAAGGGTAAATTTTGCCTTTGTTCCCAGCACCATTTGTACTGCAGGATAAACCTGTATGTCTCTGGGCTGTGGGACAGTGCACTACCTGGTGACAAACCCACTCAAACAGTGTTTGACTACATAACATAATACTTGCCTTATTTTTTTTAAATGAAAAATGAAGTGGAATATAGTATTATTGCATATGGACTACATGAATGGGACATGAACCGAAAACAATCAAAATGGAGTTTGCTGATGCTCCTAAAAGCATTTGTCACTCCACCATACTGTTACTTTAAGAAAAACAGTGACAGAAACACAATATAACAGGTGAAACAAAAAAGAACAAAGTGAATTCTTACTTGCTATCTCCTTTTCCTCCTATCACATAGACTAGTCCGTTGTATGACACAGTCGCATGGCCATACACTGCGTAAGGAAGAGGGTCAGACTCTCCCCATTTGAAGGATCTAAAAATGATTGGAAAAAGGTTAAGAGTGATTGAGTGCAATTAACACTTTAGAATTGTCATTTTTGTTTTCCTTTATCTGGATAGCTGGAATATCCTGAATCATTTTTGGTCATGCATTACTATAAATAAAATAATCATTTTTTTAATATTTCCTATTATTATTTCTCACTGTGGTGGATTATTAGATTCAGAATGCTTATACTAAAAACAAAGTATAAAGGTCCAGCTTTTTGTAATAAGACAGCTTTCGAATATCATTTATAAAAGGTGACAAGTCTCCTGAAGTCTGTTCCGCTGAAGCCTTAAAAAATATGTTGTTAACTAAGGAGACGAGTTAAAAAGAATAGGCTACCTGTGAGTATTTGTTTTCATAAATGAGAGCATAATTTAAATTTAAACTGAACCAAACTGTACTTTTGATGACTCTTCAACAAGACAATAGCTGTTCTTAGTGTTGATGTGCTGATAATCACACAGAATTGCCAACATTTTGTTTTTGAAACACATTCCAATAATTTAAATTTGACATCATTTCAATCACACCCTGGAATCTTCAAACCTACTGTCTGTCATAGACCATGACTGAGTCCAGAATCTTCTCTCCTTCCTTTAGCTCTTTTCCTCCAATGACAAAGATGGAATTTTCTGCCTCACCAAGACCAAACAGAGCGCGGGGAGAAGGAAGGGGAGGCATACCTAACCAATCTGAATCTAGGGGATCAAACTGCAAGTGAAACACATTGATTCTATTAAGTTTTTCCTCAAGAATTAAAAGAATAATTACATACTGTATTCTGCATTGTATATTAGTACAAACATTATAAGACAAGTGTTTTCATGCTAGATGGTGTAGGGCCACTGTCTTCTCAGTGTAAAACATATAGTACTATAATATAAGAATGTAACATTTTAATTTAATTCATTAAGTTCCATAAGGTTTGCTGAAAGCTTAAAATGTCATAAACTTTACTGTCACTACAATGAAAAACCCAGCCATTTATAGCCAAAATTGTATAATGTTGGTTCTCTAAACCAAATTACTTTAGAATGTCTTTGTAGTAATAACAGTGACTTAGCAGTATTTAAAGCAGTAATTGTGTTTACAGGTAAATAGTTGAAATTGCCTGATAAACTGATTTGCTTTCAGAATTATGTAGATATTTATGTTTTGGTTCAGGTAAGTAAACACAAGTATATACAGTACTGTATCATATCTTTTGATCTCCTCTATTGGAGCTGAATACCGTCACAAAGAAATGGATTTGTCCCTTTGCATTTTTTGTCACATATCAAAAAAATAAAGACCACATGCTTAGAAATACATTGGGAGAAAATAACTATATTTTTGAAACTCTTCATTTCATCCTATCAGTATCCTATCAGTGAATGTTTATAAATTAATTGATCACGCACCTGTAAAAAGTAGGAACTGAGAGGATCGTCCTGGTTATCGTCGTTATAAAAAAGTCCTCCTGCTACAAAGATCTGGTTCTGTTTTGTAACCAGACTACAGTGATTCTTAGGAATCTGGGTGGATAATGAGGCTATATAGCATTCGTTTCCTATTGGGTCATAGGCCACTGAACCTGTGTCACTGATCATGAACATTAAATCCTTGAGGAACATGCCAAAACGCAGGTTGTCATTGAGTATCCCAGGAAGCAGATTCTCCTCCTCTTCTTGGGCAACATCACCCCTGTCACCAGGCTTTTTACTTTCAGCTTTCTTTAATTCAGGAAGCTTACCCTCATTGGCATCTTTCACCATCTGCAGCTTCTTCATGAGTTCTGGGTTTGATTTGACGAGTCCATGTTTCTCTACTTTGTTTGAGAAGTAGTCATGTGGCATCAGTCGAAAGCGGATGCAGTCAAAGAGATCAGACAGATCCTTTAGCCGGTTCTCCTTGTCATGGGAAACCCACGTCACGAGCGCTTCAAATACCACCTCTTCTTTCTCAACATTAAGGGAATCTGAGGTGATAATGGCAGCCAATTCAGTGGGGGCTAGCTGTAGGAAGTCCAGGTCTCTTACGATCAGATGGAAACGATCACAGATGAAGTCTCTAGCAGATATGGCAAGACGTGGGCAATCAAGCATCAAGCCTAGCCGGAAAATAGCCAAACAGTTACTCAAGCTGAGCCTCTTCTGCAAAAAGGAGACGCAAACTGTAAAAATAGAAGGAATCTGAAACAAGTTTGCCGCCGCAAAAATGTCTTTGACATTCTGTTCTGTGATACTGATTTCTGACGTGTAGATATACTTAAGGATCATTCCCATTACTCCAGGTTCCACATCTTCAAGGACTATCTCCTTCTTCTTGCTCTCCTCTAGGTCTGAGAGGAACATGGTCCGGAAGAAAGGGCTGCAGGCTGCCAGCACTAACCGGTGACAGGGAAACTCCTCGTCCTTAATCTTTAAAACACAGTCAACGAACTTGTCTGTTTCCAGCAGGTCATTCAGCCCATCTTGAAGGAGGGTTTGTTGGTACATCCGGGGCTCTTCAGTAGGATCTACAGGTAGAGCCATTTTTTAGAAATATTTTTTGGAATAATGGAGTTTCTTTGTCACCTCTCTCTGGGAGAACACAGTCTCATTCAAAGCCTAGCCCAGAAAGAAGCAGTCTTGCTCAAACTGGTATGGGTCTCAGAATTCAGCACAGATTGGTAGCCCAGCTGCTTAAGTTCTTCAAACTTCTGCAGGGTTTTATTTATAGACAGAGTCACACAAAGCTGAGGAATCCATTTTGGTGTGTGTAATGTGATCCCCTTTATAGATATGCCATCAGTCACACACAGGAGGCAGCTGAAGCAGAGCCCAAGGGAGGAGCTGTCTTTGCCTGAGTCAAGAGAGCACTACTCGCTGACATCATGGTCCAAAAGCAGGGTATTGTCTTTCCAAGTGACTTGTGAGTGATAGTTCTTTCAAATATGTGAAAATGAGCAAACCAATTAACAAAGCAGTCACACTTAACATGTTATCTTTAAAGGTAATGTTAATTTATAAAAGGTATATAATGTGTGATACACATTATAAGAAAGGTTACAAGAAAGAAAGGTTACAAGCCCTTTGGCCCATCTAGATCATGGGTTGCTAGTAATTAAAGCGAGGATCACATCCAGCTGTTTCTTTAAAGATGCCAGCATCAGTTTTTAGTTTTTCATTGATTTGACCTCATACCTGAAGTGATCAAAAGACGCTAATCCTAATTTAAGTTATTTTCCTGTGTTTTCCTCTTTGTGTTTTATGGAGCAAAGGTGGTATTTAAAATAATTAGAACTAATTAAGAACTATAAATGTGTGCAACATTTTTGTTAAAAAACTGTTCAACCTCCCTTATCCCTTTGCATTAAGATTCAATGTTGAAAACATTAACTGGCTGTAAAACAGTTGTACATATGAAGATGACTTAGTGTCACTTTACTATTACCTTTACACAGAACTTAATGGATTAGTAAGGCACATAAATCTTTTAGTTGTATTTTTTTTGCATAAATGCTGCATATACTGTAGTTATTCCACTTGCATTTACAATTATACAGTACTGCTGTGAGCTCTGTTTCCCTTTCTAATGAGGTTCATTTACTGTATACACTCCAATCTCCAAAAAGTATTCTAATCACAAAAGCTCATGTTTTAAACATAAATATCTCATTAGTTAACAAGCTGACTTCTTAAAATAGCACAAATACTAAAGGAATGATAATTTATCTTCAAGTTATACATTCCTGTTTTAACATTTTTTCTATGTGGTGAATACCATTTCAAAGCTCTGTTAATCTACTGTACTTGCCCTATAACACTATCACACTGCAATGCAATTATATCCCTCTAAATTGGATGGTGCTGATTGTGAAAAGGTACTGACAGTATGGTTTACTCTGATTATCTGTGATGTTCAGGATGCTTGTAAAAGTGTGCTGGCCTTCTGAATCTTCCATAAATCTTCTGAAGCATCCATGAGCAGCGTACTCTTGCGACCAATCAGATGCATATAGTATATAAGGGGAAAATACAAGCCAAGTCTTAACGCCATCTGCATTATTTGTGGAAGAACATTGTACATACAGTAAGATGTGGACTGTTCAAGACAGAAACATGTCAGATAGCAACTTCAAAATCTGGTGCCCAACAGCCTGGGCACCAGATCCATATATCGTGATTGAGGGCTTGATCTATATATCAGGTTTGAGGGAAACCTTCAGTTAAATGTGATGATCTCCAAATGCATGCAACAGTTTTGTTCTCACAAGCTGTGTAATGTGTAGGAGTGCAATAGCCCACATAAAATTAGTTCGCTTCAAATTTGCCACATTAATGAATTGTGGGGATACAACAGTTTCTAACGGGGGCCGACAGTATTCCCTATTCTCTTCTACTGTGTGTTAATTGGTAACCATGAACTCCTCCATGAAGTATAGCCAAATGGCAAATCATCTGGTGAGTCTACACCAGACTTTTTCTTTTCATTCTGTTCACTTATATAATAGAATATGTAAAAAATGTTTTTCTCCCTTTTGCTAGTGGTCATCTGGTGTGTTGTAACCACATTTAAAGTCCAATTTAACGTTATTGAAGATAAATTAAACCTGAATGTACTGCTTGAGTCTGAATGATAGGTCTGTGAGTCAAGCCTCTTTTCTATTGCAGCACAATTGTTCAAGCATTAAACAGAATAATAGTGGTATGTGCTCATTTCAGCTGAGCTTAATAATGTGCCTTAAAGTGAGTAATGATGGGAGGGAATACAAGATTACTCAGACATATTTATAGACAACCTATCATCTTTCAAACCTTAATGTAGGCCAGAACATCACATAAATAATATTCAAGACTGAATCACACAGGTTTCAGTACCATTACACCAGGATTTAAAAGGTACGGTTAATCTTATCTCACTCATAACAACTCAGCCTGAACCTAACAGCTGCAATAGCATCACAAAGTACAATAAGAGTACAGTGTCATATGTTTTTTACAGAACACATGAAAACTTCATTGTGCTAAATCTATTTTCAGTTTTAAGCAATGTCCAAAATCATGTCCTGAAGTCTTTCTATTGAATAGCAGCAAGAAGCCTGCAGCAAAGAAAAAGCTGGCATTAAATGTTATTCAGAATAAGAGAATGTGTGCGTGTGTGGATAAAACTTTGATTCAATATCATGACCAATATCTAAATCTGCAGAAAAACACTTCACTTTACTGAAGAAGTATGAAGTAAAGAACAGAAATATGTGAAAAATACCACAAGTACTGTAGTACCAGATTTTATGCTAAACATATTACAGTATATATTCAGTATGTGTGAGCTGAATCTTAAACCTCAGACAGATGCCTGCATTGCAATGATTGTGATTTACTGTGATTAATATAGAAAATTATGCTGGTTTAAGTTCTCCTTGCAAAGTTTGGTTCCATGCATAGAATTCTAAAGTTATTTTATCAAAATTGCTCACTTGTTCCAGTGTCCAAGCTATTTACAGTAAGCAAGAATAGACTACTCTGAGTCTGTGTAAAATACTTAATGTGTCATTTACTGTGATGTAACTTCATACAGTATACAGCAATAAGCAGAAAAAAGCATGCGCAATAGATCTGTGTACATAAAGTAATAAAATTATCTTTCTACTATTCCTAGTTGCTTTATCCAATAATAGAGGGTCATGAGAAGCTGGTGTCCAAAGTAGCCCATCTAGAGTGAGACTATACCCTGGACTGGGCAGAAGCCCATCACAAGGTGGGCACACACAGGGACAATTAAGAGAAACCAATTAACCTAGTTAGCATGTCTTTGAAGGGCGATTACCTGAAAAAAACTAACAGGAACATGAGAAGAAAATGCAACTCCACGCAGATGGTGCCCCCCCCCACAAAAGCACCCAACCCAGCACCCAAGATGTGTGGGATGGCAGTGCTCACTACCATCACACCCCATTAAAAATAAAAAATAAAACAATGCACACACACAGACCATAAACTTTAATATATTACTTTTAATTTATAGAGTATATGGCAGATATTTAAGCCAACGACTGACATCTTCATTACTTTATGTTAAAAAAAAAAAATGCATCAAGTGGTATATATTTAGGGGCCCACAACATTTATGTACAGCAAGTGCACTTCAGAATGATGCACAGTAGGTGTGCGTTATATTTTCATTATGGACTCAATAAAGCCATACATAGTGACCCTAGATTGAGATTTCGCAGAAGAGACAGTGTAGTTCCACAAAGTGCAATTGGAATTCAGTAGTCAAGAGGCAGACAACCAGGTCGGTATTATTCGGCTTTCTCCTTTGCGGCTCCCTCCTCTTGCAGGGCCAGCCTTCTCTCCCGCTCCTTGATGAGCTGCACGCCACAGTAGGTGACAAACAGGACAGACAGAGTGGACAATGGGAAGCCTGTGGAGAATGATCAGTCATCAGAAAACCATCACATTCTTTCAAATGATCTTCTGAGGGGAGAAAGGACAACATTTCAATATGTGCTCTCACCCTTACTTATAGCGCAAGAAGCAGATATGTCATTTCTGGCAGCTGACTCAGCCAGGTCATCATCGTAAATGAGAGAGTGTTTTCAACTGACTTATCTGGTTGAGTGAGAATTATGGTGAGGATGATACTGATTATTATTATTATTAAAGTTTGTGTTAAAATCAATAATAATACAAAACTAAGATGGCCTCAGACTTCCAAAACACACTTTCTGGGTTACAAAAACAAACATTTTTTCATAGTGTTTGTATGTTTCTTACCTTTCTACAATGTTTTTCTTTTGAATGGAAAAGCTGCAGAAGACCAATGGTGAAATATTAGGCTATGACAGATGTTTTAAAGAGTCTGCCAAGGGAAAGTAGCTAACTAGCTACTAGCTGGATTGAGAGGAAAAGCTAAATCCCAGTCATTCACCTTTTAAAAAACATTTTAGCAGGTTAGGGCTCTGGCCTCCAGACTGTTTCCTGTTTATGTGCGGGTGTTGTACCCTCAAGTAAGGTGCTTCACTGAAATTGCCCTGCTATACAAATGTCTCCCTGGATTGTTGCTGTAATAGAGAATTTCTTCTAAATTTTTAAAGATTTATTTTCCCTTCCCCTACACATTGCTTCAGTCATGTTGATGGTTAAGGAGAAAAGCATCTTTTAACAATCATAACTCACAATGAATGCTGCTACTATATATTTTTACTAAAACTGTTAACTACAGTATGCTAGTTGGTAAAGATGTGCTGCAGCCATAGGAACTGAATTTTTAATTACAGAAACACATGAATTGTTCACTCAGTAAAAATGTACTGTTAGGATGTCTGTTTAAAGGTGAAGATTCAGGAGTGTTTCACCCATCAGTAACACTAATTTAAATATCAGGGAATGTAACCTTGTTAACCACTGCTCATAATTTTTTTGTTGTTTCAGTTAACTGTTAGTTGTGATGTGTTGAATGAGGAGACTAATTGAAAATTACCTTAAAATAGCTTTAAGAATGTCTCCCCTCAATTGTGTCCACTAACAAACTGATACTTGGACCTGATGACTTGATCTGAACAGTTACACTTGATCAACATGATTTCAGCAGCAGAAATTGCAGTCAGAAAATTTAGGATCCTTACCTGTGAGGTAAATGGCCTTATGCATGAGTATTGTAAGTGAAGGAACAAATGTAATAAACAGTAAACACATTTTTAAGGGGAAAGATAATACCTTTGATGATAAGTCGGTTAGCAACCAGTTTGGCAAACGCCAGGCTGTTGAGGGACAGGACATTGTAGAGAATAATAGCCCAGAAGTTTGCTGCATTAAACACTCCTCTGATCCTGCGAGACATGGCTTCAGACATTGCCTTCTGTGGGCAGAAGATAATTACAAACAGTTCACAATATAGCAAAGTTAATGCTGAATTTCTTAGCTGTCATAGCACTTGTACTAATAGCTTCCGTAGTAGTATAGTATGTGTAGTAGCAGAAACAATGGCTTGCAATTTTAGTACTGTACATTTACATTTCATAGCCAGTATATCAACACACTGTCCCCTGTTCAAAGATAAATGTATAATTTTAAAATTACCTTTCATATTACAGCAGTGAATACAACCAAATATGATTCTTTCAAATCTTCATTACCATTAAAATAAAAATATAACCGCCATGATTCTTCCTACTGAATATTCAAACTTAAAGTTCTTTGCTATCTCATCTATAGTTGTAAAGTGTCAGTATAGGGGCTAAAGGCTTGTCTTTTCTATAATATGTCAACCAATCAACTCTTTTTCTTATACAGTATAGTGCTTTTTAATGCAGAACACTCTTGAGGCACTTTATACATATAAAAAAATACAGTGAACAAAAAATACAGTAAAACCAATTATAAATGTGAAATTGAGAAAGAAAAGAAATAGTTTAAGGATTGAAGGCCATTGGGGTGAGTTTCAGTAGAGGCTGAATACAGTATTTAATATTTGTCGTGAAGAGACAAGAGGCTACCATTGAAAAGGTTTGGTCACCTAATATACAGTACAGTCAGAAGTCCTTGGAAAGTTGAGGAGCCCAGAGACAAAGAAGTGAGCAAACTGTGACTTTGTAGGAATAATAACTTTGAAGGTGCACAAGAGACAGAATATACAGTGGGTGGTAGGTGGCAAAACAACCTTCTTTCTAAATATCTTTAATTATGGAATCACCCTCATTATAGTGTCGTTTTATTCTTGATAATGACTCAATACAATTGAAGATTACTTTCAAATTTTCTAATTGTTTTATAAAATGGTAGCCTTTAGTACCTTCATTCCATCGAATTCATGTGTGGATTATGTGTCTGGATTGAAAAGAATTACATGAGGGACAGAAACGTTTATGTAGCAAAGTAATGAAAGTATGTTGAGATTAGCAAACATTAGTAGTATTTTGGTCATAATGATTTTGCTGAAATTTTAAGAAATGTTAAAAGAAGCAAAACATTTGAAAAACTAGCACTTCTATATTGCTTCAAAATTCTTCATTATGCAAAGGACTGAAGCCAATCATAGAATCTATTTACATTGATTAGATGGGACTTTACCACAAGACAAATTAGAAACCTCACTTAATTTGTACATGTGTACTCACAGGAATCGCTCTGAATCATAAATATCTCAACCTGTTTTGAACACTGCCGGGCAAGTGTTTGTATTTCTTGGCACCAAGACTGACTGAAAGAAACATAAAGGTCTTCATTAACTACTCACCTCTATTGAGGCAAATGGTTGCAGCTGGAAAAATTTTGCCACCCACAGTTCAAAGTTCAGGCCAAAGCAGTTGAAAAAAGACCAGATGTACACAATCTCACATGGACCCAGCCACAGCGTAGTGATGGCAAAAGTTGATACAGTAGCCATTAGTTCCTTGAAAATGTTGTCATGGTTTTCACCAAGGTAGTCATACACATACCTGTCGATTAAAATGGCATTTTTTAAAATGGAATTTAGGATTTTCTTTGATGGATTACACACACATATGCTTTGTAAACTGAGAGAATGTACTATACATTTAAGATATTCATGTCAGGCAAAAGAAGAGCTTGGTTTTATGTTTTTCTCACTTTTGAAGCTTGCATTAAAAAATCTTCAGTTGTTCTGATTTCAATAGTTCGGTGAGATCCTAATAAATGTGATATAGAGATGAATACATTATGTACAGTATGAAGTTTTTTGTATAGCTAACCTATCTAAGGGTATGGCAGCCTAACTGAGAGGACAGACCCCTCATTATTGCGAGGACTGAGCTAGGGAGCTGCTAAAAGGGTGTAGATAGGGAAGCAAGGAGGGTGTGAGAGATTCTTGAAGGAAAGATACTTGGGTGCAAGACTTACATATACAGGCGAGCAGAAGTGTGTGAGATTTGGATCTAATTTGCCTCCCGAACCTCAGTTCTAAATTGTTGGTATTTCTTTTACTTCCACAGACATAGATAGAGATTTTCACAGACATACAGTAATGAGAGTTGAACTTTAAAGATTTGGAATGGATACTTCTGAGTGTCAAATTAGCTCAAAATGCAATAATAATTGTTTTATTGAAAAATCAGTAAGAAATAAAGGCCTGTTCGGTATTCTAAGAGTACCTTTTTTCTGAAGGGTAGCGAAAAAAAATCAGCTTTTATCCATCCTCTATCTAAAAGTTAGAAACCAAAGTGGGTCTACACTATAGATTGAACACCAGTCAATCGCAGGACACAACACCTATCCACAAGAAACACCCACTACTTTACACAGCGTGTGTTTGTAAAGTGAAAGAAAACCAGAGCTCCCAGCAAAAGCCCACATAAATATGTAAAGAACACAGAACATGCAACATCCACACAGAAGGCACCCATAACCGGAATCAAACCCAGGACCCAAGAGCTGTGAGGTACAAACACTCCCCACCACCATGCCACCTGCATCAGATATGAATTTCAAGAGCTCAACAAATATGTTTATACCTGTATGTAAATACTGTACATACCACTTCATTTCCAAATTAACCTTCTAGGTTATTTCCCACTGAACATCTGTAAGACAAACCTTTTAATTCTGAAACTGATCTTTTTTGCTTTGGTCATTTTGATTTATTCTATAGTACTGTATGTTATAGCACTGATGAGCCTACTTCTCAGAACCACCCTATAGCTTGGTCATTAGAAAAAAAAAAACTATCCCCTGACCAGATCATACCAAAGGCTTCATTTTTAATATATAGTGTCAGCCTTTGATCAGAAAAGAGGCAACAAAAGCTGTATTATTGCATATTTTGTAGAATTTTATGTATTACAGAATTGGGTAATTTTTATCATTTTACTTACCTGCACAGCCAGTCATTTATTCCTCTATCAAAGTGTCTGTAAAGGAAACAAAAGGGATTTGAGTTTTAGCAGCACTAGATTTCCTCTCATATACTGTACCGTATATGAAATTCTGTACTTTAACATAATATGCAGTAGATTGTACATTCCATTAAGGGAAAAAGAATGTGTGAGCTTTTACAAAATGCATTAGCTAATGTAAGGTTAGATGCAGTGAATTTATTCTCACCATTCTACTACTCAGATCTAACATATACAAAAATGAAAAAGTTAAAAAATAATGATTAGTTATTGACTGGACAGGAAGGAGACTTTCCCATTAATAATAAAAATTAATATGATATCGTAGTAAATGGTTTTGAATGTTAAGGCCATTTGTGTCATCGTTCAAACTGTCCCAATAAATTGCAGGGGAGTATGAATGAAAAATGAACGAAGGAGACTCTCAGGCAGCACAATTAACAAAGGCATAGAGATCTTGAATGGGACTCCCCTAAGCAGTGGTACATACTGTAAATGGTTGATCAGTTGCACAACTGGAACTGCATATGAAACAACTGTGATTTCAGTCTTGAAAGGAATATAAAATCCAATGAACAGTGATGGGCACAGAACTGGCACTCGGGGTGTGTTTAACAGTTTTCCAAATTCGAGATTAGGCGGTCGTAGTGATATCTCTCTCCAGGGCTGGTAGCATTACTGGGCTTAACTTTATTTTTAAAGAGCTTATAAAGCCTCAGAGATACTTGACTTGTTGACTTGTTGTTCCTGGAGATCTGTTCAGAGTTCAGCTCTCTGAGTGACTGTGGGGAATGCCACCAGATGGCATGTTGAAAATGATCAAATGTCCAGGTCAGAATATCCTGCTGTACATTCGTCAGGGGGCCATGATAAAAGGAAGAGATGGTGGACATGAACATAATGGACAATCAGAGCAAAGTGTAGCTATTGTTTATTTTGAGTTGTGGGATTATGGCCAATTAAAATGTAATTTTGCTAGTTCAGTTTTAGGAGAAGCTAAGCATGAGCAAAAAAAATCTATGAATCTATTTTTGCTTTGTCTGTACAAATTGCAGACATGATTGCACGGTGTATGGAAATTATTATAAGTTGTATAGATAGAGTAAATGCAGTTCAATTAAATTAAGACATCTATGAGCTTAATGTGGTTTTGGTATCATTGTAACTCCTGACCATTGTTGGATAAAGCAGGCCATAAATGGTACTGGACTAATTATAGGAATCACATTTGAAGATGTCAATGATGATAACACTGTCCCGAGAGATGATGAATGGTATATTTGAATGAGATTATGAGTAAATGTAACCCCAAAGGAGAACACTTACGTTTCAGCAAAGACATAGAGCATGGTGATACATTTAGGAGGCTGAGGTGGGTCAAGATGGTCAAGCCTGGACACGGTGTTTATGACCCCAAACATCACTGCAGATTTCACCCAGTCATACACCAAGTTAGAATAAGCCAAGCCAGCTGTTTTACAAGAAAAGGCATATTGATTAATATCAAGAAGAAGAAGAAGTTAGGCTTCCTCGCACGGTGAATATTAAAACCACAAAAAACAAGAAAAGATACTTGTTGGAAGAAAAAACAAACAAAAAAACAATGAAAGGGATACCATTCTATTTTTAACATTAAATCAACTAACAATAACAGTAATAAAATAATATACAGTACACCCTTGATAAACCTCAATCAATATGTTCAATGTAAGTATACTCACAAATTCTACTTTAAGAGATCAGTCACTGACCTAGCGACCAGTCCGAAAGTTGCTTCACAAGTTTCATGTCAGAAGGTATGGTCAGAATGTAGAGGAAATGGAAAAACACATCCACCACAATGATGGCTCCCAAGTGTACCAGTGCATGGACCCTGATATTCCACATTTCTCTCTCTTTGCGAGTCAAGTTGGGGTTATTAGCCTGATAATCAAAAAAAAATTTTCTTACTATAGCTATATATGATGACGTGAAGTGATTTTCACAAGGTCAGGATTAATACTGCTTATCTTAAAACATTTGTTTTGGATAATCTCAAGTTGTTTCCTTTTTACATTCTATATGCAAAAAATGGACAACAACAACCAGTAAATGTTCCAGCCTAAACATTATCAGAGCAGATATCTATGATGTAATACTGTCAGTGATGAAATACAGAACTGCAATAGTGATATGATGACGTGTGATAGATGACAGAGATATCTAATTACACACTATTAACATCCATTCTCACAGGTGTCAAAACAACCAAATTTGTTTATGTGGACAAGGTAATGAGGGAGGTTAAACGACTCCCTGTTAAATACCGTGAGAAGGAACAAGTAAATGTTGATACTGCACTGACAAATGAGAAGAAAAAACAACACTGAGTAAGTGAGAAAGTGTGTTCAAACCAGAGAGGTCAGTGAAAATTATGACCAGGAGATGTGAAATGGTAGGCTAATCTCCCATCTCTGATCCTCACTGCTCTCACATGCTCCCTGAAATGGTAGGCTCCTTCCTTTCTCCCTGATGTAAATGACAGAGCATTTTCTGCAATGCAGTAAATGAGATGACTACAGTACGTACACATGATCTTCCCTGAGTGATTCTGAAGAAGCCTGATGGGTCATGTATACAGTATGTGTGATACTGGATATGTGTTTGTAGGTGATACAGCTGCTTCTGCTATAGCAAAAACTGCCTGGCAAGGATAATAGCTGAGGACATAACACCATGTCTTGTTAAGATTATTAAGCAGAATACATTTACAGTGGTGGCCTGCTTTATTTTGAACAGCAATACAAGAAAACTAATAAACTATTTCATCCTTATGTCTGTACTGTAAAACTGCACCATGATAACATGAAATGTTACTAAATACTTTCAGGGGACCTCTTTTTTAAGTACTCTATAATGGTCCGAGAAGATATAATTGATTAAGCCTTGACAAAAAGATTGTCAATGCCTTCAAATTTCAGCCCAATCATTTGAGCTTGATATAACCCAACATAGAGTTCCAAGAAATTCCTTCATACTTATTTTTCAAAATGGCTCCAAGACCAAGAAAACAAATATTCAGTGAGTATACGGTAGTTGGTGGACGGGGAAAGGCACCATTTTTGTGAAGGTGAGGACAAAAAGTTCCACATGTTGGTTACACAAATCGTACAATATGATACATTATTAGGTGTGAGATCAGCCATCCCATCACCCACCTGAACATGGAATTTATCAAAAGTCATTATGGGTCCAAAGAAGAAGAAGGGGAGGTAGAAGTTGTACTTGAGCAGGTCCAGAAAGGTGTAATTCCCATCTTTCTTCTCATAATTCTCCAAGGCAAAGCTCATACAGCGCATGATAGTAAACCCACTTCCTCCATAGAACAGAATATCATGAAGTTCAAAAGTACCAGAGACAAATCCACTCTAGAGAAAAAAAATACCAAAACATTGATCTGTACTCTAAACAGAAGAAAAAAACAGAATTCTTTTAAAATTGTAATGTCTCCATTCTCCTTAATGATCCCATTAATGTAAGAAAATAAGGTGTAAGAATCATATGAGAGAAATAAATTAGATTTATAGTAAATGAAGTTTACTTTAGAAAGTTACATGCAGATGACCCACCTGCCAGGAACTACAAGGCTCCATTCTGAAAGTAGCCAGGCTAATGAGGCCACCAGCAAAACACAGCCATTTCTGTTTGGGTAGTGCAAGGCTGTAGAGCAGGACACAGTGGGATAAAATCAACATCATGTAGGTCAGTCCCATGGTACAGAAGACAGCAAGCAGCCCATAGATCATGTAAAGGATGGATCTGTGCTGTGGGGAAGAGGAATAATTTTTACATTAAATATTAGGAGGTTTATAAGACAGGGCTAAAATGTAAGCCTTCAATGAATTTCTATTACATTTGCAAAATCGAACATGAACAAAGTTTGTTTAAAGGGCTTTCTTACTGTGGAGAATCTAAAGAATATCATTATAGAAAAAAGCTCCAACCTAAAACAACAAAGTTGAAATCACAAGCAGACATAAAGCAACTTTATTTTTTCTTATTTACCAATATGATTTATTTACATTACAGTTTATATTATGTGATTTCCTGAGAGAATACTGCTTTTTTTTCAGTGGGCAGGATATTCTGCTTTGCCTTATATGATTGATAGCAAAGTTTTTTTTTGTGATAGCTAGTGAAATGTTCTCAGGGAGATTCAATTACAGAGAACTTTCTAAAAGTTATATTTTTAGCAAAGGTGCTAATGCTTTACCAACAATTTACCATATACCACAGCAAAGGTTCCAAGATTTAAAATTATCTTTCAAATCTTTATTTGAAAGGGGAGCTTTGTGGCTAAGGATCTGCGCCTGTGGCTGGAAGGTTGACGGTTCGTATTCTGCAGCCAGCAGAGGAATCCTACTCTGTTGGGCCCCTGAACAAGGCCCTTAACCCAAACTGCTCCAGGGGTGCCATATAAATGGATGACCCTGCGCTCTGACCCCAAGATTCACTCTCTGTCTGTGTGTCTCATGAAGAGCAAGTTGGGGTATGCGAAAAGACAAATTCTTAATACAAGAAATTGTATATGGACAATAAAGTCATCTTAATCTTATATCACGTAACAAACATAATGTGTTGATGAATTGGTATTTAAGTTGGATATGAAACTAACAGCGACAGACAGCAGGTATTGTCTCATGTTGACTGTTTTACAGCTCATTTGCTATATTAAGAGGATTATTCATCTGTGTTTGTATTTGAGACTAAATACATGACCTTGGCTTTTCTAACATTCAGTTCTAGCACTCAATGCTACTTTTAAACTCTGTCTATGACATTGATTGATAAATAATTACATAACTGCAGACACTTAAAAAGAACTTGTAACTTATATTGACCGCAAGTTTACATCTCATGTAAATAGAAAAGTTGCCCATAAATCTCAATGTTGAGACTTATTAACTAACATATACAGTATACTAACATTTTTAGTATGGGCAGGCAGATGTTTTTGACTTCTAATTGAAATTTGCATTCTTTCGTTATTTTATTATAAATTATAGCGAAGCCATTTTATATGTTAATGCAAATTTCAGAAATAAAGATTTAAAGAGAGAGAGGTATAAATTACACATCCTTTTCAACAGTTTCTTTTCAAATACAGTGATTTTCCTTATACAAAAACATTCTCTGTGTTTCCCTATGCCTTCTTAGAACTACAGGCCTCGTCTTCTTGTTCTAGAGGTTCACATCAGTTAGGTTTCTTTAGATCATTAAAGATGTGGGAAATATATTAATGTTATATTTTATATATTAATGTTAACCATTCATTCATAGAATATCCTTTGCAACCAAGGACGACTGTCTTCCATGAACCCAAAGATGACTGGTGAGACCAAATTACAGGAGTATTTTTTTACAACAGAAAGGTTATTCCACTGCACGTAGCTATCCAATCAGCAGTGGTGAAGAAGACTGTTTTAAGTGCACCTTTTCCAGACTAATTCTGAATAGAACAGATTCTAAAAAGGGTTGATCAGTCACAGTTAGAGCTGCCGAATTGCATTTCTGTCTCATCCCACGTGCTTGATGACCCTTCCATGTAACAGCAGCTTCCAAGATGGATTATGAGCTTCTTGGCATCACTGTCCTGTTCTTGCTATCATTACCTGGTCACCAAGGACTTGGAGAGTGTGCTGGGAAAGGAAGATATCTATGCACCAGCTTCCACACATATCCTGATACAATTGCCTGGAAATCATGGAAAGATGATTGGATATCTCATTCTACTACAGCCTGCATCTGCCAGAAAAGTCACTGAGATATCCAAGGTGGTACAGTACATCATCTTCTGCCAAGGAGGACTTGCAGAGTATTTGCAGAATCCCATTCGCTGAGTATGGAGAATTCCGCATTCCTAGCAAGCCTTCACAGTTACTGTAGCAGCTCCAGGACTGATTGCCCTTCTGTATTTCACTGTGGTGGTTGTGATCCTGCATTATTCTCTGTGGATTGCAGGTTCCACAGAGAAAACAAGGTGATGAACTTCCAAACCCAAATATTACCCAGCTGGGTGATACTTCAGTTGAATTAAGACATTAACATCTTAGTTCAATCAAAACGGCATAATAGATATTGGAGACTACATTTGGACTGCTGTCTGAATCAATTCATTCTTCCAAACACTTTGAAATGTCCTGACAATCATCAAGTACTGTACAGAGTAAAGTGAAGATTATGTTTCTTCCTCTGTCCCTAACATCATTTTGTCCAGAGCAAGACTTTGTCTTTGTTCACATTCTGACTAGGTCCAGCTGTGCTGAACTCTTATTCCTTGGACACAAATTTACCTGCGCCTGTTTTCAAGAAGAAAGAATAAACTAAATGTTTCAAGTCAGAGGAATTCTGCACCCACCTGAGGCGCTATAAGGGAACAGATCTTAGCAAAGATGACGTGACCGGAGAGAGCGAAGACAATATGGTTCCGGAACTTTGTAAACCACATCACCCATTCAAAATCAGCTACATCCTATAAGAGATGCAAAAAACAAAAATATATAATATGTGAAATACATACATAAACTGGAGTTTCCACTTGTGCACTCTGGTTTGTGTTTCATCTTCATTTTGAGAAAGTCCCTTGGGTTAACTTTGAATACTTGGAAAATTGTAAAATGTAATATACTCGAAATTACCAATTAAAACATATAACCATTACATTTTATAATCTTATATAATTCATAATGTTATTTCAATATCTTATATAGAAATAAAGATCTACAAAAAATCAACTCCTTCCAAGAGAAATTATGTATTATACATAGTTCACTCACCATTTTTCTACCGAAGTAATACCATCCGGGTTGGACACTTTCCCTGAATGCCTTCCTGTTCATATTTTCTGAAATTTAAGTGGCAGACTCAGAATTAACTCTTTGTCTTCCAGTATGGTCTTTTCTGAATTTATTTTCTGTGCATCATATGCATGTTTTTTTAGCTTGAAAAACTTTTTCAGTTAGGCCAGAGCAAAAGAGTTGATGAATGTCAAAATCAATTATTTTTTGTTTCCGATTAACACAAAAGCCTATCCTGCCTTAGAAAGCAGACCACAACACTTCCATCTGAATTGTAAAAAGCTGTTTTATGACTTAAACCAAAAACTTTGTCTCGGGAGAACACAATTATGTTGATCCTCCTGTTGGCAGCATATTGTCAAGCCTTCTCTACAACCGGGCCCTATTGTTGTTAAGGAATAAAATCCTCAGAGCCACTTTATCAAAACACATTCACAACAGATTGCACAAAAAACTTGGTGATTCATACTGTTACGTTAAGTGATTTTGCAAATTAGCAATTAAGTTTTAATTGCCCACATAAACACCTGGTTTGAGTTGCAAATATCCAGTTTTTAAACAGTATCCAGTACTTTTAAAGACTATATTCTTATAGTGTTTTCCTGAAGTACAGTACAATTTCTCACTATGTGTCCTTGTCTAATGGCTAGAACATAAAATATTGCATAGGTCAGCTGCATCGGTGGAAAACCCCTGCATCAAACACAAAGATGATACCTTGCACAATGCACACTGCATCATTCACATTTTAAGAAATTTGAAAAAGATTAAAATAACTCAGAAATCATAGCAAAAACCACCAAAAACTATTTTAATCAGTAGGGTGCTATCGATGCAATTGACCATAATGCAATTCTCCGACCCTGCTTTTTATTACTGATGTGTATTACACTTCTATGGTAGGAATAGAAATTTCAATTTACTCAAGAATACCAAAAAGCAAAGGTTTCCTCAACAAGGGAATTGGCAATGACTCATCATATGACCATGCATGTTAAACAGTGGCAACCAAACCACATACCTGTGCTAGACAACAATTCTACAGCATAAACAAAAATATATCAACAAAGGTGGACGTCATGATGAAATATGGAATTATGAGTAATCATCCTTTTAAAAAATGCCTGCATTTTAAAACAATATTCAACAAGGTGTGCATCTCCAAGGATGTTCTAGAAAAGCCAGGGTTATCACAGCTTCCTAGGAATAATGACTACTGTAAAAAAGCTTGTGTTTTATTATGATTTAACTTTATATTTAAATATAAATGTTATTTTCCATGTTTTACAATTATACTAAGACATTTTAAATACGAGTTTATGAAGAGTTCTTTGTTTACTTTAAATGATTCAATTATTTAAATATTTAACCACAGTTTTGCTAATCTATTCCATTTTTGTTCAGTGTCAAATCTTTAGATGTTTCCAGGAAGTTTCTAAGTCTAGAAGAATTCTTCTTCCAGGCCACCTTCCTTAGTCTTCGGATTATTCAGACAATCTGGAATAATTCTGCATCTTTCAAATCATCATAGCATGCCACTTGACACGTAGACCTACAGAGAAAACTGAAAGTTATTTCCAAAATAGGAATTTTAATTAAAATTGTATCAATGATCACTGAAGTCTACATATGCAATATCCTTCACAATTAAAGCATAATTTGATTGCGTGTGGTGGTGCAAGCCAAGGCTTTGGCCAGGGCCTCCCTCGTTAGGGAAAACTGGACACACAGGGTTGATTGCCTGATTAGTGCCTTGTGTGACTGGAATGCCACTAGTATGAATTTGATTGGTCCAGTGAGTAATTCCACATTCCACAGGATTTAATCTATGGTTATAATAGCAGCCAGGTGGCCATACAGCTTTTGGCTGTATCTTAGCTCCTGCAGTGCTGGGTGAGAGTTTAGCTAGGTTAGGAGTTGATAATGGATGTCTATGATTTAATATCAGCAGACTCCAGTTCTAACCCAGATGATGTTTGAATGATTTAAGAGATGATGAAACTTGCAAGTATGAGTTTGTTTTGGAGTGAGTTAAATAGGTGATTGAAGGATGCAGGGTGAATTTAGTAACTTTTTATTCTTGGATATAATATGAATCCTCCATACTGCTCTGAAGAGTGGTAGAGTGGTTGATTATAGTTGGAGACTGGGTGCCAATGGGGTTAAGCCAGTGTAGCTTGCTGGTATATCTCTGAGGAAATGAGGGACATATCTTCCTACTAAATGGCCATTTATTAAGAGGATGAGCCCAGTTCAGTGTTAGCATGAACCTGGGAATGTTGAATCTTTTTTTTGGAAGAAGACCAATGAAGTGTGAAGAATTACAGTTCTGTTTTCTCCTGTGGATTAAAGACCTGAAGAGTCGACCTGCAGAAGTTGAAGAAGAAATGGAATATAATGATTCATTATGTCTGTGATGGACTGGTTCTGGGACCGTGCAGGCTTCTCTGAAAGGGGACCATTGGTATATTCTAAGAGCCCAGAAGGGTTCCAGAAGTCAATAATGATGACAGAGTGCCAAGATGCACTCCTATAATCTGGTTACTTTCTGGCTCAGAGTTACATATCATGGCCTAGGGGTTGGTACTCCTCATATTGCATTCTACTTATTTAACATTCTATGGCAGCTCTGAACATTTGTTGTAACTTCATAAACAGTGTAGAAATGCCCACATACAGTATGTCAATGTTTTCAATAGGAGACATTCATTGTATTAATAAACTTCAAATAATGAATGGCAAATTAAATTTTCCATAGTTTTTCATATTGATCAGGAATAACCGTCTGTTATCGGCAAGCTCCATCTTCCTGTTTAAGGTTGCAGCAACTTGGAGTTTATCCTGGAAGAATAGGGCACAAGTCCATCACTAGTCCAACTGCCTGTAACCTCTTAGAGATCCCAACTTACTCAGCCAGCATGACTAAGATCATGGTAGGAAACCAATGCATCTGGATAAAACCCAGTAAAAGTACTGAATGGAGATCATGTGAGCTTTACAGGGAATTCACCCAGGTCTGCAATCAAACCCTGGAGCTGAGAGTTGTCAGATACCAATTTTATCACCCTGTAGCCTGTACTTGTCAAATCTCAGAAACTATACAAGCCTGGTCCTGCTCAGTTTTGGGATAGGAAATCTCCAAGAAAAAAACAGGTTGCTGCTCCAAATAATGCTTGTGGATCAGTAGGAAGCACTCTTTAACCTGGACCAGAATTTCCAAATGACTGAGTTGGTATGACTTAAAACACACTGTTCAGTAGGAGGTGCTATGCTTCAGATGAGATGCTGAGCTAAACTACAGTATACTGACCATTCAGTCATCTACATTAGTTTATTTTGTTTTTCAAAGTTTAATGATCTCTGAATCTAGTCCAGCTGGTTTTTGAAAGATACAATGGTATAGGCTTTAGTTACATGGTTGGATATCTTGATCCAGACTCCCACAAATGTTTCTTGTTCTCAGATTCTAATGCACTTTCCCTTAGTTTTCATATCTATCCTCAGCTTTGTACTCCATAGGTGATTCTGAAGATATCAATTTTGAGTGCTTGTATTCGTTCACCTCATAGTCTACTCTATCCAATAATAAAAAGGTTCTTCTAGCACAACAGTATAATGTAATTCAGAATGTGAACATTTTTTAACAAAAGGTGTTCAATGAGTCAGTGGCTGGGAAGACATAAGATTTTAATGTACCTTTGTTGTTTTATGTGAAAATGTGAGCTTTTCACATCCTTTTTTTATTAGAAATATTAAGTACATTTGCTTACTCACCACATGTTTTAACACAAAAGATACTTTTAACTTAGGATCTGAATTAAAAGGCACATTAATTTATTTTTCTAATTTAGTACATCACATGAATCATGAAAACATGATGATACTCTCTAGTGAGAAGGAAGTAAGTTATTATTCCCAATATCAGGATTGGGCAACTTCAGTCCTCCAGGGTTTATGAATCATCCTATCCTGGCAAGCAATGGGTGCAAGGTGGGGTACATCCTGGATGATATGCCAGTCTATCATAGGATACACACAGTCACAGACACCCAGACACTTATACCAGGTCCAGTTTTCCCATAAGCCAATTAACCTACCAGTTAGTTTTTGGACTGATGGAGAGAAGAGTACCTTGAACAAACCCACACTATCAGCATTTAAACGCTGCTATCAACCCTATGTTCGGATTTCAACCCAGAGCCCCAGCGCTGTGAAGCAGCAATGCTAACCACTGCACCATCATGCCACCCTACTGTAACACTGCCCTATTTGAATCTCTTTAAAGCTTGTTCATTTCTTTTTCTGAGAGAGTGAGAAATTACCAGGAGATAATATCTTCAGAACAGTGGGATACACCAATAACTTGAAGAATGTAACTTGAACACAAATAAGAATTTGTGTAAATACTGGTTCTGTGAAATATATGACAAAGTAGACCAATACAAAAAAAAACATTCCTTCCATTTTTATGTTATTGTCTAAATTAATTCTGTTTAATTAAATCAGTAACTGAAGAGCTAAAGTGGAAGAAAAAACAGAATACCTTGTGGCACCCCATGACTTGGATTGAAAGAGGTCAGTTTGGTTGGCCTGTTTTTCAGCAGAACCTACTGACCTCATAAATGTTCACTTTTCATAATGTTAGAATCAAATTATTTTATACCCACCACATGTTAAATTCTATGTCTTTCACATCTTAGCTCACAATACGAGCCCCATGACTGCACACCTGGAACAATAAGTGTTGTAGAAAGACCCCCGTGCCAATCATCTTTCAGTACAGGCAACACAGCCTGTACTGAGCTTCACACTAGAGGGGGAGGAGAGGTGAGTCCCTCACCTGCAGCACCATATGTCTGCTAGCACTCAGGAGGTCGCAGGGGACACAGTGTTTTGAGAGTCAAGAGAGACCTGTCCAAAATATCCTACTCTATCATCAGTCGCACTTTGCCAGTTGTGTGCTGTCGCCTAGAGAATTCGGGTTACAGTTAGCTTGTGCCAACACCCTAGCTTAAATTTGTGGACATAGAGCTCAACTGTTACTGGCTGCGCCACGCAGGAAGCACCATAAATGTTTAATTGATACAATTGGTTTGCAAAGGTTTTCCTACGTCTGGATGCTACTTCAGGGACAAGTGTCTTTCAACTCATCTAACTTCTACTACAGTGAAGAAATTGAACCAATTTACTACTACCTCAGCTCTAATCATGGAGAGCCACAAGTTCTTGTGCTTTAAATTTAATCTCTCCTCATAACTCAGTCAATTATTGACTTAATTGGTCTGAACTATAACTGGTTCCTAGTCTTAAGTTATTAAGGAATTGGAATTCAATATAAGACCTACAGGACTCTAAACAGTGTCACTGTTCTAATATATTGAATCAACATGTAACACACAGCACTGGAGACATATCACAAAAGTATTCACAACAGGTGTGCAATTTGTATGGTCTACTTTATGGTGTCTGCCATAGGTAACTGCATGGAAGGATTAAAAAATTGTTCATAGGTCAACTCAGAGAAAAGGTATATTCCTTTAGGTAACTGCCAAGTTACTGCACATCACACTATTAACCAACTTATTTCTTTGCCATCATGCTCTATAATGGAGCTCTATAACTACACTAAATCCGAATGAGCAGAGTCAATGATGGAAGTACTTTTTAACAGAAAACCCAAAGGGAAACAGAAAATATTCATCTTCTTCTGCAGATTTATCACATTTTGATCAAACAAAAATAATGTACTGTAAACTATGTCCATTATTTCTTTTCCAAATAAACTGACATATAATTGAAATAAAGGAGCATTTAAATCTTGCAACATTTGAGATGATATAGTCTATGACGATTTCTAGGACCCACGATGTTTTGACGCTTTTTAGTTCAATGACTTTCTTCCACAGAATTCTTTTTCTTTGAATTTTTCCATTGCTGGTAGATCTAGAGGAATCTTGATGGATACTTTTGTCACAGCAGTCTGTTTAGTCTCTTCCTTCAGAAAAAAAAGCGCTATTCTACTTCTGTAGATTAATAGACAAAGTCATGTTCATGACAGCTAAACTGATGTAGCTTCAAATAAAGACATGAACTGTAAAAATTTGAAAGCACTAAATAAAAAGAAGAAACCAACAGTCCTTGTTGAAGAACATGTGGAGGATTTTCCTTTTTTTAACTCTACTTACCACTAGATGCTTCGAAAATCCAGCTAGTCGCCCAGAGAAGTGCAAGGGACAGGACACTGGTGTAGAAATACAGCTCATACTTGGGAAGAGCAGCTTTAATCCCCATTTTGAAATTTTGGCACCAGAAGAGAGAGAAATTCCAGAATACCTGTATAAAAAAGGAATACCAGTATTTAAACCATATTTGTTATTTTATGGCATGCACATTATAGGCAAGAATATAGTGTTTTTGTGTTATGGACTTGTAATGAGAAGGTTTTGGGTTCACATTCTGTCGGGCTACCCTTCAAGAACCACCTTTAAGAACATACAGTACAGTACTATCTTCAAATTGCTGCAGTAATATACTAAGCTGCATCAGTGGATATAGATTTTGTTGCTCTGAACAACATTTTCAGAAAAATATATTATTAATAACAATGGTATTGTATTCAGGGGGTCTGAAGTATTAGGGTAATTGCCAACGTAAATTTAGAGTGCTTTATTTTTGTCACTAGAAGCCTCATAATCCAGCTTTGTATGACAGATGTCCCTTGTTGTTTTTAGCTGCCTGGTTTTGCAAGCACATGTACATACAGTATACAGCATATGTATATGTATATTTGTTATACAAGATCAACAAATATTTACAGAAGTTTAATTTTCAGTTCAAGATTAAACTTAGTTTTCAAACACTTCTCTGAACAGACTAAAAGGACTGTTGTATTGTGTTATCTGCTGTACTGTGCACGTCCTGAGAGAACAGTCGAAGTAAGAATCCTATTGAACTTGTACAGATGGCAAATAAACTAATTTATCTCTACTGCCTTTGCTGAATTGTGTAAAACCTGTTGATAGATAAGCTAAATGCTTATCTAGCAACTTTTTTAATCTTGAACTAGTAATAATACTGAATGTATGTACAGTAGTTTGTTCAAACTAAAAAAAAATATGTTGACACATCTTGATTAATTTATATTTGGTTTCTGAGTTAAGACGCCAGTTGTGATTCCATGTTATTTACTAGATCATAGATACCAGTATGTAACAAAATAAATGTAGATCAATTTTAATAAATTTCTGAAAAAAAAAACTACTAGGAAACATAGGTTAGTAACTAGGAATATGAAATCCATGTTTCAAATCCATAGGGTATAGAACATTATATGTGTTATTTCTAGTGTTTCTAACATAGTGTTATTTCTACAGCATCAATAAGTCTTAACATTATAAAAGAGCAAAACAAATATGAAAAATATTGTATTGTATATCTACAGAATTACATCAGTGTTAGTATGAAGATTTTACTAGCAATGTGCATTAGTTAAAATGTATTATTTTATTGTATTAACTTAAAACCTGTATTAGTGTCCAATGATCAATTGTGGAGACTTTAAACAAACAGGAGGTGTTGTCTCATTTTTATAATTACCTGTTGGATCTGCACTGTAGAATAAAAGTTATTAGTTCTAGCACAGATTTTTTTTTTTAATGTACAGTGAATTCAGTCATTTGAAACTCTTGGTATGTTGTTTAACATGATTCCTAGTTAAATATCACAAATCAGTCATGTGCATTGAAATGATGCCCTGTGTTAGACAACAGTTTTACAATTTCTAGTCACTACAGTATGTTTCCTGTCTCCAGTTTAGCTTGTTTCACAGATAATGCTTGTGGTTCTCTACAAATTATTAGTACATGTCTATTATTACATATTACCCATCCAAAAGCAATTCAAAACCTTTTCCTGCAGAACTTCACATGGTGTGCAATTTAAATGATTACTGGAATGTTAACGGAAGTTTTTAGAACTTTTTTTTCTAATTTTCTATGACAAAATCTCAAAATACAATACTACCTGATTATTTTACCTGGGAAGTCATTTATCTCACTACATGAATGTATTTGCATTTGTTATATTAATTAAATTATACCTGTATGTGTTATATGTATTTGTTAAACATTAAACAACAAAACATGACAACAGAAAAAGTGACAGCACTAGCGCTTTTACTGAGGCAAATAAGTGACAGGGATCACTACAAAACAATAATAGTTTACACTTCAAAAAGAGCCGAGGACATTTTCTATATTGTTCAACTTGCAACTGTGCGAGTTACTTAAATGGGATTGCGACGACTACAAGCTCCGAAGAAACAGCTAAGTCAGCTGCGCCATATACCCCTTGACTATTTTAGGCTTTGCAGTTGGTCTGAATTACTGTATACAGCTGCTGCAGTGCTATGTGATCCTGCAATACAGCCGGTTTAAAAGTAAGAATTAGGAATATTCCGTAGAAAATCAACCGAAACGCTGACTCGTTAACTGCACTGACAAATATCCGGTTGTTACTGACAAGATTTAAATCTAGTTTTTCGACATTGCAATGAAAGTCTTAATAAGAATCTTTTTTTTTTGCTTGAATGTCTTCACAAGATTTTTTCAAGCACCAATGTTAAATGGATGGTGCAAGAAGACACAGTGTGATACATACAAATGAGGCTTATTTTGTGATGCAAATGACACTGAATTACAAAGTAGATAATGATGTTTTTCTTCTTTTCGTTGTCTTTCTTAACACTTGTTATACTGACCTTGAATGCAGTGGTGCAGCTGTCAGTCACAAACCTCGAGAAAGGAAATGTGGAGCCCCCCTCTTAGAAATAAAAAGAAGAAAAAGCAAAGGGCAGTGGTCTTTTAGCAATGCATGTGTCCCGTTATTATTGTGCTGATGAGGCACCCTTGCCCACCAGCAGCCGGTATAGATGGAGAGAGCCGTGAGGAGGGGGTGGCTGCTGGATATATTTATATTTTTGACCAGCACTGCAGAGAGGGCTGGTTCTTAAGCTGTCAGTCAAACAGGCGGTATTATAATGTTTGGAATGCATTAAGACAGTGCAAGTATATTTAACTTTTAGCATAGTATAGATGTGTTATGATAATATCATGTTTTAGCGCATATTTTAAAATACATTTCAAAATACACAAAAAAATAGTTACCATCTCTCTGTGTTAAAGACATTCTTTTGCTTTTAAAAATATTAATTTTTGACAAGTTTTAATACCCGTGATTAAAATGTAATGAGTGAAGTCACTAATGCCACTTTTTATTACATTGTGTTCATTTAACACGTTTATGTGGTGATCAGTAAAGTAACAGTGTATTCAAATTACTACATGTACTATCCCATTATGAATAAATGAACTGATTTAAGTTTAAATTTAAATGATTATGAATACATAATTTTTACATACGGTTTTTGTAGCAGTCCATTGAATGTTAAGAACAGAAAGTTTTCAACAACAATGTACAGGTTCAAAATATCTGAGTACAGTATGATGTTGCGATGATGTCAGAAATGATCATTTCAAAATCAAGTTTGGATGAGTTCTATTTCACAGATGGTGGTCTTCAGTGATTGTTTCTGAAGTGCCTTAGTCTTATTTGTACATATTGTTCTCATCCAGCGCCTTGCAAAAGTATTCAAAACCTTAGTTATCAAATATTGTTGCTTTAAAGCTTGCAGTGATGACTTAAAGAAGTATTTAATATTTGTAATACACACAACCTACTCCACATATTCAAAGAAAATATTTACTCACTTATTCAAATGAGTTAAATTTCTTATGATTTCAGAGAACTTCTGTGACCTTTAAGCAAATATTCAACCATAAAAACTAAGGCGTTTTACAAAGCAATTGAGGGATAGAGGTTTTTAAAAGCACAGAACAGGAGATGAAATTAAAGATATCAAAGTATTGGAAAATACCTGTACGCACAGTCAGTTTAGAGTCAATCATCAAGAAATGCAACTGAGCAGTTGGGGTAAGGAGGAAGCTGCTGAAGTAGGCCATTGTGATGTCAGTAAAAACTGAGTTCAATGGCTGAGGTTGGAGAAAATGTTCATCAGTTACTGTAACAATACCCCTGTCACAAAACCAGTCTGTGTGGCAGATAAGAAAACCCATGCCACATCTCGCTCAGAGTTTGCAATAAAGCATTTAAGTAATCCTGAAAAAATATGGTAAGCGTTTGTTCTGGTCAGATGAGAACAAACCAATAGAACAAGTGTAACTGTTTGGTTGAAACGCCAAGTGTTATGTTGGACAGAGACACAACACTGCACTTCTCAAAGGCGAAACCATCCTTACTGTCATGCATAGGAGAGGTCTCTCCTCATCTGTGACTGGAAAATGAATTACAATTGAAATACAAATGCGTGGAGCAAAGTACAGGCAATACTAGAAGAAAGCCTGTTTCAGTCTAAAGCCTTAAAAACTGGGGTGAAAATTCAGCTTTCAGTGGAATAAGAATTCCAAGGAGTTTGGCAGGGCTGCCACACACTGGAGTTTCTTAAGAACAAGTAAGTGAATGAGTGGCCCAAAGTCCTGACTTGAATCCCCTTGACTTGAAAACTGCTGTCTATAAGCAATCTCTAAGCTTCTCACACAACTTTAGAGACTTGAGGAAATCTGCCTGAAGAAAAAAGAAAAAATTGCACCAAGTTGGTAGAGACTCTAGGAGATTTGCTGTTGTGTTTATTTGATTTCAGTTTTCTATTTGGGCACATTTATTTTTAAAATTCACTTTCAGCACTTTACAGGACAAAAACGGGATTGTAATTAGTATCAACCTTTGTATCAGTCAATGGGTTTTGGAACACCCCGCATTCGGGTGTTTTGGCTAAAATCTAAGCAGATGGATCACTGCAGAATGGAAAATATTTTAAAGCTGTTAGAAAATGGATGGATGGTTTCTAGGACTCCACTGGCAGACCTACATTACCAGCACTTATTGCCTAGATAATACGTATGATGTAATTTGCTGTATGTACAGCCCTTAATAGTTAATGCAGGAGAACTGGAGCAGCCCCAAAAACACAAGACAGCATTAACAAACCTCCATTGTCAAATATGTAGTAAGCTAAAAGTGATTGTAAAAAAATGTTTTTGTCACCTACTATATATTAATACATAATTTCATGCAATGACCAACAGTGGCAACTCTTGAGTCTTAGTTGATGTGTCCTACTTCAATAATGCTTTTAAGATTACTATCACCAATATTTTAAAAAAGTGTTTAAAATTGTATTTTAAAAATACCATTACATGCATTCATACATTTTAGTCCATACTGTAAGATTTGATGTTAAACTTAACTTGAAGATTGCATCATATACTGATAGAAACCTGTATGTATTGTATTGACAGTTTTTAAAGTATGAAGCAAGTTTTTAAGGATAGGTACATTAACAAAATCAAATGGTAGTCATTTGAAAAAAAAAACAAACTCCCACCTTCAAAAACGTGAAGCTGCAGCAACTCCCACTTGTATTTAATATTTCTTTCACTTTTTTAATTAATCAGTGGATGGTGTAAACTTCTACCAAAACAAACAGATTTAAGTAAGAAAATCACATCTTAGCTCTATATCTCCTGAGAGATCACCAAGAAAGTGAGGAATTTAATTTGGGAAGTTGGTTTGCAGCTGAAAGGTTCGGTCTCCCAATTACACAGGTTCCAATTCTGGTGAATATCAGGGTGATTTTATAAAAAAAGACGTGATCGAGGGATAAATAATTACACAAACAAATGTTTATTTAGAGGAACTCGTACAAGGTTTATTAGACAATACATTACACTTTGCTTTTGGCATTACCCTTAAGGTACGTCTGCCATCCCAATAACTCCTTGATATTTGGCAAGTCTGACTGGCATTAAGCCCCAGGTAGGACGGCAGTGTACTGCCCAAAACCAAAAGCAAGTGAAGGCTGAGGGAAAAGAGGGGAAAACTAAACACCAAGCAAAGAGTGACCGTTTGAGTTAAATGTTAAAAATTACTTTAATAGTATTCATTGGATGTTATTATTACATGGGTAGTACACTCTCCACTGACATGATGAAGGTGTCATAAACATGCTTGTTACATCTCTATAACTCTTTTTTTATGTTTGCCCATTCAGATAACTAGGTTATCCATAGAACCGGACACAAACTCTGATCACTTCACCCAATTAGAAAAATAGCAGCTTCAATCAAATTGCTGGGCTTTTAGATATCTCTGAATGTGAATTTATTATTCATCAAAATTTTTGTAAATCGACGAAAACTGGATCAGTGTTTTTTGCAATTCCACCAGACCAGTAGGACTCTTTAACCCTTTTTTTTTTTTTGAAGATCAACAGCCATTCATTAACAACAAGCCAGGCTTTGGCATTAAACATTTTGTGCTGATTTTAAGTCCTTTGTAGGTTCAAAGGTACTTTAACCCATAACTAAATATCCTACTAGTCTTTGGACATAATGTATTTATAGCCAGCAAGCAGGCAGTTTTTCATTTGTTTTAAAGCATTGTAATTATATACCAATGATTTTATTATATAATAATTCTGAAGGCAGCAGTAAAACAAGGAGGGCTTCAAATGGTGTACATTGTAATTTAACAAATTACAGTTCAGATAAAATGTTTCCTATCAACATTTAACAGTACAAATGTTTGTTCCTTTTTGTATGTGGTAGCCAGCAATTACTCCTCTGTAGCTTCCCTTTTGCTTGTCTCCTGTCCCTCGAAGATGGGGTACTTGCTCTCTGTTTCTGCCCATGTGGTGGAACCATTAGCCAAATCGCGCACAATTGTAGGCAACTCTGAAACCTGTGAAGCAAAAACAGATTTTGAGAACTGTAACTCTGAAAAAGATCCCCTTTTCCTTTTTCTATTGAGCTTAAGGCTATAAAATGACTCGTATATTGATAACAGTCAAAACATGTTCTTTGGTTTTAGTTTAACCTGCATTTAATTTGAAATGTCAAATCACAAGCATGTAAGAAAGCTTACATCAGAGATAATGACGTTTACTGATCCAACCCAGTTGGGTTGCTATTATTAGCCACCAAATTGACCTTAAGAAATCAGCTTCAACAATGTAACAAAGCAGCTTATTTAAGAATTGCACAACCTTATTATAACTAAATTTCTCATATTCTCAGTACATATTGAAGTAAGGGACAAGATGTAAAAAGGGTTAACTTAAGTCAGTTCTGCCTGAAAATTAGATTTCTATGCAACAGGGGTTTATGGACGGAAAGGTGGTTAACTGATAAGGATTCCAGATGGGAGCTTGGAACCCCCTGGCGGCGTAATCTTAAACTGACCATTTGGCCAGAGTCTCTTAACTGGCCAAATACCAGAACCCCCCCTTACCATAACACCGAATGAAGTCCGAAGCAGCAAGGAAGGACTATATAACCTAAAAGTTTGTACCGGCACATCGAACAATACTTCGGTTTTGTTGTTTCTTGCGGGAAACAAGACTTTGGCTTTATTGTTCCTTGCATGCAATAAACTCATCTGTTTAACTTCATCTCAGGATCCAGAACCTTATTCTTTTTGTTACAACAATATCAGTTACTATAAACATTTAAATCTCATAAGTAGTCTCTTCAAGCTACAAGTTTCCCCATTTTATAATTGTAGTTTATGTTTCTTTTGGCATTTGAGCTTAGCTTAAAACAGTTTCCAAAATAACACAAATTAGACAGGGAAGACTTTTTGCAAAAAATAAAGAATTTCACAAAATGTGAAAAAGCATTTTATGGTTGAGGTAATAATCAGGTTTAATAGCAGTAGGAGTAATAAAACAACACTTAGCCAATTCAGAAAAAAAAAAACATTTAAAAAATAAACTATGCAAGCATCAGAGTATCATGAACTTTATGAATTCCATTTTATAGAAATGACTAGCAGATAAACTTTTTGAACTATTTGTGTTAACTGTGTCTTACACCAGCTCTCTGATCAGCGAAGAAAGATAATGAATAATTTGAGTGGGAAGCTGTATCTGTATGCAGGCTGCAAGGGAACAAGCTGAAGTAAATTCAATGCAGGTCAATAAAAAACAAAAACATTTTGGCCGCTTTTTTCCTTTATTTGTACTTTTTTTATGTGGATTTAATCTCTACTTGTTCAAATGAAAACTTGAAAAGTTTTTTAAATAATTTAAGGGACACGAAATCATTATATTTTTACATCACTAACTCTGCTGTTGCAGCTTGTGATTCTAAATATAGGATCAACTTCTGAGTGTAATATAACCTTTGAAGCCATTCTGTAAGCAGCTTCTCTTTTGAATCTTTTTTTAAGTATCTGTACAGTTAAAATGGATGTGAAAGCTACTATTAATCACTGACAAAAGTGTTAGATGTTAAAACAACATTTTCACATTAGAAGAACTTTAATGTGTTCTTAAAAGTGCTATTACTGTGCTACTAGGTAATCCATTTCTGATTAAAACAGCCTTATCTGGAGAGCTCTAGAGATGTTATTAACCCACTGACTGAGCCTAGCCTCATTTTCAACATAAAATGCGCACTTACCTCAGCTCTGATCTGGCGCATGGAATCACGGTCTCTCAGAGTAGCTGTATGAGGAGTCTTGTTGACGGTGTCAAAGTCAATGGTAATGCCAAAAGCTACACCAATTTCATCTGTCCTGGCATATCGCCTCCCAATGGACCCAGAAGAATCGTCGATCTTGTGGGAGACGCCGTTTCTAGTCAGGGCTTCAGCTGTGAGAACATTTTAAAGGTGATGCTCCAGAACTTTTACCAATAAAAATTATCCTAAATATTTTAAAACACCATAACTTCTGAAACAGACTACCACATCAAAAAGACCCTCAAGGTGAACTTCTCTCAGATTCTTACCCCAAACGCCCTACAGGATGTAAAGGTTATGAGTGTGTCGTGGTTCAGCTAAAACTTCAACTAGTCAACTAGACGACAACATTTTGCTCCTTAAGAATAAATCCATAATCAGTGGAACAGTCTGTGGAATTTGATGGTTACCTTCTGGTTATGACTGAAAATAATACCAATTCAGTGGGTCCTTATTGAAACTGTTTTCCTCTGGCTAAAATAAAATTGGTCAACTATTCTGTCCGAAATATTAGAGAATGTACTCTGTACTTACAAAGCTCACGGACAAAAGGCACAAATTCCTGATTCTGACTCAAAGGAAGGACGGAACATTTGTATGGAGCTACTGTGGCAGGAAAGCTGAAATACTGAAAAGGAGAAAAAAAAAGGTAAATAAGATATTGTTGAGGCAGGCTGGGCCTGATACAATGGTTGGGTGTCTACCAAAATGAGAATTCAAAACTGCTGATACAACCTGGATTAGAATTTACAAATACATACCGTTCTCTGTTCATCACCTTCTCGGACATGGAATGTGTGTTCGAAAATAGAGTACATTATCCTCCCAATTCCAAAGGAAGGCTCAATAACATTGGGAACAATCTCTTCCACTACAGGAAAGAGCAGTAGTAAGAACGATTAGAGACAAAATAAAATATTCAGAAAACAACCGAAAATCACTGCCTTCTTCTATCTTAAGTGAAATGACAGCTGATACACATTAACTATGAAAAACAGGAGGACTGGAAACTGAAATGGTTTCTTCTAGTCAATTAATAAATCCTGTGTGAACTTCTCCAGCAGTCTTTGTATATTGTTTTAGCTCACTTTTTTGCCAACAGTTAGAAATAGCCCTTAATAGTAGGAAGATGGAAACATGCACATTAAGCTTCTAGAGAGGGACTGGAAACCTCCCAGAAACTATAAGGATTTTTTTTAAACTGGGAAGCAGTATAGAGCACATGTTAGGGTTCTGGACAACAGAAAGGTTGTGGATTCAATTCCCAGGTGAGATACACCAGTTGCACACTTGAGAAAGGTAGTTGAACTGCATTGTTCCAGAAAAACGAAAAATGTACATCAGCCAAATAAATTAACTGCTGGTGTGTAGGCAAGGCAGCCTGGTGACTAGTATACAAAGATGAGCCATTAAATTTGGAACAAACATCTGAATTACGTATCAACCAAAATTAACAGGCTGCTGTCACAGGATGCTGCAAATTTCTAGATGCCCACACCAAGTGAGATTAAATTACAGAATAAAGATAACAAATTAATATTATAAAGATATTGTAGCCTTAGATTTGATCCAAATATATAAAATCCTAAGGAGTCCAGATAGGTTCAACCAAGGGTACAGTTTCACTCTCAGTAGTGAAACAAATGCAAGGAGTCCCAATTGGAAAACGTAGTGTAAGGTAAATTTATTTGGGCCACAGAATAGGAAACAGTTATAAACTCAAAGAGTTGTGGATATTCAGAACAGGCTCTGTGGCCAGGTCTCAAGGCCCAGACTTTGAGCACTTTTAAGAAATTGCTGGACAAAATTTTAGATTCACTTACAATAGCTACTTAATGAGAAAGATCAGGCAAATGCCATGTTCTTAAGGCAAAACAAGCCCTGAAATGCTAGGGCAATACTTTGGATAATTAACTCCAAACTTTATAGGTATAATACCACTATCAACTGCCACAATTCAAAAACGAAGAATCTAAATGCTTAATCTTTTTTTTTCTTCAGGTTGGTATGCACCCTGTAACACTTAATGCCAGAGTATCCTCATGCTGACAAGCCTTGTTTAAAGGAGAACTTTGGCACACCTGCCAATAACAAACAACCTATGTAATATCCAACAGAAGCCTTTTTCTTTGCCACAGGCCTCTTTCTACTACACAAATGAAAAGCCATTACTTAGTACAGGGTTAATTTCTAATTTAATCTTTATTAGTAGTAACACCCATTTCCTCTACATAATTTCCTCCCAGTATTCTTATTATTCTTATTGAAAGCATTTAGAGCACACTATAGCATACTAAAGCTTTTTCTTCTGTACCTACATTTATAATCTGCTCTATGAGAGTGTTCTCTTACCATGGAGGGTCTTCTGGAATCTCTTCACACTGACCATGTCTTTGGTCAGTTTAAAGGTCTTTCCTTCAGTTTCAATAGTGAACTCACTATGAGGGAATGAACATCATTAGATCATTGGTTCAAGCAAAGCCATTTGATAAAAGTGAAGGTAGAGCCAACACTCTTACAGAATCCAGTTCTTTACTTCAATACATGCAGGTCTGCTGTTGCAGAAAAGGCAAACAAGTCGGTAGAATTTATTGAATAATAATGCACAGCTAAGAGCAACATTGCTCAAACTGGAAAAATTTGAGATGAAAATAATAAAATGCTAGAATATTTGGTCAAAATTAAAAAAAATCAAACATGTTGATCTTCAATTAACAGAAACCTCAATATAGACAATGGTACAACAAAAAATGATTAGAAGGACTTATAATTAAGATTGACAAAGAACCAGTTTCATGTGATTCACTTCTTTACAGACAGGCTGCAGTACAGTGAAACCAATGTATTCTGCTGCGCCTTTCCACAGCATGACGTTTGTGCCGCTCTAGAGCTACATTTCTTTATGTGAATACAACACTAGAAAAAATGTAGAACATTTTAATTGAACTTTAATATCTTTCTCAAAAGATATTAATGTCTCGAACTGATCAAAATGTCCAATACATTTGATAACTACAAGTTGAGCATCCATAACGTAGAACATTAAGTCAAAGCAGCAAAATGCGAAGCAGCAAAAACTAGCACTGGAGTCTCACAGCTCTTGGATCCTAGGCAAGTTTTGGGCTTAGGGCCTAGGTTAACAGGAGTTTCTACATACCTGAATATTTACACATACAGGGGCATCAAGCTACAATCTAAAGGACAGAACCTCAAATTAAATTAAGATTAAGGTAAATTGTAATGTACTGATCTTTCTGCTTCTACATCTTGTCTTTCTCAGTCACATTGCCTCTAGCTATCTTTCAGGATTCTGCACCACATGCAAAGGTCTTGAGTACAATTTAAGATTTAATGAAAGGCAGGCCTACCCATTCTCATTGAGGAGTTTTTCCTGCTCTGTGATGTAACATTCATCGCAGATTGCAAGGTAGTCCATTGCCAGCTTGGCATCCCTTTTGTATGCTTTTCCAATTGCTCCCTTGTTTGGCTCAAACTGGACAACATTTACAGTTTTGTGTGACGTAGTTAAGGAATTAAAATCAAGACCAAACAATGCAGAGTAAGCAGAGACCAAGGTAATGTTTTTGAAATAAGTGTCCTCTGTAGCATTAGACTGAAAATGCATGAAGAAAACAAACAAGTCATGTTATCTGCAACCATTGTCTGAAACAGTATGTTCCAGAACCATAGATACACATGGCCTCCCCCCCCCTCTTCATCACTGGATAGATATCTACAAGAACCTTTTTTTAACTTATAGAGGAATATACATAAGTGCAAATTTATTAAAAGGTTTTGTGTGTACAGGACTTGGGGGAATTAATCTGTTAGGAATAATGTAATTATCTTGAGATACGTTCCCAACAAACAGTTCTCACAGGGGTATATACATTTAATGAACAGACAACCCATAAAAAACAAATAGAAACAGATGGCATCACCAACTCCTTTAAAATAGTGGTTTCATAGAAACCCAAAAAGTCATTAGCAGTTTAAGATTAAATTTTCTTTCCACATACTGTTCTTGCATTTGGTGAGTGATCAAACCTTTATCCGCCTGATTAAACCTGGTTGGATCAGCAACGCTATTAATGTGTCCGATATTGATGCTCTGAACAGCAACGATATTGATGCTCTGAACGCGGGCAATGCTGAGAAGACCCCAAGTGTGCAGGGTGAGTTTGTTCTGAAACTCTCAGAGCAGGATGTGCAGAAGACTCTGAGCAGGGTGAAAATCCATAAGGCTGTAGGGCCTGATGGGATACCACTTCGCGTCCTGAGGAAATGTGCAGCCCAGCTGACCACAGTGTTTGTGCGGTCTCACCGAGATTAAACAGCTCTATGAGGACCGCTGCCGTGGTAAAATTCTGGCCATCACAGAGGACAGTCACCACCCCGGGCATGAGCTTGCCCTCAGGCAAGAGATATAAGAGCATACGGACACTTACCACTAGATTCTTCAATAGCTTCTATCCACAAGCAGTGAGACTGGCGAACACATTTAGCCATCCCCCTCGGACCACACCTACACCATCTACCTCTTTATGATTTCTTATCTATTGCACATCTCCAGTAATTGTTTACACGTCTGAATTGTTTACATTCAAACTGTTGTAAGAGGACCCGGGGAAGGGTCATCTCTAACAGGTATTTCCGAAACACTGAAAATACTAGAGATGGACCTTAGCAAGATGGCGGACAAAAAGAATCAGCTGACCAGTAGATGGAAAGGGTCTACCTTAAGAAACAATGAGACACAGCTGAGACGCATCAGGAACCGAAATATAAGTGCCCCGGAGGCAGTGAACAGGGCGGAAGCCGGTAAGGTGAATGCATTTTGGAGGAAAAGAGTGGAAAGAGGTGCAAGTTAAGGATCGGGCTAAGGAATAACGTACTACTGCAAGGAGAAAAGGTTTATGGTTTTGGATTACGGACACGGGTTAAGGATAAATCGCGGATTGGCTTTATTACGGACTTTTGGAACTCGGAACGGATCAGGACTAAGGGAACGGATTACGGACTGTATTAGGAAGACAGTTATTGGAAGAAACGCCACGGATCTGAGGAAAGAAAAGTGTGGTGTAAGTATTACCTTCGTTCACATAAACTCTCCCCCGGTGACACCACACTGTCTACATGTTTACTTGCACATTGTCTAATGTTTGTTTGTACATTGTCTTGATGCACTGTTTGCACTTTGTCTTGTTTTTTACACTTGTTTTACAATCGAGAGACTTTCTGTAAGTAAGAATTCCATTGTACCAGTACCGTTCAAGTTCAACGTACTGTGTTATAGCAAGAATTCACTTTAAACTTTGGGGCATAGTAATTTAGAACCTAAATCAAGTGTAAAAGCACTGTGCACAAGAAGAAGAATGTTTAAAGTTAGATTTTGAATGGTATCTTCACAATATTTTTTTTTCATTTCCAGACAAAAATAAATCCATGAACCACCTGTGTTGCTGGCTTTTGACACCAGTGGGATTTTTCTACATGAAGGTCTGCAATTTAACAACTTAAGCGCAAAAGGACATATAGCGTGGTGACTTATAATGGGGATCGCCTTAATTTATTGCTTTATTTGTGAGGACCAAAAAATTTAACAGTACCAAATCCAGTTCATTCTTTGTCAAGTATCACTAGTGTGTGTGCACCCATCTTTAAAGTCAAACCACTGTAAATGACTATCTTGGAAAACTGCCGTAAAAGACAAGTGTCACACATGTAAATGTGTTCAGGCAAAGAATTAACTGTAAACAGTAGCACGCAATGTTTTTAACTAATAAGTTATTTTCCCACAAATACAGGGAATTATAAACCAGCACAGCACAAAACGAATGTACTTCACTTCATAATGCTCCTTCATTTGGGCACAAACTGATGGGGATTTCATATTTCACGATTTTATAACAATCTTCAAACTTATTTCCAAAAATTGGAAATACGTTTTTTTGTACAAACAAGTCTCTTGAACTAGAGACACAAATAATTCCCATACTAAAATAATACACTAATAACTGATAATAATAGATTTGTTTTAACCACCAAGCCCAGTGTAATTATCAATCATAACATCATATTTTACTTACAATAAAAGACAAAGCAGGTATTATACCATCCTATTATTCTGGTCCTTGTCTGTTAGCTTTTAAAGTCTTTTAAAGTATCTAGAATTACAACTACTGTACATTCTACAAGTCCGCTCGTGTAACCCTGAAGAAAGCACAAAAGGATATGGGTTCCTTGAGAGGCTTTTCTGCTACAAGAGGAACCTTGGTAGCCCTGGCATGGCAAAGCAAGTCATAGCAGGATCGGTCGGCACAGCCCACAATCTCGATCCACCCCTGCCAGAAAGATCAGTCAGAAACAATCATGAGTTTTCCATCCTGCTGGAATCAACTGAACAGATTCCAAATTCTAACACGTGCTGGGAAAAGTTGTAAAGACATCTTCTATCGTGCCTCCTACAATTATAAGTCTTCTTGCATGCTGAAAAGAGTGGAAATGAAACAACGTTTCGGCTGTGGAGCCACCTTAGGGTGCCACCGTTTCTTTTCCTCTCTTTTCAGCATGGAATAAACATTTACTTTTTCCTTTGCAGCCTACGCATGCTGACGCAGCTACCTACTTGAACTTCTTGCATGGGTGAGATTGGCAAATTTCAAGGTAACAAACTGTAATGGCGTCACTGTTCATTTTCTTGAGGAAGTTTGAAAACAATTCAGTAAATCCACCTACATAAGAGGTTTTCGTCTCTGCGTCCCAGCAATCACAGGCGTAGTGAGCCATCTCGTTGTCCATGTGCTGACGGAAGCGAAGCTTGTCCTTGGAAATACCCACTTTGGTCAGGTACAAGTAGATCCTCCCAATAAAATAGCCCAGGACAGAGTTATTGATCACACCCTGCAACAGAGAGCCAGAAGTGGTATACAAAAAATATCCATACCTTAATATGGAAAACAAGAAGAATAATAGTATCAAGCAAAGTCACACCCTGTTCACATTACTAGGAAATCATAGCTCCTTACCTGCTCAACTGCGTCTCCCAGTTTCATCATCTGTGCAGACTGACCACTGGTCTGAGCCTTGGAGGAGTACAGCATGATCTCTAAGTTGGCCACGTTCTGGAATTTGGGATGGTTTTTATCATTGGGATCCACAAAGTGCTCTATTTCTGCCATGGTGAACTCTCTGCATAAAAAACAGGACTATACGTTAGTCTTTCCTTTCACAATCAGGCATTTATTGTAACATTTCTCTTATCTTACATTCCATCTATTATGAACTGTAACTCAATCTCAATGACTTTATTCCAAATCCACATCCACTTTGCCCATATCAGGCTGACCCTGGCTTCTGTTCCGTGGGGTGAGCTAGTACTGGTGTGGCAGGCGTCTGCTCCACCCACCTGTCACTCAGCATCGGTTCCCATGGACTAGTTGACAGGAGACCTGTATCACCTGGAGCCAATTACTATTTCATCTCTTTCTGGCAATTAAGGGGGTGCTTAAGGGCAGCTCAAACTCTAATAAGGGCTCTGATATAGATTTCGGACTTCCAAGTCACAAGCTTGTTCCCTTCGTGTTTTGAAGACTCCCAAGTGTTGTATTTTTCCTGGCTTCACTCTTGCTTGTTTCCTTACCCACAATTCCTTGGTCTCCGTCTTGCTTCGTTAACGCACCCTCTATATGACCCAGATCACCTGACCAAGCCTGATCTTCTCTAGCGCCAAGATCTCACACCCGTTTTGGATTTACCCTTTTGGATTTTTCTCCAGTGCTTTCGTTATTTCACCTCATCAGTGTGCTGGCAGCTTCGTGAGCGCTACGTGGCTGCCTGGCCATGCAGTTGCGTCACTGCCCTCCTGTGATATCTGCCTTGAACCCCTGCCTGCTACACCACCATCCTGTCTGTATCTCTCTACCTTTGCCTGCACTACAGCCTCTATAAGTGCACTGCCTGCAGTTCCCCTGGGTCTCATCCGTCTCTCACCCAGAAAGTGGGTTCATCTTAAGACTCCTGATCCCCTGTTAGTCCCACTGAGCAATTAGATCATTACAACCAGAGTAAAATACTGAATTACTATAATGTACTATGCTGAATAACTATACTGTTAGAAATCAGGTAAAAAGCAGCATTCAACGCAAGTGTTATAAATGAATATTGGCAGGCAGACCACTTATCTATGCCACATTAACTTTAATGGTTATGATACATTAATTGAATTATTCAAAATCAATCTCACTGAAGACCTAGCCTTATCACACTACAGCAACCTTTCCCCTAATACCGCTCGTAACCCTTGTCCTTAACTTAACCTCCACCCTAACTTTAACCTATAACAAATTTAACCCAAGCATTACCTTAACCCTATATATTCCACTTATTCATATTAACACTTATTCAGGATACAAGAAGCTCTACATCCGCCAAAAATATGCTCCATTTACATTTTAAATATATGTTTTTAAGGCATGGGGCAAATACTCTGACATTCAGATACAATTGATTTTTGTATTAAAAATAAAAAAAAACACTTTTACCTGACTCTGATGAGGCCCGAGCGTGGAGAGATCTCATTCCTGAATGAATTTCCTATTTGGGCAGCAGCAAAGGGCAGTTTGCCCTGGTTGAACTCCAGCAGGCGCTTGAAGTTCAGGAAGATTCCCTGAGCAGTTTCAGGCCTCAAATAGCTACATACATCGAAATGCACAAGAAAGCAGAATGACTTACATTAGTCTTTGTGCAGCAGAGCATAATTCATTTGTACTGTGTAAATATTTTAGATTTAACGTTATACATATTTACAAATTTCTGAATTGAATTAAATTCAATTTTAAATGAAGAATCACAAATGCTTATATTACCCACTGAGTAACAAAGAATACATTTGATCAGTATAATCTCAACAGATACAGGTTTCCATTCTGAAAACATGCAAAAAGAACAATAGTTTAGGTGCAGGCAGGCGACAGCACTGGAACAATTTCCCTATAAACAAGTAATGTTCAAGCAACCACATTGTTGTGACAGTGGGGACCACTGATTTTAAACAAGGTTAGGAATGTTTAAATCCCATCTTGATTGCCCTACTCTGAAGGTTTGGAACAATGGGATATGTTTATCTTTATTTGTGTAGCTATCCTTAAGCAATGAGGTAAATAAGCAAGAAGGAAGATAGTTCAGCAAACTTATAATAATTTACTGTGGATTAACAAAGTTATTAAATCAGCCATAATAAAACAAAAGTTCAACAGTGACAGGACCATTACTAGCAAGGTTATGAAGACAGCTTCCATAGGAGTAGACCACAGCATATATACAGGAACAGGCAGGAAACAGAACAATGAGATATGAGCAAGAAAGCAGGACAGGCAAAAGGAATATCAGCATTCATCATCCTCCTCTTCATCCAAATCTTGTACTGACAGAGAGCACTCTCTAGAAATTAAACTTCAAACAAGATTCTGTCCAAATAATCTGAATGCTGAAGGAGTACTAGACTCTGAGATTCATTACAGAAGAGAACGTGCCGTCTTATTAGGAGATTCCGATTTTTTATACTGTGGAATCTTCTAACTAAAAATGTTATCTCCAATGTTAGCATTACACTGTTCCCATTTATAGTAAGCATCTGTTTAGAGACAGAGAATAAATCCTGGTTAGAATATCTTTTGTTGATTAGGACAGAGATTCTCTCAGCAATGGCTTATCTCTCCCATGGCCTGTTAAGGTGTTGGTGTATTAACATTGTAAGGATAGAATTCTTGCAAATCTACAGAAGGTAGGACTGAATCTCACTGAATTGGAAATATCTATGCAGAGTGTAACTGTTGTTTACAGTGTAACCAGTGTATGTTGTATTACATGAGTGTACATTTGTCGCGTCTAAATTTAAAGGAGAGTAAAAACAAGTGCCATTTCATGCTCAGGAATCCATGACCGTAGGGGGTGCAATTTATAATCCTCAGTATTGCAAGCTGGTCTCAGAACCTGATTTTCTTATTGATTCATAACCTCCTTATTTCACACCCCTGATCTGTATCGATGCTAATGAATTTCAAATTTTGTAAAAAGCAGAGAGTAAATACTGGATGATAATACCTAAAAAGAGGGAGAAACATTTTGTTTAATACAGCATATGAAAAACAGAACAGAATTAAAAGTACAATATCGTGGAATAAAAAAAGAGGCAGTGATAGGTGGCACAGCGGTCGTTTTCCTACCCTGGCATGTTTCCACCCGGTCCAATGGATGTCTGGAACATCAGGTTAAAGGAGATAGGTGGAGTCAGATCATTTCCTGTGACTGGAGATTTGACATTGTATTTCACAAAGAGGTTTGCTAACTCTTCTTGGGTGTAATTATCCAACTAAAACAGAAAAGAAAAATATAATTAATTTAAAAATAGATTTCACTAAAGATACTTGAGACTTCACTTGTACTAAAAAATAAAACAAAAGAACTATGAGAGACGCATACTCATAAACGACATTTTATTTTATGACAGGATCATAAAATAACATCTGGGTTTCAGAAGTGGTAAGAAAAATGAAAGCATCACAGTCATTTTTTTTTATCTTATATAGTATTGTACCGTGCACTATCAACATTTTGCAAAACTGTGCCAAGGCCACAGTAGGAAATATCCTCTGGATTATAAATAATGCCACCACAGACTTACACCATTGTTAAAGTCTATTTACTGTAAACAGACACAGGTAAACAAACACATTCGAGACATTTTGCTGCTTTGTTTCTGTTGGGAACAAGGTTTGTAGAATCACAATTGGTACCAAAATGACACCAGTGGAAAAAAAACCACAATTTGTATTTAACCAAAAAAATACCTTTGTAACCAAAAAGGTTAAAGACGATCATCTCGCATATTAAATTGTCAGCCATTGTCTGATGTGAGTTTCTACTGAAGTATAACAAGGGTGAAAGGAATAATCTATGGAGTTTTTACCATTTTTGTCCTGGCTGGGAAACAACCAAGACCGCTGTCCAGTCGTGAACTGTTGCATGAAAAACAGATCTAAAAAAATCAAAACCCTCTTCTTCAGAAAAGCCTTTACTTAACTGGTTCCATTCTTCACCCCTCTGCTTTTTTTAGTACCACCATCCATGGTCCCCTCTATATATTGTAATTGTGTTTTATCTTGTGTATTCTTCTCATTTATTGTTGTTGTCATCCTGTAAAGCACTTTGAGAAGCCACCTTTAAAGGCGCTATATAAAATAAAGTTTATTATTATTATTAAGAACTTTTTCTAAAATGATACTGAGGCTGATAATGTCTCAAATACTGTACATCATCCCAAAGAAGGCTCCACAGACAAAACGTTGTGTTTCCTATCTTCTCTTTTCAGCATGGAATAAACCTTTACTTGTTGCTTTGCAGCCTGCACATGCTGACGCAGCTACCTACTTGAACTACTGTACATCATATCTTATTGGGGTATTAGGATATCCAATGATAAACTGATAAACTTCAAATAATTATTTTCTTGGTGTTGAAACCGATTAGTGACTTTTACCACTAAAGCAATCATCAGTGGTGGAACGAACCAGAAAAATCTTTAAAAACAGAATGTACAGTCCCTGACCACACTCTCAGGGCCCGTTAAAAACTAATCTGCTTAGACAGAACCTGTCTGTTGTCTCCTAGTTCTCACCTACATTCTTCACCTTTCTAATTCTCAAACTGCCAATGTAACTCCCTAAGTTTACAATAAATTATGATCAATAAGTTAAACATTCATGGTGTTTATGTTACTGCTGTGTATGAATAGGATCTGTATTCTGTTTTTATTCTCACCATTTCATTTGGTTCTAGTGGCAGGTTGTGCCTTACTTTTATTTTATTATATCAGTATAATCACTTTTATATGTACATTTTATATATTTTAATTTGAATCGTATATAGGCATCTGTTAAACTAATTATCATCACAAAACAAAGCTCTTTACTTCTTTGGGAAGACGTGCTCATTCACTTCGAGAACAATGAGTCTAAACAACTGTTAAGTCTGTTGAGTCCTCTCCTTTTGGCTACTAAGCTTATGCTTCATAAATCATAAGCAAGAGTTCGTAAGCCAACTTTCAGCAAAGTTTATTTCACAATCAAACACATTGAAACCACCATGTACTCATTAGGAAGCTGAAGTTCAGTCTATGCTGTAATTAGAAAGAAGAAAAAAACATTTGATCTGTGAGAGTCTTATTTTTACCTCTACCTTTTCCTTTACAGCTTAAACACTCAGGCAGCTCCCTATTCAAACCCACTCATTTGTTTCTCAGAGGATTCTGGGAAGATTTAGGCAAAAGAGCTTTATATACACATTTCCCCACTCTAAAAACTCAGACCATGAAGTTAAAGAAGGGTGTTTTGTCTCTTAAACATCATATAGAAAATAATATATCCTTACACATCTTAAAGGGGCTTCCCAGGTGGCTTGGCTGGTAAAAAGGTGAGCTCTATGATCGCAGGTTCAAGCCTGGGCCCTGTCATTAGCCAGCTGTGACTGGCTTTCTCTACGCACAACTGCCTGAAAACTGCCAACAGGAGGCTGGGATTAATCAACCAGGGACTTCTCAGCTCTCAATGGCACAGCAACCTCCTGTAGCCTTGCAAGTGCTTGCAGGCATGTGGTGCTGTCTGAGAGGGATATACAGTACATCTCTTCCAAGAAGAGCAGGACCTTCAGTATGGGCCAGTGTAGCCAGGAAAATACTGAAAGACAAGTGGTCTGAGGTGTAGTACTCTTCCTCATTATCCCCCGTGTGCGGCCACAGGGTTTGTAGCTGCAAGACGAGTCTTGTTAATCTCACATTTGACACCAAATTGGATGGGTATAATACAAATAATTGGTTATTTTCAATTAATTAAAAAATAAATATCTTCATCACAACAGAAGGACAGATAGAAAATATATAATCACACAATATTTTAAAGCACACTATTATATTGTTAATACCCTGAGCTAACAGCTAGCCCAAATTTCCCAAGGGATATCTGCTTCACAAACTACAAAAATACATTCTTGAAAAGCACATCTCTCACCACTAGTTAGTGCTATCATCACAATATTCTTTTCTCTGTGGGAAGGGTTTAAACATCAAGATGTTCAATTTTGAAAAGTGCAGGCATAGATTCTGATATTAAAAGGACTGATGTGACAAAATGTGAGTTTGACTTTCACTAGTGTAAATAACGTTGATAACGTAAATAACACAGTTATATATAAATAACACTGAAGTGAACAAACTGAAAAATTATTACATTAAAAATGACAACTACTAAATACACTTTAAATATATATTCAAAGCTCAAGCAATAGTATTTAAGCAAGATGTCAGTGGTGTCATCTGTACTATTGTACTTTAAGATGCTACAAAAGTCAAGATGCAAGTAATAGGGAAAACAAACTTTGCTGTCCAATGGCTACATTTTTTCCTCCAAGTAGGAAAGATTAAATATTAATTGTTTTAAAATAAAAGTTTGCTAAAGGCTGACTGAATATTTCACTTGTAATTCCCTAGTGAAATGTATTTGTGAGTAAACAGTTATTTTAACAGTACCAAAAGGTTTTGACCACAAGTACTGATTAAAGACATTTTAAGTAAACATTAAATACTATTTTATCCATAGAGATTTACATTTGCATCCATTTACATAGCTGGGTATTATTTGGGTGAAGGGTAAAAAAGCACTGTCTCTCCAGGATCTAAACCCACAACCTTCCAGTTAGAAGGCCAGAACCCTGACCACTGTTACTATTGGGATAAAACATTGTTCATGAACAGAGGCAAAAAATACAAGATCTTTGCTTGACTTAACAAGAACATAAGAGTAAATAAGTGTGAATAACACTACAAAAGTATGAGGTGTGGCACTATTTTGCATTCCAACACCAAATTTAACAACTGATTAAAAAATATATATCCTCCATCGTACTGACTTGAGTGGCAGTAGTCTTCTTCCACAAAAAAACATAGGAAAATTGAATATTCTGAAATCAGTTAATTCAGTCAGTTCAATCTCAGGCAATGTTAGTCCAATCATCTAATAAACAAGAGACTTTGTGAACTTGTCGCCTCTTTGTGTTAGCAGTATTCTACAAGTCTAAAAACACAAACCTGAGTCACGACATTTTCCATTTCTGCTTTCGTCTCAGCAGCACACTTCTTGTCAGACATAAGTTTCTGAAGGTGAGCTGCAATTAAAATGGAATATCAAAGCATTTCTAGAAATATGTGGCATTCTAACATTCAACATAGGGCTGAAAAACACTGTAAACCAGAAGGAGGCAAACCAGGGCCTACTTGTCATATCATCTCAGGCTAAGAAGTCCAATCAACTGTGTATTCCAGGAAGTAATACTGTAGTAACTGTAGGGACCTGGCACTTGAGGACATGGATAATGAATGAATAATCTACATAATATAATGAAATACCATTCAATACAAAGTTAATTATTCTGGATGCCCACACTAGGTTTATCAATTAGGTGGGATTTCCTGTGGCTCTTAGCTAGGCCACCGGAGGCTTGGTTATTAATGCAATCAAAACATGGACGCAATCCAAGTACTGAACCAACACCCTGATCAGGTGTGTGGGTGGTGCTGTCTCTCAAACGGCCCTTTTGTTTTTTCTGAAGATCCACCAGCACTTCACATATAAAAGCCAGGATAGCAACAGAGAAGGAGGTAGTGGAGGGAGGTCTCATTGAAACATGAAAGTTAACTGGCCAGTCTTTTCCATAAATGTATTGGATTTTTGTTACAAATTATATATTGAAACACATCTGATGAAACTAAATTACTTCAGAACACACAAAAGCAAAAGCCATTTATTTCAATACCTTTTAAAAGGTGGTCTGCACGGAAACACTCTCCATTCTTGACATCTTTCACCATGTAGTCGGCAAACTTATCTACATGGCCAGATGTCCTGGAATATAAATAAGCAAACACTTAAAACCAAAGAGGATGTAATGCACCTGTTTCTGTTGAGTATCTCAGATATGACCTGAAGAACATTAACGATAAGCACAGGCATATAGATTTTCAAGTTCTTGAGCAAGAACATAAATTTCACAGAAAGAAATCACATTAACGAAAGCATTTAAATTGTATGTTCTTAAAAAATTAAGATTAACATGAAACTAAAAATTCAACACATTCAGTACATTTGTCTATTAATTTCCCCATTTGTAGACCTCATTTAAAAAGAGGAAGGGCTTTTGTAAATGCACTATACAATATGACTAGTGAACTGCTTTGTTCCAAACTATTTAGATTTTTTTGGCACAAACTAAACAATAAACCAGCAACTGGCATCAAATAGACAACATTTAAAAAAAAACTTTATAAAGGGAAAATTATTTGTCCCTGCAACCGGGCTATGGAGGCTGCAATTAACACAGACTCCATGCAAGAAATCACAGAGTTCATATTTGCCCATTTAAAACAACCTGCAGAACTGCATAGAAAAACAGCCTCCAGGAACCACAGGGCAGGTTCTTACTGCTAGACAGATTAATTTAAATACACAATCCACAATCAAATACAAATATACTTTTTATATTGCGCTGTCACACCATAACTTAATTTCATTCAATCTGTTTTGTATTCTTAAATTCAAACTGACATTCAAAGAAACTGAATGTGAATAGGAAGTGGAAAATGTGGTGTGGTAGTTGGTTGAGTAGGGCTGTTAGCAACTTGTTTTTGTAAAAACTCTACGAGAGTCTGGGCTTTTGATTCACATCCCGTAGAAGTGAAATTGTGAACGATCATATTTAAAAGAACAAACAGCTCAGCAGTAAATTTAAATTAAGTGTTTCTGGAGTATAGACCTGTTGTTTTTCCATTTGCTTTTCTTGAGAGTGCACTGGCATTGCTGATCTGTACAATATTATTATAACACACAAAATGAAGATTACATCTGCTTAAAGAAAGACAGGAAACTTACTTAAGAACTGGCTCCGGTGTCAACATTGTACAGTCAATTTCAAGAATCTGTTCTTCCTGAATAAAGTGCTGCCTCCAGATCTGAAGAATGTTGTTCTTCAGAGCACAGCCAACTGGGCCAAAGTCATACAGTCCACTTACACCTGAAAAACACGAGGACAGGATTGCAATGGTCTGTGAGACAATGAACGGAATAACATTGCCAGTACTAAAAAAATAGCTCCAAGCCCTTCTTGTTTTAATCATTAGTTTTAAACAAGATCTGGTAATGGTTCCTTCTGTTGCAAATATAGAAATGTTCCGGTAGGAAGACTGTGAAAATAAGTTAATAAAAACTCTTGATGTAGTAATAATGTAGTAATAAACAATAATGTTTATATATAGATAAAAGTTTGTATTTCTTATATGCATGATGTAACCAATTAAACAATGTGTAAAAAACAGATTTAAAGAAAAATAAATCACAAAAAACCTTTGAAGCTAAACAAAAGCCTCTAACAGTCTTCTGAAAGTTTTTAAATAGACAAATTTCATTTAAAAGCATGACAACTAATGGGTAATCGATTTAAGGTTTTACAGTAATGTTAATAACTAACAATGACTCAGCCATATACAGCGCCTTGCGAAAGTATTCGGCCCCCTTGAACTTTTCAACCTTTTGCCACATTTCAGGCTTCAAACATAAAGATATAATTTTTTTATTTTATGTGAAGAATCACCAACAAGTGGGACACAATTGTGAAGTGGAACGAAATCTATTGGATTTTTGAAACTTTTTTAACTAATAAAAAAATGAAAAGTGGGGCGTGCAAAATTATTCGGCCCCCTTGCGTTAATACTTTGTAGAGCATTTTTTGCTGCGATTACAGCTGCAAGTCGCTTGGGGTATGTCTCTATCAGTTTTGCACATCGAGAGACTGAAATTCTTGCCCATTCTTCCTTGCAAAACAGCTCGAGCTCAGTGAGGTTGGATGGAGAGCGTTTGTGAACAGCAGTTTTCAGCTCTTTCCACAGATTCTCGATTGGATTCAGGTCTGGACTTTGACTTGGCCATTCAAACACCTGGATACGTTTATTTGTGAACCATTCCTTTGTAGATTTTGCTGTATGTTTGGGATCATTGTCTTGTTGGAAGATAAATCTCCGTCCCAGTTTCAGGTCTTTTGCAGACTCCAACAGGTTTTCATCCAGAATGGTCCTGTATTTGGCTGCATCCATCTTCCCCTCAATTTTAACCATCTTCCCTGTCCCTGCTGAAGAAAAGCAGGCCCAAACCATGATGCTGCCACCACCATGTTTGACAGTGGGGATGGTGTGTTGAGGGTGATGAGCTGTGTTGCTTTTACGCCAAACATATCGTTTTGCATTGTGGCCAAAAAGTTCGATTTTGGTTTCATCTGACCAGAGCACCTTCTTTCACATGTTTGGGGTGTCTCCCAGGTGGCTTGTGGCAAACTTTAGACGAGACTTTTTATGGATATCTTTGAGAAATGGCTTTCTTCTTGCCACTCTTCCATAAAGGCCAGATTTGTGCAGTGTAAGACTGATTGTTGTCCTATGGACAGACTCTCCCACCTCAGCTGTAGTTCTCTGCAGTTCATCCAGAGTGATCATGGGCCTCTTGGCTGCATCTCTGATCAGTCTTCTCCTTGTCTGAGCTGAAAGTTTAGAGGGACGGCCAGGTCTTGGTAGATTTGCAGTGGTCTGATACTCCTTCCATTTCAAGATGATCGCTTGCACAGTGATCCTTGGGATGTTTGAAGCTTGGGAAATCTTTTTGTATCCAAATCCGGCTTTAAACTTCTCCACAACAGTATTACGGACCTGCCTGGTGTGTTCCTTGGTCTTCATGATGCTCTCTGCGCTTTCAACAGAACCTTGAGACTATCACAGAGCAGGTGCATTTATACAGAGACTTGATTACACACAGGTGGATTCTATTTATCACCATCAGTCATTTAGGACAACATTGGATCATTCAGAGATCCTCGCTGAACTTCTGGAGTGAGTTTGCTGCACTGAAAGTAAAGGGGCCGAATAATTTTGCACGCCCCACTTTTCATTTTTTTATTAGTTAAAAAAGTTTCAAAAATCCAATAGATTTCGTTCCACTTCACAATTGTGTCCCACTTGTTGGTGATTCTTCACATAAAATAAAAAAATTATATCTTTATGTTTGAAGCCTGAAATGTGGCAAAAGGTTGAAAAGTTCAAGGGGGCCGAATACTTTCGCAAGGCACTGTATACCCATACAATACCTATATGCTCAGTGCAATATATAGGGTTCTTTAAATACCTTGTTTGTGTATATTTGGTATATTTTCTGCCCCCATGCCAATCTGTGCAGTACATAGTTTGCACTATTTAACACTTTATAATAAATCCAGAACATACACTTGTCTCACTGGTAATGTGACACAGCATTATGTATCAACAGTTACCAACCCTAGTCCTGGGGGAGCCTGCTGTCTCATGATTTTTGTTCCAGGTGCTTAGTCTCCTGCTTATTAATTTCAAGTTTCCACCTGAGGCAAGCTTTTAAGTTTGCTTTCAGGTCTTAAAAAAACTGTAGAGGTTTGCAATTTTTAACACTGCTTCAAAACATTTCACCCAACATACCTATTCAAGGTGTGCTATCTGAAATCTAACAAATTGGAAATAAAGTTAATTGTGTCAGCATTTGATATATTGTCATTCCCACCTGTCTGTTCATCTTAAACTAATCACCTATTAAGAGCCACTGTGAAAGAAATTAGAAATAAGGGAACAAAGGTTAAGGCAAGATTGCAAGTTTTGAATACCATAGTAGTTGGGAGACAGCAGTAAATGTGGATGGTATTTTTGAAACCAAGGAGTGCAGAAACAGGTAAACATACTTATTTTGGATTTACAAATAAAAAAAATAAAGACATTCCTTGATCTCTAGTGATATTTATTGACAAGTATTCTAATGGAAACTATATTGGTGCAGATCTACTTGGAGATTTAATTCTATAGTCAATATATTCTTACCTCCATAAATAGCAAAGGCCTGGTCATAAAAGAATCTCCTTTTAAGAGTATCCTCCATTTTGGGTCTGTCAACAATGTCATCCTTGGGCTGGAGGGCTAGTTCCTGTACATGACACCAAAATAACCAATTCAATGTTAAATATGCATCCTAGTAGTGGAACGATTCCTGAACAATCTGTCGAGAGAAAAATGCATCACTTTTTTCTCCCTTAGTTATAGATTAACCCCCCTTTTCATAACAGATATGGAAAATTAACTTAAATTCCAGCTAGTTGCACCCAAAATGAGCTACTGGTTTATTGGTATGAACTGGTGTAGCAAACAACTTAAAAGTTAAGTACTACTAGTGATGTACTGTAATGATGTCTCTTTAAAAATGATGCTGTAATTAGCTGGTCTCTACTAGGTTTGAAACATTCTGAACTGGAGAGTTCTGGTTATCAGTCAAACATTTTCTACTGGAATTACAGCTAGGGTGATCAGTCCTTAGCTTATCTCTACTACTTAGCTATACGACATATAAAAAAGTCAGGGCCAAGCTAGTACTATGGTAGGCTTCAGAAAAAAAATCAGTTTGCCACTGGTGGGGGTGTTAATGAATCATACAATGCTACTGTTTCTTCTGGGTCTGACAGGAGGCACTATGCTGTTGGGGTTGCCATATTTCAGACAGGATATAAACACTTTAGAAAAAAATGTAACTTGTCTGTATTCTCTAAATATAAATTAGAGATTAAATCTGTATCCTGCCACACCCACTTCTTTAAAGTTCATACAACGGTTTGGCTTGTATCAGTTTCAACCAACACATTTCTGTTATAGAAATGTAGTGTTTTACTGAGAGGTCTTTTGAAATTAAAATAAAACAAATATAAAAACAAAAGACAAAAACATTCCTATAAAGGAAGTGTCAATTTGTATCTGTAACCGGGCTATGGAGACTGCTTAGCACAAGCACAGACCCCATGCATGAAACTACAGAATTAATTTTTGCCCTTTTCCATAACCTGAAGTACTGCACTAGGTTGCAGCTCCCAGGAACCACAGGGCAGGAAACACAACTCCACATGAAATGCTTGTTAATTTACATAAACAGTTCCAGAATTGATATGAAAATAAACAACAAATCAAGTATAATGCATAGAAAGAAGCACAAATACTGGAGAAAGACATACAAACACAAAATGAGATAACACACCAATTAAGCATAATTTGCACATCCTCCTTTGCACTATACACAGAGCAAAAAAGGCTATGTTGTGTATCAGCTTGATCTTACACTGAAAATATGAGAGAAATCTAACCTTTCAGTGAGGTAAAATTATTCAAAGAAAATAAATCCTTATTTTCTTCACAAAGGGTGCCAATAATTCTGGAGGGCACTGTATGGATTTAGGGTAGCAACAACCCAAAGTGTAAGACTTGACTGAGGACTAAGAGCAAACAACATATTAACTGAGAGAGAAATAAAAGACAAGAGAACACACCACTGCTTATTTTTCTCACAGAATATTAGACTGTAGCCCATGAACTGTAAAACTGGTTTGGCATATCAAAAAGAGAAAAACAGCCGAAGGGCATTTTCATTATTGCTGACGCCCATGAAAATGAGTGCTGCTTTACGGTCCACTCCTTCCCATCCTCAGAAAGAACTGTTCATTGAAGACATCTGCCAAAGAATTATTAGATTTAGAGAAATTGGGACAAGTCTGAAAAGGTTGGAGAGGAAAAAAAAAACCCAAACTATATGTTGTAATTTGTGAATGCCTTTGAAAAGATCATAAAAAAAGGTATAGGTGGGCTGAAGTGTTACTTTCCATTCTGATGAGGCTAAAAACCACACCAAATTATACCACTGGCCTTACATTTCACAAGCTGGACATTAATAGCATTAATACTGACAGTGGCATGGGTGTGGGACCCAGGGCTCAAAGCAAAACTAAGGTTTATATAGATACAGAATGAGCAAATGTGCCACCATGTATATGAGAGCCCAGCTTGGAGGGTCAATACTGGTGGAAGAAATGCAGAGTGATTGGAGTATAGAAATCTGCAGCATCTGAACTTAACCAAAAGTGGTTCCCAAAACAACTCTATGGTGCAAAATCACTGTGGAATATTGTCACCTTATGTATTAAGGTTAGAGTAGAGGCGACATACAATGTGAACAATGCCCTGCAGTTAAGAAAACAATAATGCAGTCATCCTAGTTTAGTGGCTGGAGTTAGTTAATACTTTAACAAGGGGAACTGACTAGGCTATTGGGAGATTAACACAGAGACTGTTGTAGGAATTGTAGTGCAACAAATAATGAGACTAGTATAGCAACTTGGTATAAATGTAACAAACTTAACTGACCCTCAATCAAGAGGGCTGGGATGCAATATGATGGCACAAAAGTTTGTGGATGTGGCAAGATAAAACATTACCAATACTGATAATGTACCAAGTTCTGCAATTTAGGTATAAAAGCGAATTACAGTAGGCATGAATGTTGTGGGCAAACTAGTGGTATCTAGGCCTTTAAAGGGCAGATCAGAATGAACTGTTAAGTTTTACTGATTTACCTGAAGATAGCATCAATAAATGAGCTATCCAAGAGGGGAAGAATCACATTCTTAATGTTCTGGGATTATGGAAAAAAATGGATACTTGCCCCAAAGGTGTGGAATTAACATCATAAAGACAATGTCTTGTGGGTTAATCGAGGGGAATTAAGTTGTATGCCAACTAAGCCAGTACAAGTACATTTTTTTAAATTTGAGTTGTTTTGCAAATTATGCATTTTCCCTAAAACTGTTTTGCCACAATTGCCCTTGTGGTTATAAAAAAATGTTTTACCACTGAACAGAAAAAGGGATATAAAACTCACCCAAAAGGGGAACTTCCTTACATGGATTCAACATCAGTGATGTATATAAAAACTTTAACTGTATAAAATTCCTGCTATAGTCATGGGAGGTTTCTGAGGCAAATCCCTCTTGCATGCTTGTAAATAAAGCCTATCTGCATACGACTTCTGTGATCTCTGGAGTAGCAATTTAATTTTCCAGTACAGCAATAAGAGATAGGAAAACAGGGATTTACTCAGATATTAGTGGTAATAAGTTATTTTTTGGCATTCATCCATTGCAAATTTATTAATGTGTTTTATTTTCTTGGCAATAAAAACCAATATCTACTGCGCTAATACTGGAACCTTGCAATAAACTCAAACACTCCCCTTAAAAACTATAAAACCAGTCAGGACTTTGAGACTAAAAAAAACCACCAAAACAGTAGTGCAAAAAAACACACCTGTGCCAACTGCATGACAAACAACTGCCCTTAACATACAGTATGAAGGCAGAAATCTGTACCTTAGCCTCCAGTATCCTCTTACGGGCCTTCAACTCTGCCACGGCTTTGCTAATGTCCACATCAGGGGCATTCTCACTCTTCAGTCTGCGCACCAAGTCACCCTGGGAAGACAACATAAACAACATCCCAACCTTTAAAAAGGTAAAATTTAGTGAAACTACATAGACATTGTAAAAATTTTGAGATACTGCCATAATTAAAAAAAAAAGGATCTAAAATCAGTGCAGATTTACAATGGCGGGGTTTTATAGTGTTCTGTTTTTCAGAGTAAAGCATTCGGTGCAACCAACACTTTTGTTCTGATGTAATAATTCTAGTAGTATTAGACCGCTTTTAGTAGTATTAGATTGCTTTTAAATAATGCAATGAAATTGATCATATTTTCAATATTTTTTCCAATGATCAATGCATTTTAAATACATTTTGTTTTCATTTTAAAATCATTGTTAGGATCTCAAGTTATGACCTCAAGTTGGATCACCAATGACTAAGGACTAATGGTTTTCCTGCCTGCTCGCTTAGTTATAGAGCATCATAAACAGGCACCAAGCCCGTGGGGACTTCATTTGCATAGGTGTAAAGTTTATTTCACATTACAACTGCTGTTATTTTTTATCGCGCAGAAACAGTAAATACGGTATTACAGAGGCAGAGACCGCACCTCCAAAAGGCAGAAATTGTGATTTAAACGTTCAAAGAATTTTTTGGGGGGTTTCTTTAAGTATTCAAAGCATTTATGACATGCGCGACATTCATTCCCATGCGAGAAAACGTTCATGTCTTATAACTGTGACATTGTCAAAAGCCGACTGCAATTACACCGTGATATGTTCTTCGATAATGCAAGACACTTTTCTTAACGGCGACAAATAAATCAGTACCAAAACTGATAAAGCTGATCAAATTGGGACTTAAGCTACTCGCCACTTTTTGCTCACTAGAAAGATCTTTTTAAAGATTTCCTTTCAACAATGGGGACAAAAAACCGAACTACGCCGCTGTACGTACTACAGGGCCACAAAGATTTAATCCTGCCATGAACAACTATGAAAAGACAGGAATCGCCAACATATTCACTCCTCCCCTCTGACTTCGTGATGCTGATGGAGGCTTAAACGTGGCACTGTAGAGCCTCTGCATTGCTGATTAGACTATTTGAGCGCAACAGTGTATATTACCTGTACACACTTGACTCTTACACAGGTGCGCCAATTTAATAACGCGGGCACACCAGCAATCCAAAACTGCGAAATAAAGGGGTTTCCAATAATACTTAACAAGCATAACTAAACTGTAATTTCAAGTATAACAAAAAAAAAATCACAACCGCACATTCCAGAACATCTGAAAGAAAGTCAGGGAGTCAGGATCTGGTATGCCGCTGAACTGATATTTTCAAAAAATAATGCAAAATGAGATGGTTCAGATCTTTAAGCCATGCTAACGTGTACTGCATGTCTTTATATACGTTTTACATGCCCTTCGTCTTGGGTTGTATTGATTGGTGATTTTAAAGAACATCGAGATTACTGACTCAATCAGGAAACTGATGCTTTTATTGTCCACATTAAAGATTCACCTGACAATGCATCGAGGGAGGTCAAATGTCAAAGTAACATTAATATTCGACGTTCCACACATATATATATTAATCAACATGTCCAGGAGTTGTGATCTCTCGTTTAAAACTTAATTTGGCAGTACAGTTAATAGGCCGTAACAGCATCAATTATGACAAATAATAGCAGCCCGAATACCGGAACTTAACCGTTCATTATTGTCCCACCTGCTCTTTCACTGCCTGTCTCAGAGGAGCCAGCACCTCTTCGATATTGCCGTCCATACTTCTTCCTCTTGCAAGCTGTTGCCAAAGGCTTTCCTTGTTTTTCTTCAACAAGCAGGCCGACAAAGAGAAGAGCCTGTGTTCGTGCGGACGGTGGAGCCGATGCGGCGCTGACAGTGCCCTGGGTGCTACAAAGAGAGCAGCAGTCTCGATGCAGGACCTCAGCAGGGCGGGTGCAGCTCTCAAACGCATGGACCGAAAAGACCGGTAGTAGTGAAGCAGGGACAGAATGATGAAATCTCAGGAAACAAGTAAACACAGGGCCTACACACGATCAGCACTTTCGCTGCAGCGCTGCTGCTTTTTCCACTAGGAAAAATTAGCTCTAGCAGGTTCGACGAAAAAAGAGGACCCACGTTTAATCTTACTTGAATGGCTATATATAACCTAAAACTCATTTCATAATCGAAAAAGGTTGGAAAAGGTTTTATTTCAATCACAATAAATGTTAACATTAACGACCTGTTCTAGTTTGAAGCAGCAATTAAAGCTAAAATCATCACAATTAAGAGAAGTACATAAACAAATTTGAATGTATCTGGTGCCCTAGAATCTAATTTAGAAATGTAATATTTTGATTTGCATTTATATCCACTGTTGATAAGTTATATCTGTTCTCGAATCATTTTTGTTTCTATTTACATCCCTTTTAGTATATTTTTGAGAATATAATGGTTGATCTTTTTTTTAATTTTGGTATATTTTAAAATATTTTTTAAGGTTCTCTCGTACAAACCCCCAGATGAACTCTGTATTTTTGCATATGACTTAAAACTAAGGTGGTTTTTCCAGTTTAACATTGTAAATAACTGCCAATGTTCTTATTTCTATAGAAACGTATATTCAATTGAATACTGTATGTGAAACCACATGAGATCTTTTGTAATGTAAATAACTTGACACTTTCTTGGGTTATAAAAGAGGCAGTCAAAAAGAATACTCAGTCCAATATAAAAATCAAATAGTGTAAATAATTCTTTACTCAAAAAAAAATATTTTGATTTCTTTGAGAGTTGCCAGTGGGAATGGGGTAATTTCTGGGAAATGTCACTGTAAAACGTCTGAGCTATTTCCTTTGCTCGGTGAATTCTGTTCTTTATCTCAACCGACGTCACACTTCCCTTCTCTTACTTTCAAACAGAAGTAAGCAAAACAAAATAAATCCTACATCACATTTTAGGAATCTAAGGTATTTCATTTTCTACAACACAGCTTACAATGAACAACTGCCTCATTCTAGAAAATGAAAACAAAAATGCTTCTTGGATAGGAGTTGCATTCCACCTTGTTCACATTTTCTCTTCAAAACCACAGACCTCTTACTGCGATTCTGGCAACCAGCTTGTCTCGGCTCTGTCCAGTATACACAATGTGACTCGTGCACTTTTCCATGTGGCTGCATCATTACTGAAGGCAACAGTCATAGGAGGAGTAGGGCTTGATTAATGTAGTTGTATCTGTATTTGGAACAGATAGCTCGCTGTATCACCTGCAAGTACACAGCCACCACCACACTCATTCAAGGCC